TAGAAAGTATGGAGCCTAGCTTTAGCCTTAAGGTATATTCCCTTTGCACAAAACTATGCTCACTGGAATAAGATACCCCTTGCTTATGATCCTTGCAATACGTTTGTCAGGCAGTTCCACTAGCCCTATGAGCTAATGATTATAAATGACGAGCCACCATCGACGATTCTAAGAGATTCTATCCAATGCATTCTGTTTAGTATTGATAAGGGATTTCATTTTAAAGTATGACCGTATTTAAAAGAATAGCAAGGTAATCATTGTTCCCTGTTGTAATTTATCTTCATGCTAATTACCAAAAGTGCATAATGTCTGTCATCTACAGCGCATCAATTTTATTTTAGGTGGATTTAAAGTCAACCCTTTTAGAGGTATGCAGTTTTGTTTGTTGATATGTGGTTCATAAGTTAAGATGCTAACTCAAATGTTTACCTATCTTTTATCTTTATTCTTTTCACGACAATTAATTCATTCCATATCTGAATAGCTATCAGGGATTCAGAATTATCACCATTAATTTTATTTTCACTTTGGAGCCTGATCATCTAAGAATATCCATTTTGCCACTATGTGTTTGGAACGCATTTGGGAGTGGTTATACTGTGTTGTTGGTATAATTTCTTGCGATCGTATTTGAACAAAAGCAAACTATTGCTGAGAATTGCTTAGTTGGAAGCGCTTTGATTCATATTTGCATGTGAAAATATACATCTTTGTATTTTAGGGTCTACAATATTTGGTGCTGATATCCGAGGTTGAAGACACAGAAATATTTAAAATTTGTCTGGAGTATTGGAGCGCATTGGCTTCAGATCTTTACAGAGAGAGTCCTTTTTCAACACCGTCTCAACTGCTAGGATCGCCGTCATCACTGAATATCCCACCCAGGCGGCAGATATACTTGGAAATTCTTTCTACGGTATATATTTCATTCTTAATAGTTATTAGCTGTTGTTTGTCTGTTTTGTTTATTTGTGAGCAAAACCCGGATTTTCTATAGCCTAAACTACAGTTGCCTGATGGTAACACTGAGCTTAGAACTCAGACTAGCAGCCCAAGTTAGCTCGAACTACATGTGTTTTTAAATATCATTTAGTTTTAGAATATAATATCAGTTACACTTTTGCCCTGCAGGTCAGGTTTATCATGATTTCCAGAATGGCAAAACCAGAGGAGGTACGACATTTCACAAGCTTTCTTGTTTGAAACTATGATATCTAACATCTATACTTTGTTCTGGTTCTGAGATGATTATGCCATGTTGTTTTTTATCACTTCTTATATCATTTGGTGTCTCAACATCTGGTTAGAGTTTGTCATAGGTTTTAAGCAAACTTTCTTGAAAATCAGTTGAGTTATATGTAATTAACATAACACTAGAATGAAACAGAACAGAAAAACAGAAGAACATAACATAAAATCAGAACAGAACATAACACTGGAACGGAACGAAAATGTGGCAAAAAGATCAGCTTTACTGGTTATACACCTTCGGATATAGACTGTCTCTCAAAGGCTTGCTGTGTTTAGTTATTCAGACCTAGACTCGAAAGAAGAGGAACATAGGCAATCATTTCAAAAACCAACGCAAAGAACTAGGCAAATAGCAATATTAATTGAACTTACACACGTTACCATCAAATAAGTATCTAAGTAGAAAAAATTAGCCACTGATAGTCAACAGCGGTGACATACATGGAGGTGGCCATTATACGCAGTAGACTGGTAGCAATGATAGAAAATTCTGTGTCCATTACATTTTTAACTGCCCGAGAACATGTTCTGGTATTCAAGACCATTGCGATTTCATTTGTGCCTTCTTTTCATTTTGTATGTGTGTCATTTGTAGTACTCTGTTTTGTACAATATTTTCTTATTGGCTTTTTACCTTCTCGCAGGTGCTTGTTGTTGAGAATGACCAGGGTGAAGTTGTAAGAGAATTTATGAAAGATACAGATTCGATTAACATGTACAAAACAATGAGAGAGACGTTGGGTAAATTTTTATATATACACTCACTGCTTTTATATTTTAAATGGTTAATTATAATTTTAATTGACAAAATAAGAAATATAATTGCTTGTAATTAGAAATTGTTTATTGATCGATAAATCATTTCGATTATAGTTTACCTAACTCATTTGGACTACCAAGACACAGAACGAATAATGACAGAAAAATTACGAAACCAAGTGAACGGATCAGAATGGTCTTGGAAAAATTTAAATACGGTAAGGCATTATAAACATTACAAATATGCTCAGTACATTTGTTTTATCCAACACCCGTCAGAGTATAAGCCGTCAGGGTCAAGCCAAAGGAGTTAACCGAGTTAGACCGAGTTAGAATGGCAAGGTGATGACGTCATTCAAATCTATTTTTAGAATTTTTGATTTTTTTTATCCTATCGTCTGAAAGCTTCTAAATACTTCTAAATGTGACATTTCATGGCCTTCTTACTTTTGGGCCAAAATTCAAAAGTGCTTAAAATGTACTTATGTGTCATCATCAATTGCCAACTCCATCGATACCCATGTGGTGAGGAATGGTGCTTCTCATTTGTTCCTTGCTTTGACCAATCAACCATCATTAGTCTTTCCATGGCATACAACCGTTTGAAAATATTTTCGCAATAAGATTTTAGATATATCAGCTTACAGGAAAAATCATAGTCCTTAGTTTCAAGGCTATCGTTAATAGCTTGTAATGAGAGCATATTTTATGTCACTTACTAATTCGTGTTTTGTTGTCAAAGAAGTTCACCATTAAGCTCTATTTGGTCAAGTAAACAACAGTACAGTTTTTGTGATTTGATAAGCGTGCAATATTTGAGTATGATTGGGCCATCTCTAGATCATGATTCGGTTATAGTTGCCAGGTTTTTTTGGATCTCCCTGTTTGGCTTTCTAGTGGGTCAGCCTTTTCGTCTCTAATTGTATTCATCAATGTATTTTGCAGCTTTGTTGGGCCATTGGCTCAATTAGCGGTGCAATGCACGAGGAGGATGAAAAGAGATTTCTTGTCATATTTATAAAGGTACTTTAGCTAAAAATCTTCATCAAAATGATTTCAAAAGTGGATGAAAATCTAGTTAAAAACTATTGTTACACATTCCTGTTTAATGTTGTCTTGTTTTGAACTTCTAAATTGATTCGAAAAAGCCAAATAGGTAATAAATGAATTGTATATACATCAATTAATATATATTTTTGCCATAACTTGTTTTAAATGCTTTTACATTAGCGTGTAAAACATCACCACGATCATGATTCGAGAACATGGCTTACACATTCTTATTTTTCTAATTTCGTTAGCATATTATTTCTGCTAACTTGATTACCAACTTACCTGTCTCCTGTTTAAAATTGTGTGTTCTGTTGCAGGATTTACTAGGCCTTTGCGAAGTAAAAAGAGGGAAGGATAACAAGGCCATCATTGCTTCTAATATTATGTACATAGTTGGACAGTACCCCCGCTTTTTAAGGTAGGGAATATACTCGATTTAAAAGCTAGTTTCTATGTGTGTTTCTTTCATATAGTTATCCAGCCCTGCACGTACACATTATTTTTTTAATTAGAACAACTAGACAGAATGTAGATTTGTTGCCATTAGGGTTTTCTTGTTATAGATGGGCGAGTATAATTCTGTTTCAAACCAAACGCTGAAGAAAGTAAATAATGTCTGTAGGAATGACTTTTGTGTCTAACATGTCTTCAAATTTCTTAAGAGTTTGAACCATTTTTGGAGACAACATCCCTTCCCTTTTTATTTATTCGTTTTTGCAGAAATAGTAATGATAATGGCAGGTCTTTTATTGTTTATTTTATTCAAAACTGACATCCAGCTGACTGAATGTTAAAATGGTGTTATTTTGCTAATATTCATTTTTTCCTTCCTTTTCAGGGCTCACTGGAAATTTTTAAAAACAGTTGTAAATAAACTTTTCGAATTTATGCACGGTATGCTTCAATATTTTTAAGCAAATATTTTTCAGGTGTTTTTTAATCTTTTTTTGTACTGGTTTGCAAATTATTTGCAGTTGAAAAATTTCCTTTATATGTGACTGTTTTTCCTTTAAGCTATTAGTCGAGCTCTTTTAAGTTTCTGCTTTCTTAAGATGCTCTGAATTTCAAATGTTCGGGTAGTAGTAACTAGCGAACAGTTTTCCAAGCTAGATTCTTGGTATTTTGTTTCCAATTGGGTTTTTTGGTCGATTCCTAGAAACCCACGACGGAGTACAAGACATGGCATGTGACACATTCATAAAAATCGCACAAAGATGTAGACGGCATTTTGTTCAGGTAATTCTGTTTTCTTGATTAACTGTGAGTCGATTCCAATCTGGAATCATTATTGACTTTATGCATTTTAGAAAGTTATATTCCTTCACAGTTCATTTTTAGGATATCCTACAACCTTTTTCTGGATTTTTTCATTAGGTGCAGGTCGGTGAAGTGATGCCATTTATTGAGGAAATACTTAACAACATCAGTACAATAATCTGCGACTTGCAGCCCCAGCAGGTATGCAAAGGTTCCTGCAACTGTATTTTAGTCAGTTCTGTACGTCATAAACAGAACCAATCGCTCGTCTTGATTTTTCTAGTCCTGATTTATTTTCTTTTTTAATATATATCTATGGCATATTCACAAGTGCATAAGAGTATTTATTCGAAGACAGTGTCCAAAAATTTCTCGAGTCTGGCGACTTCATTTGCTGAATGCAGCTCTGCCCTGGTTTCTTTTTTCATTGCAACCTGCTTATTTTGAGTAGATGTTTTCATACCCTATTGAATTTTCAATAATCTTTGGTGTACAGATAATTTTCTTTAGGCGGCAGCCGTTGTCTAGCCTTGTGTGTTGAGAATGGCAACAGTTTTGATGGCAATTTTGCGATCAGGGAATCTTTATGACAGCACTTATCTTTCCAATGGTGAATTCTTGGCTTATGCATGTTCTCTTTTTTGTTAAGGTGCACGTGTTTTACGAAGCTGTTGGCTGTATGATCAGTGCACAAACGGTAAGTTAGATGTTTAACACTTTCTACTTCACTGTCTTATATTAACAATTAAAAACGTTTCCTGATAATAGTTTGATTGAGCTTGAAGCACGGGAATAGCAACTTCGAACCAACTAGCGTCCATGGTTCTGCCTATTCGGCATTAAACAGTCTGCAACAGGCCGGTTGATCTCTACAGTTACGATTTATAACTTTCTGTCTTATAAACTAGATAAAGTAAAGTATTTTGGCGATGTTTTTTGGATATTCTACTGCTCTGTATTAAAATTCTCTTTTATGTATACACAGGCCCGTAATTTTAACATAAGGTTGTGTTATTTGTAGCGATCTAAGAAATGAAATTTTTATTTTAATGTTTTGTTTTCCATTTTGTTCAATCTATATTATATGTTTAAAGGATTCAGTGGTGACAGACAGGCTAATAGAAAAATGCATGCAGCTGCCCAATCAGGTCTGGGATGGAATTATTGCTTCAGCCACGAAGGTATTGTATGGAATTAACTCTCCCCCATTTTTCTTTCTAAGATATTCTGGAATATTTGTAACTTTAATTCACGTGTTGCATAGGTATATTTATTTTGAGTAAATGGAGTAATGTCATCAGTTTTTGAGGTATAGATCTTTTGATCGAGAAAAATTTTGCATGCACTGTTTCTAATCTTGGAATCATGAAAGCATTAAGGTGTGCCCCTCAAGTTGAAAGTGGATGTGAAATAATTCAAGAGCTTGATTTTCAGGGGAGGTTAAGGGCCCATACCCTTGTAAAAACATGAAAATACTTTCTAGGAATCCCACCACAACCACCCTCTCCCCGCAATTCTCAACCCTTGCAGTGAAGGTCTATCTTGTTTGGCGAATTTTTTTTACAGCCAACTGTTAAAATATGTTAATACTTAGCAACTTTGATTTTGCTCCCTATGATTCTGGTTTGTTACAAAGAACAATCCAGAGACCACCCTTTCAATTTTTAAGGGTGGCACCTTTTGTCGAGTCCGGTAAATCCATAAAAATCTTAAAATTAAAGAAAAGTAGAAAGATTACTGCCAGTTAATGAGAAGGGCTGAGTTGTATAACGCAGTATTGATGACTATTGTTATCTTAACTCAGTATTGATTATTATCATAATTGATGATTATCATTATCATTTTTATTGCCTTAGAACATCGAGGTTCTAAAAGAACTGGAGACAGTTAAACAACTTGGCAATATTCTGAAAACAAATGTAGCCACGTGCAAATCAGTTGGACACCCTTTCGTCAACCAACTTGGAAGGATTTACCTTGATGTGGTCAACGTCTACAAGGTTCTCAGTGAAAACATCTCATCTGCCGTTTCACAGCATGGTAATTTATAAACATTGTTTGAAAGCGCCTCTTATAATCGTACAAGACAGCTCAGATTTATAAGAATGATTCTTCCTTCATATTTCTGAGCTTATAAATAGTATTCATCGTTCCCTGCTACTAGTAGTACTTGGGTATTAGAAAACCTGTGTCTTAAACAGGACGTCAATAGCATTTCAACGTTGGAGGGGCACAGGTAGCAAGGGACCGTTTGTCTCAGAAAATGGTGCATATTTCTGAAAGTTCCAAAACTTGGTATTTGGTTATTTATGCGATATCTGCTTTTGCAATATAAAACCGAAATCTCATTATTCACAAAAACGATGGCTCAGGTTGCTTTCTCATTTGGTATAGCTTTTCTTTACCTGATATATTGGTGGTTACGCAATGATCACACTTTTCTGTTACATTACTCCCAACCAAAATGATATTGATTCACAAATGGGATTATGTTACAGGCTTCAAATACTAGAAATACCTGTGTCAATGACCAGCCTACCCGAGGGTACATTCACCTAATATATTTGAGCTAGTCTAATGGCTAATAACCACACTTTTGAGCTACGTAACATCTATTTAAACTGAACGACTGGACGGAGGATATAATTAAATGTGGCGGTTTTGGCGGTTTGAACTTGCTGCCAAAAATATTCCAGTGAATCTTCAGATATTTCTCACATTACGTCTTACGTTTGTTAATCATAAGCCTTAATTTTAAATTCTTTTTGCTGCTTCAAGGTTCAAAGTTTCATCTTTATCTGATTTTAGGGGAAAGTGTCACCAAACAACCTCTTATCAGAGCCATGAGGGGTGTGAAGAAAGATTCGCTAAATTTGATTAATTGCTGGGTCAGCAAATCAAATGACCAGGCATTGGTATGTTGCCCTCCTTTATCATGGCTCCCTTAACGTTTTTGTCTCACAATTCCCAAGAATCATAATTCATCAGGGTAGAATTCCTCATCCGTCATAGGGTAGAATTCATTCTGTTTAAAAGATTCAAGTTTTGGTGAATTTGTAACAAGGCCCAGAAGCTTTAAAAGTCTCTTAATTTGAGAATCATTTTTTGTATGATAGCTTCTTGGAGCTCGCTCAGTGATTTGACCAGGTTTACTTATTATTCAGTGACTCATTGAGGGTACTTTGAAGTTCTTCAAAGGGTTTATTTCTCTGAAGGTAAAAGACAATTTCATCCCACCTATACTGGCGACTGTGCTGGACGACTACAATCGAAACGTACCTCAAGCGAGAGAAGCAGAGGTGCTCAACACCATGGCAACAATTGTCAACAAACTTGAGGTGTGTCTCGTCATTTATCACATTTTTATAACAAATTGGACGAAGAGCGTCATTGGGGTCGTTGACTCCTAACCAACTCTGATGACACGCGTTTTGGTGTCAAACGAGTAAATTTGACCTAACATATGACTTTTATTTAAGCCTGTAAAAGTCAGATCTGGAGGAAATTGTTGGAACACTTTAGGGGAATTTCTCCAACCCCTGGTCTCTCGAATTGTCTCTCGAGTGGTCTCGTCAATTCTCATTTATTCCGATAACTGATGACAGCATCTCGTCTAAAATCGCATAGCAATCGTTCAGGCTTGGTTCAATTTGTTAGGAACCATCTTATGGAGATTTCTATAACTTATGTTCAATGAATTCGGCTTGGAGTATAATGCCACATATTCAACCATCCGGGTCTTGAAACCAGTTAAGAACGTCAAACAAACAACGAGCTTCTTCGCTCAGCAATTGAAGCTGATTTTTAAGATCAAAGCTTTAAGTTTTTGGACCACTTCTGATAAGTTTTCGAAATTATTCTTACTAAAATCGTGCTTTCATTAAATAGATTGACTAAGAGGTGCCTATTGATGGTATCTGAAATCGTTTGGTTTTTTCTTTTTTCAACCACTGATTTTCAACCTTATTCTCAACCAGTGATTGATTCGTTTAATTGTTCTAGACAAGCATTGTTGATGAAATACCGTTGATCTTCGATGCTGTTTTTGAATGCACTTTGGAGATGATTAACAAGGTAATATTTAACATATATTTAACATGACTTTTAATTTATTGGTCTTTTTCGTTAGCAAGTTGAATTGCATTTGGTTTATTGCTATGCTGTCTGCATGCCTCTGTAACGATTTGTTTCTGCAGAGAAATCAAGCACAGTTTATTCAGAGACTATCAGAGCGTGTGTGAATAACATTTTATTAAACGCTCCAACAATGCAAAGCAGGGCCTTTTAATTAGCCTCTGAGAGGTTTCGTTCTGAACTAAGCTTTTGTAGAGATTGAATTTCCCGCTGCCTGCTCCAACTTCTCCAAGTTGCATAAGTTATTGCTTTATTCTTTCGCAGGACTTTGAAGAGTTTCCTGAACACCGTACGAATTTCTTCGTGCTGTTGCAAGCAGTTAATCAACACTGTTTCCAAGGTTAGTGTGTATGATTGTTCTCTTGCGCCTATAACAGCGGCACTGATTGGTCAACCTCAACAGTCATGTGCTCATGTTTCATATTGGCCTATTTCGATCCACAACTGGGTATATATATTTCCTAGCGTAGAGTTTTCGGTCTATATTCTGACGTTTTAAACTCTGAAGAGTGTCAGACTAAAAGCTTTAGTTTACTAAATGTTTGCTTTTTTCAGAGCCATTTTCAAGTTTTGTACCACCAAAAGATTGTTATCAATAGAGCATGAAAATACTCATTGGTTGTTAACAGACTTCTAATTAACTTTCTAAGACTGGTTGATTAGTTTTGTGTTTATTACACATTTAACTTTTTCTCTAACATTTAAGTCTTTAGTCTCGACCTCTAATATTTAAGTCTTTAGGTAGCTTCCTTTAGATCTTCCAAACACTGTAACCGATTTCCTGTTCATAATCTCTTTGCAGCATTACTCAAGCTAGCGTCACCACAGTTCAAGCTCGTTTTGGATTCGATCGTATGGGCGTTCAAACATACAATGAGAAACGTGGCTGATATAGGTTTGTGTATATATACTCAATTTTCACATTTTATTGTGTTGTGTCATTAAGCCAATTAACCTTTGATATTCATTACATTTATCAATATGCTTGATATCTTGCTGGATCTTGATGTTGTTTGTTGTATTGATTTTCGAAAGTTTGAATGTTTCAGCTTCTGGTTTAATTGAAAATATGCACTATGCAGTAGTACCAAAGCTGTCTTAGTACATTTTGATAGTAAATTTCATAAGAAGTTTGAAAGTGTTGATAATATGATGGTATTGAAAGCTTGATGTACTGAATCAATCGTTAAAGCAGATATGAATTCATTCTAACTCTTGTTGGAGAATACTTTTCCTCAAATTAAAACCTTTTTCTACAAAACTTTAGTGACGCTGTCTGCTGATGTTATGAAGCTGAAAAGTGAGCTTCAAAATGCATATTTTATCATCACAGTCTTGTTTTTTCACAGGTTTGAATATCTTGAATGGCCTATTGATAAATATACAACCTCACAGTGAAGCTCAAGGGTTCTACCAAGCCTATTACACGATGATTTTGCAGCATATTCTGTCAGTTGTTACTGATACTTCTCACACTGCAGGTACATGCTCCGTCATAATTATGAATAGCTACTTTGCTTTGCCTTTTTACAAGCACGCTATATATTCTTTGGCAACGCTCCTATTATCTAAGACACCATATTATGTTCTTATTCCGTACTCAACGATGGTATTCGTTGTGGAGGAATGCAAAAGTCACTGTTGAAGATATGAATTATTGGTATCCAGGGAGTGCCCTCAAATGCCCTGAAACATCGACATAATCAAACGGAACTAGTAGCAAACAACACTGTAGAGGATAATATTTTAAGACAATATCTAATGATTTTTTTAGTATTTGTTCCATCTGTTAATTTGTGCTCTACTGCTTTTGTAGGCCTAACAAAGCATGCAACTATTCTGGCTCATATGTTTGGGATCGCCGAAAGTGGAGGCATTACTGTTCCCCTGTTTGACCCGTCAAGAACAGAGAACAACAACATGACTAACGAGGTAGGTTCTACTCGCTTCCAAAACGAGTAACTTTGTGGGTTGTTTTTGTAGCATAGATTGTTTGATGAAGGATAAAAGGATTTTGCAGTCAAAATATGATTATCGATTGTGATAAAAGTCAAGATATGAATGTTGGTGGCTATCAATACTTATTGTGAATTTTTATCAGTATTCTGCTATCGCTGATAGGAAATGATTGCGTACAATTCGCAGTTTAACGGAGAAATTTGCTTTAGTACACTGTAGACAAGCTGTGAGAACCACCACTTTAAAGTAATTATTTTTAGATGATCCTCTGGTACTAGCAACCGGAATAAATAGAGCTAGAATGAAGTTTATGGAAAGCTCTGACTGTGTACGGAAATGTCTCACGCTAACTTCGATATTGGTTGAATTTATGTATTATTCCCAAGTATATCAAAGCTTGAGAGGGGTATTCGTCACAAGATTAACCGATGATTTTTATGTTAAATGATATTTTCTGTCATATTTTTGTATTTTGAATGACCGTTTGTTTGCTGCCTCTGCTTCAGCTTTACATTAAAGAATACACAGCGGCACTCCTCAAGCAAGCATACCCTCATTTGCTGCAGTAAGTGAAGAGCTTCGTTTTATTGAGCTTTTTTTGCAATGGTCCTCGTTGAGTTTTAATCAACAATAAAATGTAATTTCATCGTTGAAATCACACAGAGGTGGTTATCAAGAAGGCTATTTAAGTGGTTTTAGAAATAGGTTGGAGACCTTTCTGTTTTGTTTTTTGGGTTATTTGTTTAAAAAACAAGATTATTCAATGAATAGAGGAAGCAAATATTTTGCAATGTATTTATGTTTTATAATTCGATATAAATTGGAAACATAAGTAATAAATAAGTTACTTTTAATGACTGGTAGCGGAAATAAAGTTTCTTATATGTCGCTGTTTTTTACTTGGAAGTGAGACAGGCACAGTGAAACATTTTTCTTCTGTCGCATTGATGGACTTTGTTTCATTCGACAGGCCGCAGATCAAGCTGTTTGTGCAAGGGCTGTTTGATTTAGACAATGACATTTCGGCCTTCAAAGAACATCTAAGAGATTTCTTAATCCAGATAAAGGTAATTGTTTTGCTTTTATTTGTGATATTTGCATTTGAATAATTTTATTGGTAAATATTGTTCCTTTGAATGCAGCGTTGAAACGATTTTCGTTTACATGGTGTAATTTCGACAGTTATTCTTCAAACTTCTGAACAAGGGGGGGGGTGGGGGGGTTGTGGGGGTTGCTGTTGGCAAGATGGCCAATCTTCATAGTTACGTATGGTAAAGTCCTAGAGATCAGTTCTAGAGTAACATGTAAATTATAAAGGTTGTAGCCCGTTGATTGGAGCCGTTTGATTCAAGTAATCAGTAATCTTGGTATATCGTTACGAAGCATTATATTTGCGATTAATCGCAAATCGTGACATATATCGTGACGGAGATAAATTTTGCGATTAAACGATTACGAACAATGTGCGGAACCGAAGTTTATGTTCAGAGGGTCAAAATTTTACAATTTATTTCGCAAATAATTTCTTGCTCTATGCTATGTTAGTTTGTAGATGCTCGATTTCATGCACGAGTGAATTTTAGCCAACCCGTTTTAACCAACCCATTTTTTTAGTCAACCCGTTAAGCCAACACGTAGTTATACATAAAATGCACAGAAATACTAATGATAAAACGGGAACTGCATAGAAATAATTTGAAATACATGTCTTGTTGTCTCCAGGAGTTTCAGGAAGAGGAATGTTCTGATCTGTACCTTGAAGAACGTGAAGCAGAATTGCGAGCCGCTCAGGAAGAGAAACGAAAAAGACAAATGGCGGTACCAGGCATACTTAACCCGCATGAAATAAACGAAGAGATGCAGGATTAATATGGCGACGTGGTATTTTGTGGCTAGTATAATTGTGTTCACAGAGTCGCTTCCCTTCGCTAATGAAGAGCCATCCAGGAACACGCAGAAGCCACGCGTATAAGTCTATATAGTCCTGTGGGTCTAAGGGTCGCCTGAAACATCGGCAAGGAAATTCTCGCGGGATTTGCAATGTCGGTACGTGGTGCTTGAAAGGAAAGTCTCGTGGGATATGCAAAATCAGTTCTTCTCTATATGATAATGCAATTTTGCAGACAATATAACGGTAATAGATGATAGGGCTTTAAGTTCACGTCTGCTATATGACAAGAACTGTTCGTTAATTTCGATATTAATTGCTATAATGATATTTAATATGCTGCATATCAAGTGTGGGAAAACATTTGTCTAAAATATATTAGTTATTTGAAATATATTTGAAACGTTTGGTGCTAATTTAGTATTCATTTTTAAATGATGGTCCCTCATTTTATTTCCTACGTTAAATAAGGATTAGATGATACCTTATAATTCAAGCAGGGGTCAAACATACACCAAGAAAAAACCATGCATGGATTTCCTAATTCTTGAACAGAAAACTCGCCCTCGAATAATGTTGGTATCAGAATTTCTTATCTGAATCAAATAAGAATTTTGTTTTATGCCCTGACTGCGCGCGTTTAGTTTATGAGCAGGTAAATGCATTTGTATTAAAAGTTAATTGTTCTGTCGTGTCTCCGTAACAATATCAGATGTTTTTGAAAGTATGTACAAAAGTTCTTTTCAGTTTAGCTTGACTTGTATAAATTTTTTCATGAATATTACCAAAACCTTGACCAGGAAGCAATGATGGAATTATGTATTTTTGTGTCGAATCTTTGGTTGCTTTTGTTGTATTTGGTTGCATTCTCGTTAGCTGATAAAGCTAAAGTCAGAGTCTTCAACCATGTTTGCTTAATATTAAAGCACTTTATATCTTTATATCAGCATTATCCTTTGCTCTTTCAGAAGATTGAAGCTATAGCCTTTCGCTGCTTAAGTTTATTTTTAATGTGTTATCTCGCATCTTCTATAGCCTGGAGTGGAAAGTTGTGTACATTGATGGTTGCCCCCCCCCCCTTTAATATTTTGGAGGAAGATCGTCTATTGTTCTAAAACAAAGGGAAAATCTGGATTTGTCGAAGGCTTTTGACAGAGTATGGCACGATGATCTTCTCTATAAATTGAAAGGCAATGGAATATCTGGAAATATTCTCCAGCTTCTTCAAAGCCTTTTAAAGGACAGAAAACAGCGCGTAGTTTTAAATGGGAAAAGTTCAAAGTGGGAATCGATCTCGGCAGGGGTACCTCAAGGATCAGTCCTTGGCCCGCTGTTCTTTCTTATTTACATGAATCATATAGTCAGCAACATTACGTGTGTAATTAAATTTTTTGCTGATTACATCCCTATTCTCAGTTGTTGATGATGCGAATGTTACCGCTCGGGTGTTGAATCGCGATCTTGAAAGAAAAATTTGTGGGTGTGGCAGTGGAAAATGCAGTTTAATGCTAATAAAACGGAGGAAGTTATCTTTTCCTGTAAAAGGCATAAATAGAACTATCCAAAACTTAGACTAGGAAGTGATGAAATAGTTTCTAAGAATGAGCATAAGCACCTAGGCCTGATTCTTGACTCGAAAGTTGATTTCAAAAGTCATATAAGAGAGGCTATCCTAAAGGCACGAAGAGGAATTGGAATGATAAAATGTCTTTCAAATTAAGTTTGTAGAGAAGTTCTTGAGCAAATCTACATTCACTGCCAAAAGTCTTGGAACACTAATGTAGGTTTTTAAAAGGCAAATTCAGTCTAAAAATCAATCAAGTTTAAACACTTTTTAAATGTATTTCTCTTTATGCGTAATTTAAAGTGAATAGAACAAACATTTCGAGATCAGGGTATCTAGAAATGAATATTTGGTACCACTTCAATGGTACTTAAAGGTTACCTAGAATTATGATTTCAAATACAATTGTCCAAAATTCATGGTCAGAAAGGTTTGCAAAGCGTTTTATCGTGTTTAATGGTGAATAATTTAATGTGATCTTCAGAGAAAACTACGGAAGTCTGAACTAACTTTTCAATCGTTAATGGATTTAAAAAGAACGAGGTTACAAAGAATGGTACCTTTTAATAGGGACACTTTCGGGGGAGCCATGTTTATGTTTTGTAGCCAGCAGCTCAGCAGCGAGAGCTTTGATCTTGGAAGCTCAAAGGAAAATCCTGAAAATGCTCAATGTCCGTCACTGTTTAGAGCATTTGGACTTGAATTTTTTGGCAATTATAACTTTTATGCGAACACTCTCACAACTTACATAACATGCGTCGGCGACTCTGTGTGAACACATGACCCACGCTAGCCAATAAAAACCATTATCAATCACCATGCCCACTCGTTATGCACGGTTTGTTGTCAAAAAGCTCCCTAGAAGGCCTGGATTTAAGTCCCTCTGCAACCAAAAATTTTTATTTCATAAGTCAAAAGCATTGGTTCCAATAATCACAAAACTTCAGTTGGAAATTAAAAATTCAATTTCAATTTTTAAAATTAAAGCTCAAGTTGCGAAATTTGCGGAATTAATGTTCCATTTGCTGTGTGGGAGCTTGTTGATATGTGACGTGTGCCCAGTTACACGTTCCTTACAACAGTCTCCGCATGTAAACAAACAAACATCCCGTTCAAAAAAAATTTTGTTAAGAAAATAAATGCCAAACAGGTGTGCTGCAGGGAATTGCGGCAACTTTGCCAACACAAAAGGAGGAATTATCCTTCATGAATTCCCATTTTTCGAAAATGGTCCAAAATGTTTTTCGCGGAGCCTCTGAGCAGAGGCAAAGCTGTTGTCCTGTTTGAACACGTTTAATATGCCTATTTCAAAACACATATAGCTATACACAAATTTTTTCACTTCAAATTACACTCAAATTTTATAAGAAACCGTCTTTAAGAAACCAATCCGTATGATAATCAAAATATTAAGAAACTTGAAACTATGGTACTGATCACCCTCCATCTTGAGAAACTGCTCGAAAATTCTCCTTTAAAGATGGAGTGGAAGTGATACTTTTCGATGATAAAGCAACCATTCCTGTTTAAATGACGTAGATCAAAAGAAAGAAGAGCTTCTTGTGACATGCAAGGTGTTCTATTTCGTGCTGTCTCGGGTTACATTTTTGTGTTTGTAAACAGTAGCTCTTTAGCATTAGAACCGTAAATCTTCGAATAAGCCCCTACGTTTGAATAAGCTCCCACGCTCGAATAAGCCCCCCCCCCACGAAAAAGCCCCCATGTAAAAAAATAATTATTGCAACTAAGCCCCCCTTATTTGAGGGAAGCATAATTGCAGAATAATGTCTTATCTCAAGAAAGCCCTACAGGACAATAGCTATACAGTATTAGGCCTACTTCTTTTGACTCGAGACCAAAAAGCAAAAAAGCGACTTTTTTGATGATAAAGAATTATATTTTTTGTTGGATCTTCACACAACACTTTCAAACTCTTTTAATGACATCAGCTGTTGTAATTAGGCAAAGATCTTACAATAATGAGGCAACGTTTCGTTGTTGGCATTTCTTTTCCTGTTTTAATAAATTTTCACGGTACATCCTTGTTGCTCAGTTCCTTGTCGAACCCAAGCTACTTCCGTGTGCTCAAGTTGGGAGCCTTTCGAGCACAGTTAATACTTAATATTTCGTTTCACTACGTTCTTGTCTCTATCTAGTACATAACGATGCATCAGTCGTAACTTGTTCTTATATCAATCTAAGATATCATCTTCTATGATTACTAGCTATAAGTTTGGTTTCCACTGCACGATTATCAAAATTAAGGCAACAAATTTAACTGTGATTATCGAGCAGTGGAAACCAGGCTTTATTACTCAATCAAATCCCTCCTCGACAGGGACGAACTTAGCGGGGGGTGTAGGGGGTGCGACACCCCCCCCCAATATTTCTGTCTCCTTCGGTAAATTTGATTCCATTCGGTAAAAACCTTTTTTTTGGTAGTCAGCAGTAACAAATGAACGCCAAGATTTTACTTTAATAATCTCCTTAATATCAGTATTTATATTCTTATCAGTAGCGTAGCGGGGGGAGGCAAGGGGAGCGGCTGCTCAGAAAGTCGGTGTCTGAGAAAAGTACAAATCTGCAATAGAATTAGTACCTTAAAGGGGGAATTTATATTTCAGACAATATCAAACGTTTTTAAAGACTGCAAACGCCTGTAAGAAATATTCTGAAATGTATTTCAAGCTAATCTGAAGGGCGTCTTCGCAAAAATTTTCTGCTCGCTTCGCTCGCACAGGGACCCTCCTTTATAACTCTACAGAATGTTCAATAATTTATCCCTTTAGTAAAGTCTTTCATGTTCTTTAGACAACCCCGATAAAATAGAAACTAAAATGCTAAAGCGCTTCAATCCTTCAAAAAAATTGGATTCTAAAATGCTTGTCGAGGATTTTGCTCCAAGGAGAACGGAATTAGTTTAAAACATTTGAATCCTGTTTGATATTTTTAGATATTTGATTAAAACTGTGGAGAATCAGATTTTACACGTAGTGCTTCCTCGACTTACACAATTCAGAATGTAAGCGTTAGATGAACTGTCAAGGAAATAGGCAGTTGTAGAATGAGGTCAGCCACAAAAAGCCAGATACGACGATGTATAAAGCGAAATTGCACGTAAAAAAGCCATAGCTTTTCCAAACGCTTATCCAAATTCTTAAGGGTGTGGTCAGCAAAAATTTTCTTCTCTTTGTCCCTCCAATCTTCCAAACCTGGCTTCGCCACTGCTTCTTATCGTCTTTACCTTAAAGTTAAAAATAGAATTTTAAAAATGGGCGTTTCCATAATTTTCCAGTGACCTGAAGGGTGTGGCACCAAAATTAGTGTCTAATACCCCCCCAATCATTGTTGCTTAGATCCGCCCCTGCTCCTCGATAAATTCTACATTTCAAGGCATCTACTTTACTCTCTTACATTGTTGCTAAATAAATATTTTATTCAGTTCTAAGGCATTGTCGTCTCTTTTTCACACTTCTAAGTCTACACCAGATCTCAAAATGCATGCATCTGCCCAAGCTCCTACGGCCATGGGCAGGGGCGTCACGATCGGGGTGTGGGGGGGGGGGTTGTCACATCCCCCCAATTGTATCTCAATAAGAAATTTCAGGTAAAATCCGCTCGGTGGAAGAAACGCTTTAGGTATTTCAGAGACCTTCATGTCATAAAATCAATAAAGGATCAAGCGAAGGTACATAAGAAGGTACAGGCTATAAGAAACGAGTACTGGGCGGTCAGAAAGAATTAAGCAACTTCAGTACTTGGAGCAAAAAAATTAAGAAACTATTAAATCGTTATAAAACTGAGAACAACGAAATTTTGTAAAATCCAAGAACATGATTGCCCTGGAGGCCTAGAACTTAAGACACAAAGGATAAAAATATACTTGCCACATCTAAATACAGCATCGGAATGGAAGCGAATCTCTTGACGCGATAAAAAAGGTCACGAATATTCCATAACATCATTCATGACATCATAATTAAGAAACGTAAGTATTGAAATTTCCAGAACATTAAGAAACTGGAGTACTCAACATCGACCTTTGTTTCTTATAAAAAAATGAGTGTAGTTGCTCCGTTGGTTTAATATGATATTCCTTGATATGAATGAGGTTAGACAAACTAATGATTTGAAGATTTGAAGATTGCTTGTTGGCAATAAATCTAAAAATTCAAGCCCTCTTGGTAAAATTGTGCCTGTCCATTTCTCCTAAAGTTTCTCAGTAGAAGCGTCAACTGCAATTCACTATGAGCTCCAGATTTTTTTTAACATTCAAAAGGCATGCTAAGATGGAAAGAGGGATCTAAATTGACAACCAGTGCTGCTTCTTACCTAGCATTAGAAGTAACTGACAACCTTGTACTTTTTAAGACCACGGCGAAGTTGTTATTTTTGTCTGCTGTAAATATTTTTGCAAATAAATAGTAATTTTCAATAGGATTAGGAGGATTGCTTTAGTGAAATTTGCTTATAAGATTGCGTTTTCCAGGGAACTAGAATCATCAAAATTCGAAAATCTCCTCCTCCTTCGGCGGCAACCATGGTGCCTCAGGTAGTAGCTGTATCCTTTGCCTGTTATTATTATCATATAAAATGAGCGTTGTGAATTATATACTGAGTTAAATTGACAAAATTTATTGCAGAGGTTTGTGACAGCAGCTAAAGAATTTCAGGCAATAATTTTTTAATCAGGTGAATTTGTAATCCACACCACACCACCCCCCCCCCCCAACGAGGCTTGCCTCGCGACAGCCCTGGCCATGGGCACCGAGAGATAGCTAGGGTCTCGGCGAAGAAAAGGTGTTAGATAAGGCTGTAAGAAGCCAAGAGATGAAAAACGGTAACAAGTAACAGTGACAAGTAACAAGGCTGACAGTAACAAGGCCGAGCTCCCTGGCTCTGCACGTCTGTAAAAATCCTGCTCTGCTCAAAATGGGTGTCTACATCCCAGCATACCGGCAAAGGGAGTGAACCATCCTTTTTTTCCTGACAAGTTTAAAAATTCATCTACAGAGCACCCAAAAACGGCAAGAGACTCCTTGTTTTTAAACGGTCTTTTCGAAGTAGTAATGTCATACCCACCCGCCCTCTCCTCTCCTCTATGGCTGCGCCCCTGCATCACACCATTACTGTTCCTTGAAGCAGGGGGCGTTAATTCTCTTCTTTGCGCCTGGTGGCTAGCGTTGAGTGCAAAATTCATTCGCGGACGGCTAAAATAAAATCTCTAGGGGTTTATAAGTGGTTCCCCCATATGCCGCTTATGCCCCTTTCCCCTTTTCATTGCTGATTCCGAGAAATGGAGCTAATTTCTTTGACAAATTCCCTATGTTACTATGCCATGATATCTAACTCATTGATAGCATTGACAATCCCCGATCTTTATTTTGTTATCAAAGCCAATCAAATTATGCGATCGAGCGCATTATCATGGTGCTTGATTTAACGATTGTTTTATCAGCCAATTAGAATCTTTCTTTCACAATCGTCATCAAAGCTACCTGCTCTCTTCTGTTTTCTTTTCATTCATCACGAGAAACCGATCAAATACGAGAAGGGGAAGGAGTGGATGTCAGTACTTTGATCTGTTCGACTTTACTTGGAAATCCTAAGCCTTCGCAGATTTATTAAAGCAAACGATTAAAAAAGGGGATACATGCTGGAAAAGGTTGTTCAAAGACCATTCAGATTTAATCTCAAGATGTAGAAATTATTTGCAAAGTGTCGACACATTTGGCCACCTGCACTTTCGCTGGTTGATCAGAGGGTATAAGAGAACTTGCTGCATTATTATCGTAAAATCGGTATCAAATCACTGTTAGAACGTGGAATTATCGAGACAAAGAATCTTCGGCATTTCTTGGAAATATCGTGCTGGGGAATATAACATCTCGGTGCATATCTGGTTGCAAATACCGCCACTTGTCGCCTGAAGTTACCGGGAGTTTTGTGAAGTTGTTTACATGAAATTGCCCGATAAATTTTTTGAGTGTGGCTTTATTTGTTCGGAAAATCGATAACTAGTTTGTAAGACTTTAGCAGCTGATGTGCTGAGGCGTAAAATGATGTCAAACACAGACTTTTTAAAGTCTGTTGAGGGAAAATTGTTAAACAACAAACGGAAACCGGAACCCGACATGAGAATGGAAGTTTTGCTTGGTTGTACTTCCAAAAGAATTCGGCGCGAAATCAGGTTTGAAAATAGTTCTACAGAAAACAAAAATGAGCAAGACATAACAAGTGGAGGAATGCTAGAGAAATCTTTTCAGACATTTGTTGAATTACGGTCAAGGAATGAGAATAACAATCAAATAAACACGTTTAGTTACGAAACAAGTGGAGAGGGTTGCGACTCTAGTCTGGTGGACGATCCTAATCAAGTCGAGTTGTTTTTGCGGCAAGTTGAGAGCCAACCTCTTGAGTCAAATAATTCCAAGGAGCAGAAAGTAGAATCGCCTCTGACCCTCGCGAATTCTTATTCGTTTTTAGAGAAATCTATTTCAATCACAGACCCTATTTTCCCGGGAAATACAGATATTGACTTCGGTGTTTTGTGCGCCAATTTTGAAACTCTGTACGAGGAATTGTTGGACAGTATAGTTTCTGTTGAGCGATGGATGAGCATGGCCTCTAGTCAAAACAGCGACTCCTTAGAAAATAGCCAAGAATTATCGCCACAAGATCAACACGAGATAATGATGGATTTGTCCATAGTCATAAGAGAGAGATAGTCTGGAAGCGAACAATGCGCTATTGTTCTAGCTCTTTGATAAAGATTTTCCTAGCGCCCGGACCTCCCAAAGTGCACACATTTTGTGCGTTGTGTTGTTTTGTTGTGGATGGTGTATGTTCGCAGTTTTTCCAAATGCCTGGAGCAAATTGTTCGATCTTTGGTTGTTCAACATCAAGAAGAAATAAAGAGCTTAGTATTTTTAAGATTCCTTTGCCAAATAGCGAAACCAACAAGAAATGGAGAAGTGAATTAATTAATGTTGTCACCAAAGATCGGGTCATTGATCAGAACCTCCAGCGTCAAATTGATACAAACAAAATATATATTTGTGAAAGACACTTCTCCGAGGAACAACTTTGGATTTGTAAGTAATATTTATGTTTTTTTCATCTATAACTGCTCAAAGCTTTTGATATTTGCTTTCTGATCTCTTTTATGTCACTTATTTAGGATACACCAGTAGCGATTGCCAAGGTTGGGCCTAAATCAGTGAACTCGACGTCTGCTTTTCCTTTCGTTTCACTGATGGCAGGAATACTGTATGTGAAATTGCTGGCGCATTGAGCGTTTAGTGATGCATTATTTTGGCATTGATAGTTAATTTGAAAATGTTTTACATCCATTGCATTTTATTGCATTACAGCAACCTTTTTATCACATACGGTTAATTAATGTTGCTTTGTCTTCATGTTATCATGTTGCTGGATTTTAGGTCTATAAGGAAAAATCAGGTCTCTAAATGAGACTGTATGTTTTATTTTATTCCATAGATCCAACACGAAAAGCTCTTAAAGATGGAGTGCTGCCATCACTGCATCTTCCAAAGAAGAGCCTCTCTGTTTCTCCCCCTCCCCCGCGTTCAACAACAGCTATCAAGAAAAGAGAAGAAAACATATCTTCAACAGTCTCCTCATCTTCAGTTCCTATGGCAGTTTACAAGAGCTTTCCCGAATTTCAGCAACGCATTTCAAAGCTAAAGCTCGGAGATTCTTGGCAAATTGATATGTCTGAGTTCTTGGTAACCATTGCTTCCAATATCGAGGATTATTTGCTTCCTAAATATGAAATCTTTGTGGAACCTTCTCTTAAATTTTCTTTGCGAGTTTTTGGCTGGATGCTCACTGATGACCATGATTTGTATGGAAAATATGAACGATCTTTAACAAATGTTACCTTGTCCAATCTTATTCAAGAAATTGAGCAATCTTTATTATGCAAAGGAATTTATATACCTGATGCTAAAGCCACTGCAAGCATTCAAAGGCATGTGATCCCAAGAAAGTTCTCATTTCTTGAATATCAACAAAGCTCTTCCCAAAAAAGATGGCTTCAAGATGAATTTTTACGATCTGCAAACTGTTCTCTCCTTTTATTAGGTAAAAATCAATGTTCTTCTTGCCTTGCTCAAGGTGCAAATTTTATCTATGAAAGCAGACGAAAAGAAAGTCGATTAAATGAGCCTGCTAAGCTGTTTGCTCCTATTAAATTTACAGCCCCTGAAAGAATAAAGCTAACTTTGCAACAGAACCGTTTGAAATGCAAGCAATTTGAGCAGCAAATTGAAGACATGAGGCAGTCCTTGGCAAATCACAGCAAACCAGTTGATCCTCAACTTAGCAAAGATCTGATTTCCTTGTTCAGTGGTTGTGATGAAAAAGATGTGCCACCTTTCATGAAATTGTTTTGGGAGGAACAACAGAATTATATAGCTGAGTCCAAATCCAGCAGCATTAGATATCATCCAATGGTCATCAAGTTTTGTCTTTCTCTTGCCTCAAAATCTTCCTCTGCATATTCTGATCTTCGCTATGACAGCAAAACTGGTTCTGGTATTTTAGTCTTGCCAAGTTTAAGAACACTGAGAGACTATAAGAATTATATTCGTCCAAGAAGAGGATTCAATCCCGACATTATTAATGATTTGTCTGTAAAGACAAAGGAATTTTCTCCTGCTGAAAGATTTGTCACCATTTTATTTGATGAAATGAAGATCCAAGAAGATTTGGTTTGGGACAAGCATACTGGTGAGCTTATTGGCTTTGTTGATCTTGGTGACATTGACACAAATTTTGCCACTCTTCAAGATGTTCAACAGCTAGCCACACATGTCCTTGTATTCCTCATCAAAAGTGTTGTCAATCCTCTTTCTTTCAGTCTTGCAACATTTGCTACCACTGGTGCAACATCTTATCAAATCTTCCCCATCTTCTGGAAAGCAGTAAACATTCTTGAGAATATCAATTTGAAAGTCATTGCCGCCACTGCTGATGGAGCATCTCCAAATCGAAAATTCTTCCGCATGCACAAAGCTCTTGATGGTGACAGTCATGACAAGGTTGTTTATCGTACCAAGAATCTTTTCAGTAAAGATGAACGGTACATTTATTTCTTTGCTGATGTTCCTCATTTGATGAAAACAGCTCGTAATTGTCTTGCAAAATCAGGATCTGGTCGTACAACACGTCTCTTATGGAATGACGGCTTGCACATCCTCTGGTCTCATATTTCTCAGTTCTATTTTGATGACTTGGACAGTGGCCTGAAGATGCTCCCCAAGTTAACCAGTGATCACTTTAATTTAACACCATATTCTGTCATGAGGGTTCATCTTGCTGCTCAGGTTTTAAGTGATACAGTTGCAGTCTGCTTGGATAAATTTGGCCCCCCTGAAGCTTCTGCAACAGCCAAGTTCTGTTCAATGATGGACAAATTCTTTGACTGTCTAAATGTCAGAAACACCACTGAGCATGCCCTGAAGAGAAAACCCTTTTTACAGCCATATTCTGATGTTGAGGATCCAAGATTCACCTGGTTGGATCAATTTCTTCAATATTTTTCACACTGGAAAGATTCTATTGAAAAGCGCAAAGGAAATTTCTCAGAAAATGCAAGGAGCAGTATGTTCATTTCTTGGCAAACATATGAAGGTCTTCAAACAAGTGTCCTTTCCTTCAAAGAAGTTTGCCAATTTCTCCTTCAAAATGGTGTTCCTTATGTTTTATCTAACCGTTTCTGCCAAGATGATCTTGAAAACTACTTTGGCAGACAGCGTGCAATTGGAAGCCGCAGAGACAACCCTTCAGTTAGAGATGTTGGTTACAATGACAACACTATTAAGTCTCAATTTTCTGTTCGTCCAATTGCTGGAAATGTTAACATCCAGGTTGGAAAATATGTCATCGATACAGAGCCATTGCCAAAAAGAAGCAAAAAGAAGTAACTGCTAATAATATTGCAAAACATTTATATTTACAACTTTAATGTATACAGTACACATTAATTTTATTTTACCATAAACTTTTATTTAACAACCTTTTATTTCACCATTTAAGAATCTAGAACTACAGTGCAGGCCTCAGAATATTAGCATGGTTATCGAGTGTTGGTGAAACCTTCATATAGCATTGGCAACATTATACAAAAAGCAATTTGCATTTGCATTTGGAAAATTATCAAAAATTCCTTGACAATTATTTTATGTTAATATACTCAGGACCCACACTGTAGGTTGCGTAGTATTTTGTGTAATACAATAATAACGAATGGAATATTGCATGATGTAATTAATCCTAATAATTAACTATATCTGAACAACGTGAGAAAGCTATCCTCATCAAAGCAAAAATGATGGGTTTTAAAAAACAATTAAAGCTTTGAATTTGATCATGTAGATGTCAAATTGTCTACATAACTGAATGTCAGTATGATTCTTTAGTGTGTGCTCATCATTTTAATTTTGCTGTGATATAAACCACATGATTGTTTTCAAATTATGATTAAAGTTTTCAGTGGGCCTTGAGTGATTGTTGCTACTGTATAATATTTTGCACATCTGGTACACTATCTTTGTTTAAATAATTACAACTGTAAATTGTGAATGATAAGTAAAAACCATAGCTGCCTTAGCATATAAACTATAAAATATTATAAAATATGTATGTTGCGTGTGGTACTTTTTCCAAAATAATAATAATAAAGTAAGCAAATAAATCGAGTACCAGAATAAAATAAATTAAAAACAACAAAGTTAAAAACAAGACGTTTTGAGAATGTAGTTTTGACTTAATAATGAGTATGTGCTTGAAATGTCTTGTTTTTATTCATCAAACTAATTTATTTCATTCTGGTACTCAATTTATTTGCTTACTTTATTTTGTTATAAAATGTTACTGTATTTTAAAATCAAAGTTGCATTTTCATATAATCATAAAGTAGTAGCCTAGTTAGCAATTTTAAAGCAGGGATAAACAATAGGATTACCAAGCTTATGTCGGGTGCAAAATTACAAGCCTACAGATCTCAATGTGGGCCCTCTAAGTGACTAATTTAAACCTGTTGCATCATATTTATTCTTAGTACCCCCTAATTAGTACAGAATATGTGAATGTGAATTTATATGTTTCAACACCAAACTCTAGGATCACAGAAATAAAGAAAATCCATGTCATTGGATTTGTTACAAGTTTCCATTGGGGCTCAAACCCTGTCCGTCTGATTGTACTGCAAAGTCAAAGGGTTACATGACTCTGCAACCATCCATCATCTCTGATTATTTGCTGTAAATGAAAATTATAGCTTAATGTGTATACTCTTGTAAACATCCCAAATTTGCATTTATTATCCGTTTTTAAAAATTAGACTTCTGTAGAGTGTCTGTAGAACTGGATTTCTTGATTTCTGTCCGGAGAGACCGCTTCTTTGCCAGTTTTTTTGAAATTTTATGTTTTTCCCTGATATCCTTTGCAAAAGAAAAAGTTCTTACTCGAAAGTATATTGTCAACATGTGCTCTAGGAGATCCATACTAACTTCTTTACTTATTTCAAGGCTGGCATTTAGGCAAATGTCATTGTAATTGGAAAGAACAGAAGGGTCTTTCAAAATCTCTGAAACCAAATCTTCACAAGCCAATTTTGTTTTAAAAGAAGCAGTTCTCGCACGAAATAACAATTCTGATCGCAAAAAAACTTTTTGAACCTTATTGTTCACTCTCCATAAACCACCTCTGTCAAGAGCATTAATAAGAGTTTGAGACTCATCAATTTCAACTTTGCAAGCTTGTAGAAGAGAAAGAATTTGTTGATTTATGTCTCTGCTTTTAGTAGAATAAAAAAATTTTGAATAAAGTTTATGTAAAATAAAACCAGCCAGATATTGCAAACTTTTCTCCTCCTTTGCTGACAAAGACTCAGGCTCCTTTGTACCATCCAAATTTTCAACACCAGATAGATGACTCAATAAAAGGTTTGCTACTTCTGACATCAACGTATTTGTAACGAAAGATTCCTCAAATTTTGATGGAAGAACATTGACAACCAATAACGAAAAAAAACCAGAATAAAATTTTTCAGCATCGCCCTTGAAACTATCTATAACTTTTCTCAATTTCGACCATAATTCAACAGCATCATCATTTGTGAATATAAATAATCCCTTAGAAAAATGATCTCGCAAACTCGAGGGAAAGCATTCATCTGAAGAGATCTTTTCGGCGCATTTCAATACGATGGCTTTTAGCTGTAGTGGATGAAGCTTTTGACGACTTATTTCATCGGCAGAATAGTTAGAAGAAGAAGATGTTTGTGCAGCACTGGATAAGGAAGATACGGGAGCGTCAGAGGAAGAAGTAACATGACGATGTTTCGAATTTGTGTGCCTTGATAGTCCACGGCGTGACTTGCAGGCCTTCCCACAGACGTTGCATTCGAAACCTGCAGGGTTTTCTTCATCTCTGGTAACTTCTATGGCAATATCTTCAATCTGACTATTCAATTCCTCATCTTCTTCCAGAAATCCTTCGTTAATCAGGTACAAAATATCATCAAGTTCCTCAACAGGTAGAGATTCGTGTTTGTTAGCGGCCATAATCAGCCAGATTGTGCACCTTCGGGTTGTTGATGTTGCTGGTTCAACCTCAAGGCGCGTACAATCGCAGAAAACAATAGCCCATTGTTCGCTTCCAGACTATCTCTCTCTTATGACTATGATTTGTCGAAGGTTTTGGGAATATAAGACGATGGAACAAAAGAGTCCTCACCATTGCCGTCGTCTCTCTTACGTCAGACGGCTCGTGACGAAATTTGGCAACGCGTTAATCTGCCTCGTGGAACCAACGATGAAAAGTCTTTGTAAATGAAGCTGGAAAACTCCTGAATTAAAGTATTAAAGGAGTTTTGGTAAGATACTAGCCATAATGGTACCTGTTTTTAGAAGATGCCATATAGTCAAGTGGAATGACACTCAAAGTGTACAACTGTTTGTCAGATTTAACTTAACGAGAGTGTAAACATGGTGGGATGTTGTTGCGATCGCAGGACCACGGGGTGGGGGGAGGGGGGCTGGGTTTGTTTAAATTTTGTCCAATATTATTGAATTATTCTAAAACATAGAAAGAAGTTGTTTTGGGTAAAGGATTTGAACCCAGATTTCATTGATTTTACAGTTTTAATTTTCGCTGATTTAATTGATTACAGCCATAAAGCAGACTTTTTATGAATGACTTTTTATTTTGCCCAATTAAATTCAAAATGAATCACCAACCACTTTATTGTCTTACAGAAGGTTTTCCACTAAAGGAAGAGTACATCAACTCTTGACCTCGGAATACCAAAAGTATTTTAGATTAAAACAGTGATTGATATCTGGCTTTGTGTGAATTAGCCATTTGAATCTTTCTTTTGGCAGTGATGGCTTTTGGCTCTGATCAATAGTTAATCTTTATATCATGTAAGGTATGACCTTTTGAAAGAAAAAAACAAAGTATATATGCAAAAGAGTTCCCTAAAGACTTTGGTTGTTCACTCAATAAAAAGTTTGCAAGAGGATTTGTCATTTTGAATTCCTTACAAGGTTTGAGATTTTAAATTAGACCCAGAGGCTAATAAAACTTTTTAAGAGATAGAATTGTTTCAAGGCTAATTGAAAAAATATATGTTTAAATTGCACCTTTACAGCAAAATTACATTCTTGAAAATATGATAATGTTATCAAATATTGGTTTCAATATTTGGGTATTAAATAATGTTGCTTTTTATTGCCAATGTTTTATTATCGTTTTCTTTTGTGATTTTGTTGTGAACTTATGAATGGTAATCCTTTTTCTTGGAAACCACAATTTTTGAAGAAGTAGATAAATGATTGACTACAGATTTAGTTTAATAGTCTTTTTATTACCCTGGGTTAGAAATAAAGATGGTTATGGTGACTTTGAACGAGATACTTCTAGGAGCCTAATGGGAGCGATAAATTTTCTTAATACTCCAAGAAGGGGTCTGGTCAAATTAGGTTTAGAATTGAAATTTCAACAATGGGACTGATGCTTAGCAGAATGTTCATGTGACTTATCCGAAGCATGCACTCCAAGGAGCAAATTAGCCAGGTCAAGACAAAGAAATGAATCACCAAACTTTCACCAAAAAGTACCTATAGAAAAAGACATATGTAAGAGAGGGCTTGTAATGTTTCTATGCAAAGGTCTCGTGCTACCCATTTATTACTGACAAAAGCACAATAGTTTGGCAGGATGGCCCCTTCCATTGTGATCCCCTGGTAATACTGGAAACTACCCTTGAAAGCAACCACCGACTTTTAACTATCAATAATATTTTAGAAAGATATATATAGTTATTTAAAGTTAAGTCTTTTTTCATTCTATACTTTAAAATGTATTGTCAACATTCTGAAATGAATTATTTGCAAATATATTTTCTTAGAAAAACGTTTGCAGAACTTCAAGACAAGTGTGTATCTATGAATGTAAATTTGTAGCAATTTAAGTCATCATTATTTCAGTTGTCTGAATAAGGTCAGTAGTTTTATTAAATGCAAAGTAGTTCAGAATAATTTATATATATAAGATAAGAATCAATTGCCATGAATTAATTGGGGTAAGAAGTTTTAGACTTAATTTTGAAAGCTGCTGGTACAAAATGGATGATGAGAAATAACTCATATGGATACAGATCACAAATTTCCCTCGAAAAAGTCTATCAAAAAACTGTTTGATCAAGCTATGTAAGAAGGCAATAATGCTAGATCAAGCAAAATCTTTTTTATATTCATATTGCTCATCCCATTTATTTTCAAAAAATGTTTTCCTGATACAACGCATGAAAATCTAATGTCACCTTATCATCTAGCCAGCAGCTTTCATCTTTAATTGGTTTGCAGAATCTGAAGTATTAAATTCTTTCAAAAATGTTGTGTAGCTCCTCTGAGATATTTATACAAATGTTAGCTATTTGCAATGTTTTAAATCAGAGTGAATAATAGTTTTAGTGTTACCAAGTAGAATCAATATTTATCATCTATACCTATTTGTAAATAAAGGACAATGTATTCTAGAATTAAAGTTTATAAGACAAGTATTCAACCTTTGAAATTTGTTTATTTTGTTCAAACCGAACTTCTTCTTTCAAGTGGAATTTGAGTACGTGAAGCATAGGATTGTGTGTCGTCAGCTATGATGGGAATGGCTTTAGAAATTTTATATTTTTCCAATTATTTTAATGATTGCATTATATTGGATACATTTGTGCTGTGCTTTTGACATCTGTCAAGGTTCAGCTCTCCGAAAGAATTTTGACTCCTAATTCCACACGCATGATGTAAACTATACCCATGATTTTGTAAGGCAATAGACATTTTTCAAGACAACAAATTCTTCAAAGAAATTTTGCATGTCCTTTGCCCCGAATTCTCAATATTACACACATTTCGTACTTCAATTTCTAACTGGACATTCGTTTTTTTAAAGCTTAATTTCCCTCCTAATAATTTTGCAATATTTTCCGAAATGGTACTCATAATTCCGCACACATTTCAAAAAATAATACCGATAATTCCGCACTTTTAGAGAAAGGATGCCCCCTTAAATAATTTCACGTCCACAGACGTTTTAAAGTTCACTCCCCCCCAAGGTTCTGCTGTTTGGTTTGGAAAGGCTAGAGTTTGCCAAACCTGTACAGCACCCACTAAATTTATCATGTCTGTGTAACTATGAGTCACTTACCCTCAAAAGGGCGTGTAGCACCCGGGGTAGCCATTTTTATTTCGTAATTTTTAACTTGCCACATTTCGACTGGAAAATTTGTCATAGATGCTCGGAAATTGATCTGTGACTATTTTTTTGACGAAAGGAAAGACCTCCTCACCGACGTTCCTCGTTAGAACAGTAGCAATACTTTAGTCATGATTTAAACAGGCAACTTCAGAAAATAAACAGTCTCAGATACTTAGAGAAAAAGCTTGGTATCTGAGAAAATCTAAAAAAATACCAGTGACAAGATCTTTATGGAGGCTTTTCAACAATCCATGACATAAAGTTACCCAAGATATACAGGTATATGTGCAACTTGCAAGAACTCTTTCTACAAATTTAGGGGGTCATCATAATGGTATAAAAAATTCAATTCCGCCAATTAAAGCACTAGTTGGCGCCACCCTTTCGAAACTGAAAAAACAGCTTCCCCCACTTTCTACTCGGGGATGACGTATTTCAAGGGACATTGATCATAGAGCGAAACTTGACTCAGATCGTAAATAGAAAGTTGCACTTCCGCGGGTCCATAATTTTGCCCTAGGCGTCAGAAATGCTCTCTGAGTGCTGTCTCGAGTAGCTTGATTCTCGTTTTCTTTTCTCCAATACATTTACTTGTCATCAGAATTTGAAGCATTTATTTTGATTAGCCTTTCCCTCCAGAATCCAGTGGCGGATTTAAGGGGGGCAACTAGGGGCAGTTGCCCCTCCCTTGACGAGTTGAAGCAAGTCTGGCGCCCCTTTATTGGAAATTGTGCCCCCCTTTTGAAGAATGAGAATCTGGGGAAAAAGTTTCTGAGACCGATAGGTTAATTTGCTTCAAGGATTACCTCAAAGTTTTGTTGTTTATTCTGAAGATGGATCTGAAATTGTTGTCTACAGCGTACTCTCGTCACCAATTTTTGAAAATTTTTCAGCGCCCCCACTACCAACTGCCCCTCCTTCAAATTTGCTCTGGATCCGCCCCTGCCAAAATCAACACCATAAGAAGCAACAATTGGCGGTTTGGAGAGCCTGTATACTATTGGCTTTTTAAAAAATCATACAAAAGTCATTATAATCAAATATTTATTACAATAATTATCAAAAATCACATCTGTTGCACATATATATTAAATCTGTTTAATAAATTTTTACAGTCACACTATATAAGTCATAATTTACAAATACAGTCTATAAATTAAAACATCTGTTGCACAAACACACAATAACATACTCTGCGGGTGTTGCAAGGGCCATTGCACTCGTATTAGGGAGAACTAACGAGAGACAGTTAAATAAATTATTTTTTTTGAACAAGCGACTTAAAAAAAGGAAATAAATGTCATCTTAATTTGAACCAACAGGGCCAAGAAACGTGCTAATCTTTCCTAATCATTAGCCAAAATTTTCAAAACCTTCCTAAAAGCAATAAAAGTAAGGCGTAGTCAGGGCGTGGCATTTGAAATTTGATTTCTCACTGACTTTCCTCACAATCGTCAGCCTTGAAATTGCTATTTTTTCTGAACTTCTGAATACTAATTCTTTTTACCTGTCTCCTAGATGCTAAGTTACAGAAACGAAAATTCAGTTCGAGGAAAAAGGGTGTTGAAGTTGATACTAGATAATGTAAAGAAATTATTTTCATTGTTTTAAAACTGATTGAAAGCAAAAAATTTTGCTGTAATGTATCTTTTTCGGATTAAACTAGATCTATGATTTTCGCTATTATACATTTAAAAAGGGTGCATTAAAAACAAACTAGTAATTTTCTAAAATGTAGTCATCAGTTTCCATGATCCTCCCTGCAAATGGCTGGACTTTCACTCTTCTAAATAAACACACTTTAGCTACATGTTTTTAAGAACGGAGAGGACAAAGACAGCGCCTTTTGAAGTTTCTCGATGCCACTAGCTGCCACCGCCATTCTTGAAACCAGTGACAATATGTGGAAACCGAACAACTGGTCTGACCTGCAAGAAGTACAAGATCGTTATAACTACCATAATGGCTAAAATTATCCAAAGGGTTGCCGCCCAATAGACAGCTTTGAAGTGACAGACAATCTTCCTGTATCCATAGACGTAACCGTTAGTGAATTTTGACATAACTCCATTTCTGTTCAATTCTTCCAGCATGACTTTTGCAGTCATTTTCATCACCTGATAGTCAAGCAGTATTAGCAATATTGAATATTGCAAGCAATATTAGCGGTATATTAGCAAAGCTTTATATGTACGTTACAAATATTGTTGGGTTACTGTTTGATGCTTTAGTGCGATATGAAAGAGTTCGGTGACAAAATGATAATGGTTTTCCAAATGGCAAAATGTCTCAGCTGCTGTCGAGAAAATCTTAGAATGGATGGCTAGCACTCTTAACAAAAATACTTGACAAAATTCTATACCAAAATTAAAAAGTCGTGCATGTCAATGTTCCATATTGCTGTCATTTTGCTGACTTTCTCCTGAATCAAACTAAGAAGAAGCGAGTTCGAGCTACTTTGTAGACTAATTCAAAATTCAAAAAATTCATGAAAAAGGGGAACTTTAGAGCAGCAGAACCTTAGAGATCAATAAGTATTGATATTTTCTTAAAAAAGCCTGAAGGACAGACAAAAATGCTAGAATTCTAAATTCAAATCTTTGTGCTCTGAAGCCAGAAAGATATTTGAATATAACGATTGCACGTTCCACATTCCTCGGGGTATAAATCGTCACATTGTGACCAAATAGCCTAAATTCGCAAATATAATGAACAAATCCAGAGATTAATTAATGAATGAATGAATGAATGAATGAATAACTAGTGCAAATAAATACCTCTTTCTTTGGAGATGGCATTCTAAATGCAGCAGCATTCCTTTTCCGCTACAATTAAAGTGAAAAATCACAAAATGAAAAATCGGTGCAATAACAGGCGTATATTGCTATCTTTGAAACAGCTACAAATTTCAGTTTTATTAATTATTCTTTCTTTGGAGAATATATCTTCTGATTCATCACTTCCTTTTTAGTTCCAGATTATCAAAATAAAAATCGTCCAGATTATCAAAATAAAAATCTCGTCGTTTATTTTATAGAAACCCAGTCCTTACATGTTTAGTGGGTGAATAAAGGTATCGTTCACGGGTATTGACTTTAAAGCTTTGTATGATAACGTTGGGTGAGTAGGTAACGTTAGCTGTGTGTTTGATTGGCCAACCATTTACGCGTAAAAAACCATAGCTTTTTCCAACGCATTTACAAAATGGGACGTTTTCTCAAAGGGTGTGTTCAGCCAAAACTTTCCCTGGCCCCCTGCTTTCACACTTCTCTTTGCTCCTCAAATCTTTCAACCCTGGCTATCTCAATGAACACTGATACTACACTTTTATTTTATTCGAGTCAAAAAGGAATCTTTTCACCTTATGAGATTTCATAACAAGCCAATCCAGCATTTTCCATGTCAATGTTAAGTACAATCAAGCTTATCAAAATATGAATTCAAGTCTTCTAAACACAATTCATGCTCTATAAAGAGGAATAATATACATGACCAGCCTCTAAGAAATACATTCATTGTCTGAGTTAGTGATATTCTCAGCTGACATATAAACAGATTGGGTCGATTTCATTTCATTGTCATTAAGGTTTAAAGAGATTTGTTATAAAACAAAATGGCTGCGAATCTTTGACTGAAAGTTGACATGAAAAAGCCGCATGACCTTTTCCTGTTGTGAAATATAAATAAAGTCATGGTAAACACGACGAGCATTCAAAACAGACAGAAGAGCACGAAACATTAATAATTAATTGCTAACTGGGAGGATTGTGAAATCAAACAAAAAATATTCTTATTTGTTGTCTATTGAAATGAAATAAATTCCTTAGAAACGACAAAATAAATCTCTGGGATATAAACAACAGATGACAAATGAAACAAAGCAACAGCTGGCTCTGAGCTCCGTTCCTTATGGTGTATCCTTTATGGTTTAAGCATTTGCTAAGATATTTAAATCCCATACACAGTTGATAACGAATTTTTGATGAAAGAAGGAGGAGATAATTGCTACACAGATATGACCCAAAGTGCTGGGTGATGTGTGCTGAATTATCGTCAATTTTGTAATCTCCTGATATAAACCGGTTAGTTAATGACAGGATTGATAGCAATGTTTTATTAAAGTCAAGGAGAAATCAAGTGACTTTGCTTCTTGAATATATCTACTTCTCTTCATTAGCCTAGCTTCTCTAAAACCAATGAATAAAAAGCAACTGAGATAAAAAAAGGGCACAGAAGTAGAGCACATGTAAACACGGCTTAAAATACCAACAAATATGATGAGAAATAGTTAGCTAGATCACCCAGGTTTTTCACTGGTAAATACATTTTTATAAAGAATCTAATTTTAAGCTTAGTTAAAGAGAGGACAAGCAGGTAATTGATGTTGCAAAAAAATTTATTACCTTGTTTTGGGTGGTTGTTTTGGTTCGATTTTTGTACCAAGTAGATTCTCGGAATTTCACTGACGGAGTTTTCAATCTTTTTGGACTTTGAACCTACAAAATATCAAGGTAAATCCCTGTTTAAACAGTTCAAAACCCAAGAAGGCAATAAGTTAACCAGGGTCCCGTCGATTTGTGCAATCAAGATAAAGCATTGATAATTATATTCTGCTCCTACAAAGTTTTGCGACACAATTATCTAGAAAAAAGACTGCTTTCAAAATTGGTATGTTGTTAAAACTTTTTTGCAAAATTGTCATTGTGAGCGGACCTGTATGAGACTAGCATGCTGCTAAGACTTTTCTACTAGTGAGACTCGGAGTTACAAATCAATACCATACACCAATGCGCGCACTATCTTACTAAATATAAATTTAAAATGGCTGCCAAACACCATCAAATAAACATATCGTATTTTTTTGGCGGTACAGAACTTGAAAATGGCTTTGAAAGAAGCAAACATTTAACAACATATTGGCTAAAAGCTTATTCGTCTGACACTCCTCAGAGCATAAAACCGTCCGAAAGAACATGATGAAAAATATATACCCAGTTGTGGATCGAAAGAGGCCAATCAGAAAATTTTTGAACTAAACATACAAATGAAGGGAGATTGTTCCCAAAAAAAGAAAATTTCGGTGTAATGGCAAATTATTAGGTAATTGTTTACTGGTCTTTAGATAGATTACCTTATAAACTGGTAGGGTTCGAAACACTGAATTTGATCCATAAGTTGCAGTGACCGAGCTGCTCTCCAAATGTGAGTTGTAATGCTGCAAAATACAAACATTTCGTTGTAATTAGACGTGAAAAGAAAATTTTCAACTACCAATCTCATAAAAAACAGCTACAGGATTAAGCATTTCTGAACACAGAACAACTGATGAATCAGCATTGCTAAATAATTCTTACACCCTTTTTAATAAGAGCAGAATTTCTAACAACATAGAGGCTCAACTTGCCAAAACTAAGAACAACGTAAAAACACGATGAAAATTTTGAAGAAAAACAATGTAATTTTCCCTTTTGCTAACAAAATAGAGGGTATATTTTATCAGAAAATCAACAGTACTACTAAAAATTTCATGCAAAACTTTTAATTAGCAGTCTAGAAACCACTGACAGTAAGTAGTGGTAGAAAATAAAATGTCGAAATAAGAATAATATTAAAAACAACAGAGCCTCAAATCCTCAAAATGGTACAGACATCAGCCCTTTGAAGAAATTATCTGGTTCTTATACAATAGAGTGCAGTTGGTCCTGCTCCCTGAATCACTTCAACGTAAGATTCTTTAGGGTCCCGCAGACAGCCTACGTCAGAGGTCCTTTCTTTTGTGAATCATCTAAGCAAATTAGCCTAATTTAGCAACAAATACTTTTATATTCAAATAAACCTATCTTTACACCAAGCTACAACCACATATTATATTTCTTTTAGGAATATAATATTATATTTCTTCACAGAGACAATAACAGATGTCACTTAAGATATTTTTAAGGATGCTAATTTACAACCAAAACAAACTAGTTAAAAAAGCATACAAAACTAATTAAAACAATTGCTGTTTAAGGGTGACTCAAGTTTGTTCGATTTAACTTTGTAACGAAGCATCACTTTACCTTTGGCTTTGATAAAGAAGAGAAGAATTTTTTGTCTCTGGGGCTTTCTTTTTCTGTTATCGCGGGTAGTGTTGGAACGTTGGACCACCTGCATAAAATGTGAAAACTCAACCTTGTCAAAACCACCATTAGTCACACAGAGGAGAAGATAAGTGTTTCGAACAGGACGGTTATAAGTTGCTACTCTCCGAGTTTCAACTGTTGTCTGGTGATCGCATTTAGCGTGAAACCCGGAGTAGCAACTTAGAACCGTCCTATTCTTTACATCAAATAACGTAAGAGGAGTATTGAATATAATAACAAAACAAACATGACTTCTGATTTGGCTTAAATTGGAATGAAAACATGGGTTACGATGACATGTCTTTTGGCTTTGTTTTTTTATCAGGCCTTGTACAGAGAGTCTGATCAGGCCTTGATGTCAAAGTCGTGCGAAGCTCTGGAAAAGTAGGAGCTTTTTGGCTCGAAACCCCCCAGTAAATTTGCGTGCAGTCATGTCCTATGTACATCCAGAAAGATGTACAATATCCTTTTGTATAGATTTCATTCTTTTTTGTTTTTTACGCAATCAAACATATTTCATTGGCGTCAAATTTAATTGAAGTGCACATCCCCACTCGAAGCAATTTATTTGCAGTTTTTGCCAAATATCAATTTATTTGACATTCTTAACGATTGTCAAGTGCCATTTTATCGAAAATTAAAGAGGTCTGGGATCCAATTCTCTCCTTCTATGTCTCACTCCTTGCTAGTAAAGAATTAATGCTGAAAGGGTAAGCTTTTCGCAACGCAAGATTAAATCAAAGTATACGAGGCCGATGTTTACAAAAAATCTTATGGATTCTGAAAAAGGATTTTAAAAATATGGGAAATGAAGATAACACGTACCTTTGAACATCAAATGCCAACGGACACTTTGCTGCCTCTGGTTTTGTATTAATATTAGTGAGCCTGAGTTTCTTTAATGGCTTGAGAGGTGTCTTGTGAATAGAAAAATCAAATAGTATTATCACACTAGCATTTTAGTTCATAGACTAAGAACTTGCAAGTCTATGAATTATTAATAATTTGCAAGTCTTTGATTTTAGCAATAAAGAAATAAGGGGGGGGGGCTCCCTTGTTTAAATAGCTTCAACAGTAGTGAAGGGTTAGTTTTAAAAATGATATGGTAATGAAATGATATGGAAGGCAGAGCAAACGTGAGTGGAGGTCCACGGGCTTGGCCAGGATACTATTTTCTGCCGATACGTGAAAGACCACACAGATAAAGAAAGCTTTTTCTATTCTCACAATGTCCATCTACGTCATTTGAAAAATGAGATACACAGATTAAACGGCGAAAAATTTAAAGAGGAGCATGAAATAAAGAAAGAGTGCTTAATGTTTTTGTGTAGAAAGGCAAGGGGCGTTCATTTTCGGGTATTTTGCAACAAAATGATATCTATTAGATTATCAATATTTGGTACATCTAGCAATAGCAGTTGGGATTGATTTTTGCATATAGTCCTGAAACAATTCTTCAGCCAACCAAAGTCCCTTGTGACTACCAAACATTAAAGCAAATGTTCGGAAGCAATGCAGTTATTCCTAGTCGTCTTGTAAAACAGGGTCACAAACGTCATATTTACTACCTTCACCGATTCTCTAACGATTCTTTAGCATAAAACATACCTCGGTTATGTCATGGGGCTGGACTGGTGATGGAGGAATCAGCATTTCGTCGCTCAGATGCCATGGCTTCGACTGTCCAAAAAAGCCAAGGAAATGTCCCGTTTTGCAATGCCACATTCTAATGTATTTAAGAGAAGTATCATTGGATAAAGAACGGTTAATAAAGTCGAAAATTGATTCAAATGATATGGTAAAACTGACACCTGGTCGTCAGAAGCAAGTGTCTTCTGTCTATAGAATGCAGGAGACAAATTAACTTTTCTAGGGACAAATAAAACAGTCAAAGTATCGATAAGCAAATTTCTAAGATTATGGCACAAAATGGTAAAATAATCACAGCCAATAGCCTTACTTATCCTATAATATAATACTAGAAATAGCTCTTGCTAGTACTGCCCGCAAACAATTAGTTCCTTGATAATGATTGTTTTGAAAATGTAGGTCAGGATATTCGAAGAAGACACCATCTTGGGTTTTCACAATTCTATAAAAACAGCTGCTCTAGTTGAAGCTAAACTATTCTTTTTATCAAGAATTTTTGGTTTTCAGTTTGCCTTTGATTTAAGTCCAACGCCCTTTTGAAAATCATGAAGTTTTTCGAGGGTTTGACATTTATTTTTCGATAATCACGACAATCATAACTTTTGCTCGTACGGTCTCGAGTTTTTGGGAGAAAAGTGTGGCATTCGACTGGTTTTGATTCCCAAAACTTCGAATCAAAACTTCCATCCATTGCGGAGAACCGAGCTGTGATGCAGCAGCGTTTTCATGCCAAAAAAACCGAAGGCCTTTAACAGAGTCTTGGCAGAGCAACGCTCCGAAGATAATTCCCTTCCGCGCAAAGAGGTGGCGGTTAACGACCTCCTCGACAAAGCCGATTGATTGACAATGAAATTGATTGACAGTTGTCATGGCAGCAGAAAAGTGACAAAATCTGCTGAAAAAGTGCTGACAACATGAACTGAAGCTTCCATATGCTACTTATACGCGGGGCAGACTATAAGCCCTTCACTCGCGCGCTATCGCACGCGAGTTGCGGGCAATAAATTATAATAGATGGATAAACAATTAAGAATAACCAAACTATTATCAAAGGTTTACTTGTAATCAACTTTAATCAAATGAAGAATATCTGGAAAACATTTACTATAAGATAATATTATATATATTTCACCTTATTCACAATACATCATTATAAGAACAAGTTAACAAAACAGGAAAAGTCTGATTCCTGATTTGACACTTGTTAAGATGTGAAGGAGCTAGAACAACGCATGGGTTGAACAGAACAGAACGATAACTTTATATTAACTTCAAACGGCCTACACACATAACTGTAATACTGTAAACTATAATTTAAAACTCTATATAAATATGGGTCACATGAAGTAATGCTCCTGCACATAGTCTATTAGGTTACTACAACACTTGCGTTACAATACGAACGGGTCCTGGTTTGTTGTAAGCACATTCAAACGGCTGAAAAGCTGGTAAGAAATATTGTTACTGGTTCATAGATAAGAATATTTAGAGAGTGATTTGAAAATAAACCTTGCTGAGATACAGACCTTACTGAGCCATCGATCGACGCAGACAGAACAATATCATAGTCTCGTATGTATTCTATATTTGTTATCTTCATTTGATGTGCCCGCCATGTCAATAGCTGCTCGATTGATTCCTAGAATCGAAGCCATAACGACACTCTTTAGTTCATATAACTTTTCAGTGTAACAAGACAGAGAGTAATGTGTCCCTTAGGGGTGTAATGGTAGGTTAATTGTTTTTTTTTGGGGGGGGGGGCTAAGCTGAAAATGTTCCAACAAAATATTCTGTACAGTGAGCAACCACTTCACTTTACCTCATGAAAAATACAGATATCTAATTATCAATGACAAATTATCTTATGCAAATTATCAAATATGTAGAATTTTCCAATTTTCCCGACAACATTTTTGCCAGTTCGCCCACCATGCAACTCCAGCAACTGCGCCTCTGTATGTTCCGAAGACTGTTTCCTTAAAAAATCTGCATGTTTCGTGCAATATTCCATTAAAGTAAAGCCAAATCTAATTCTGTTACGGTTGGCTTTTGAGCTATATCGATGCTGTTTCTCTTCTCGATTCACAAAGAAGGAAGAGATACCACTACAGCCATTGATACTTTGAAAATCTGTCTTATCCTGTCTACAAGTCAATATTCATTTCTTGACACAAAATTTAAATTATAGGGTTTAAGGGCTTTGAGTTTCAATAACAATTCAACCAAACCCTCTCTTAGAACTTTGAAACACTAGTTTCCACGAAAAAGTTTGTTACCTCCAGCTGTCTTTCATGGTTAGGCAGAACATCTCTATCAGCATCGCCAACCTTTACTGCGTCAGTAGTTATTTTCCAAAAGTCACTAAGGTTCCAGCAGCTAAGATATCCCACTACGAAAGATGGTTTGCAGCTAAATTATAAACCGTATTAACCGTATTATCAACCGAATAGACTCGATAGAGGAAAATCGTATGAAATTTTTATCATATTTCTTCTATGGTATGAAATAATAGATTAAGTAGAAAAACGACATGACATTTGCAAAATGTACCAAAACGACATTGTAGGGTAGGTATTTCTGCAAATAAATCTCGTCTAACGCATTTTTCGTATTCTTAGGGCTTTGAGTTTCATTTGAATTTCCCTTCAATTGAGACTGTCAATATAAAATTATCACTTGAAAATATCATTCTTGAGGAGTTATCATTCTTAATACCTCTTAGGAATCAGGTACAACTAGAATGATGTCAAATCCCTTTATTTTCATTTTTCTTCTATACACGACAATGTTCAAATGGATACTCCATTTGTAGATATCAGAATGTATGGCCTCCTCACAGTAACAAATCAACTTCCTCTTATGTAAAATGTCCACAGAAAGCTTCTGGGCAAATTAAAACTAAAATTTCCTCGGAAATATTATCTTGCCGTATTCCAGCAAGCTAAAAACAGACTACTTACTGGTGTCACCAGAGTAGATTTGCATGTCTTCTCTGACTTCCAACACAGCAGTGACACAGCGAGTTCTCTGAATCGCATTCGCAACGGTAATTTGCATCAAAACCTTTCCCTGAAACCCAAAAATTAAATAGTCTTAAAACATCAGGCTTGTCAAAACTTAACAAAACTTTGTATCTTATCAAATGCTAATTCAAAACCAAAAGAGGTAGTATATAAAATGACGAAATAAACATGATTTCTGATTTTACTAAAACATGGGTTGCGAGCCTTGTATAGAGAGGTACAAACAAGCTCGTCAGAGTTTCCAGCACTGTAGAAAGGGTTGAGATATCACTTGTTGGCAAATATAATTCAAATACAATATCTTTGAAAGACATAAAAATGTTACCTCGATAGTCGTCAAGGTAACAGATCCGTTTTCACTGCATACAACCAACAAGGTCATGTGTTTCATACGTCGTGCATCGAAGTTCGTAGCTGGCAAAGCATCACTTTCTCTCGTTTTTCCAGAGCTGACCAAATACGCTGGATGGCTTCCTTGCACAGAGAGCACCACTGCGTCAGTTTCGGAAGCCACACGCTCCTTGGCCAACGCGGAGCATCCATCATCTTTGTTTTCCATCACAGAATTTTTGCGTAGTGTTGCAGCAGAATTTGTTTCACTTCTTGAAAAGACAAACGAACCCCGTGTGAATTACATGTTTTAATTTACATATTAAAAATACAAATATAGTTAGAAAGGAATTTAGAGCGAACATGCTACTAATGTACAAGCTTCACTTTTCTAAAGATGCTGCTGCCGAGATTAAGGTATCACGTACAGTAAACAGTATGTTTCAGAATGAAATGAAGGCCTAAGGGTCCAAAATGGAATAATGTTTCAGCATCCCTTGCCAGTCCGCCAATTAAAAAATTAAAAAATAGCAATGGTACACCATAATACCTTGGACCCTGCGCAGGTTACCCTCGGCTACCAATGAAGACTTTCATGTTAGGGCAGGCCCTAAGCCAAACCTTTTGACGAATATTGCTTCTTTTCTGGACTTTTTGAGTGGCAAGGAATTTGGAAACTTGTATGCATTGATGAGAGCAGATTTCGTTGCTTTTTGTTAATTATAACTACCAGGCAGGGAAGTCCAGTTTTGGCTTGCTAACATACATGCTAAACAACATATCTAAACTTACCTAAAGCTTAATTATATCTTTGCCCCTAGATTATATAGTTACCTACATAATAGCTATAATTCAAAGTTGCATCACAATATGGAATCTAGATAATGCTTTTGTATTGAAAAATTCAAATTGGCTGGAAAAAGGAGAAACATTACATACAGTAGCATCATTAAGTTGAAATACTTAGGCTCAGCCAAAACAACAAATAAAAAGTTAGAACATATACCTGTCCTTTAATTCATCAGGCTCGATTTCATGAACGAGGAATTTCAAGAAACTGATTGAATCACTAGTCCAGCCCCCTGTGTTTGATGACGATTGAAAAAGCTGCTGCTTTTGGATTCTGGGTAGAGAAAATGAATAGAAATTACAACCGGGAAAGGCAGCAATAAGTCTTCTTGAGACCACCTTTAAGGAATCTTCCAAAGCCTTGAGACATTGACAAGCTGAATTCACTGTCTGCCTCTATCGCTGAACACTTGAAAGTTTAAAAAAGCAAAAAAGGAAATTTCTGGGCTTTTAATTTAACATTTCCATGACTTCATGACCTTTTTCAGTTTATCTAGGATCGTGATGTACTGGATTACGCATGAAAATACATGAAAACTGCAGTCATCGTTGTATCATCATCGCCATAATTGCATCAATTTTTGCAACAATGCAGAAACCAACTGCCTTCTAAATGTGTCATTTTTATATGCCCTTCGTTCAACATGGACCTGATTTGAAAATGTTTCCCACGGCCTTTACCAATGACATCTATAAAGATTTAATATACGAAAATCCAGCAAAATGTTACAGAAAAACGAAACTTTTACCATGTTTCTCTCACAGTTGTAAATAGATCATAGAAAATTTTGGAATATTTTCATTAAAATAAATATAAAAGACAGAGATACCCAATGACGAAAATAAAATTTTTAAGTATAGGAAAAGGGTTGAAACTTGCTTCGAAACAAGACTGTTGTCATCCATATTCCAGACAAAAACGCTTCCGTTGGAAAAACCAGCAGCCGTAAGATTGTCATCTGCAGAATAGTCCATGCAGGTTACATCACTTGAGAGAAAAACGTTGCTTAGCTGAAAAAGAAACAAAAACAAGTTGCACTGTGAATGCTACAATTACCCAACTTTGCACGTAGTTGGGAGAAATAGCGAATTCGTGCAGTTCGTAGTGTGAATTTAATACTAGGGCCTTAAAGACGAGGGGGAGGAGCCAAGGGGCAATGGCTGCATGAAAATTCTGCATGAAAATAGAGTTTTTTCGCAAAACCTTTCGTCGTGAGTCTTTAAATTGTCCTTGCTCCTCCCTTCTCGACTATTCTCTTGTGTAAGGGAAGCCTATGAAAAGCATTTGCATAAAGATAGCAATGAGCATGAAACTCTGTGTATAAGCTTCGAACCACCCTATTTTAAACACAAATGCGCGTGCGGCTCTATTTTAGCGCGTCCAACACTTTCTAACATGGTAGACCGGTTAACAGTTATCTTCCAAACATAGCGAAAATTTAGCATTTTATAACTTACAAAACTGCTTTGACGCTTGAGATCACCGCCCAGAAGATGCTTGTCGTAGGACGTTTTCCTATCGTCGGCTGGAGTCTTCTGCGGCGTATTGCCAAGTCTGATCTGTTCAACATTGATGTGAACAGTGTCGCATAGTGCGTACAACTCGATGATCGTATCAGCGGCGTCCTGGCGAAAATGGGGAAAAGGTCATCACAAAATATAGAGGCAAACCTATTCTGAAACATGTAGCAACTAATATCTTCATTTATAAAACTTAATACACAAATCTTTTTCAGCTATAACAAAAAAGGAAGCCTTTACAAAAATAATGAATAGTATATAAAATTCCTGTTCATCGAGTGAACAAAAAAAAATCTTTTTATTTGGCTGCAGAAAAAAACAAGATATATGAAACTACCACAAAAATAGAAAACTACAATGCCTGCCAAAAGTCATTGGAACACCCTGAGATTTCTGTGAACTCGCGTGTCCCCTTCTATTTCCATGTCAAAAAGGAGGGTGTTGCCCCCCTTCCCCCTCATACAATGTTGATTCGCTAGATGAAAACCATAGCTATGTAAAAATGTATCACTTGTACATGTAGGATTATTCATATTTCCGTGGCTCAACATTGTACAAGGGGGGAGGGGATGTTGCAGCTCGTGCACAACGTAAATTATAGCAAGTGTTCCAAGACTTTTGGCAGGCATTGTACATCACTTCAAGATTGCAGTAGACACCCACGTAAAGAAGTCTGGAATTTTGCCTCTCAGTCTAAACAATTTTTATATGAATTGCATTCAGTTGAAAAGCAATTTAGGTTGTCAAAGTGGTTTCTATTTAAAGTCAAGACTAAAACCACTTTTTTCATTAAGAATTTATTTGAAAGTAACAGCATGTACCAAAACTATATGAAAATGATGGAGCAGGTGTATTTGATAGTGTAATACTTTAATTGAGAAAAACAGAATAATACTTTAATTGATCCACAATTAAGCAATTTTTAGGATGTTTTGGCTCTAACTAGAGAGAATTCTAATGCCAAAATCTCACTTTGCAGATTCTTAAGACATTAAGTTATTACGGGTGGGTTTAGGCCGTATGGTAAAATGCCATCTTACTTCTCTTTCCACCGTTTTCCTTGTCACACAAATCAAAACGCATAATTTTAAGAAAAACCTACCTGGAAAACACGCACGCTTCGATTGGCCGTTCCCGCGATGATCAATTTCGTCTCATTGTGACCAATATATGCAACATTGCAGATTTTTGACATTTTTGATACTTCAGTGTTGTAACTTTTGAGCAAGCGTGAGCTGATGCAATCCCAAAGCCGCAATGACCCTACAAAAGATAGCAAGATCTTAATACCACCATTTTGACATTCAGAATAAATTTCTTCATTGCTAATTTTACCGTATTAATTGTGAATACTTATACAAAGAAGCTTAAAATATCGATAAAATTTTTTAGTCTAAAATCTCTGTAAAATGTTCTTGGAAAGCCCTGTTGCATAAGTGCTTTTTAGATAAAACTACTCCAGGTGCCAGAGTTTCCATTGTTTTTTCTCAGAACTGTTGTTTGTAATTAGTCACAGAAATATTTTTTGAGGGATTCCTTGCCATTGCAGCGGTCTACAATACTTTATCGACGGATTCTTGAGGCTCTGGCACCCAGGGTAAGAGAAAATAACATTTTGCAGTAAAAAAGGACCAAAACCGCAGTTACTCTGCACCTAAACAATGGTGGTTATAACGCTAAGTAATATAACTACATTTTGGGGCCAATTGGCCAATATCATAGCAGTTAATAGCATATAAACAAAACTATTCAACGGGAAGGAGATAGGGATATCATGTGCAGAACTTTTACCAGTGCACCAATACTTCGCCTATAGGATTCACAAATTGGGTCTCTTGAAAGGAATGGTAGTAGCGTTGCTACAGTTCCCCTAAAGCACCAAATTTTTCGGAAATATTGGAGGTTTAGTTACTTTGTCGGAGTTTGTAGAAGAATTGTATCTTTAATCCAAGCAATAATTTATTTCTCACTGCCTCCTAATGGTAACTAGGGTTGCCCTTGATCAAACAGTGTATTTACTTTCCTATGTGTTGTAGACAAACAACTTGGGGCATATATTTGACTGGGTTAACCCCCGTCCCTGCCATCAAATACCACGTGAAATAAAATGAAATCACGAAAAATAACCCTTTGGTAATTGTTCTTTAAAAATGTTGCACTGAACTGAAAAATCTCGGAGCAGCATTAAACAAGAATTTCCCTTACCGTCCTGCCCAGCGGTGATTAGACGATGGCCCGTATCGTCAGTGACCATTGCAGTGATGAACGTAGATTTAGATCCATGGGCCTGGGTGATAGTGTACACCAACTCTCCTGTTTCGATCTCCCATACCTAGAAATTATTATTATTATAACTATTATTAAAATCATATTTTAACAGGTTGGCTTCTTTCATTTCTGCTATCAATGAAGGACCTGCTGTACATACAGTTATACAAATCTTACGAAAATATAATAAAAAGCAAGAAATCAGTTAAAATATACAGTTTAATCCAAATCTTAAAGTCCATAGAGAATAGGAGAGAAAAACTAAGAAGTTAAATTAGTCAAGTTTCGTTTGAATCTGCAGATAGAGCGTTCTTTCCTCAATTCTACTGGTTACATGTTGAAGGCAAGTGCACCTTGTACAACAAACGACCTTCTTCCTGCTTCATTGTTCAAATCATATCCGTGGAATTAGAAATGTGACTGATATCAACCGTCACAGTATTTGGCTTGTGTAATTGAGTACACGATGAAATGGCCACTTTCCGTGCTTCCATGAGCACTGATCAACGTGTTTTTCGAAATATAAAAAAGATCACAAACCTTTAAAATGCACTCGATGCAGGCAGAAACTACCTGATTGAGGACAGCGTTATACAGCATACACGATATCGACTGTTCGTGAGTGTGGGGTACAATTTGGCTGTCTTGGTCTCGATTAACGGGCCATAACTCAATAATGTTTGTTCCTTGGAGAGAAATAACGATATAAAACAGTTCAAATACATTAAAAACCAATAATAAAAGATAAAAGTAAACAGAGACCTAAGAATGTTTTTGAAAGGCGTACCTGTTATAAGACGATCATATTTACTGTCAAATTGCATCACACAAGTTCTGTTTTCAGCAGTGAGATTCTCCCCAACCGCAAAAGTCTGTAACGAAAACATTTCGTTCAAGAACATACCGTAAATCCTCGAATAAGCCCCCGGGGGCTTATTTGAAAAAATGAATTTTTGGGTAGGGGCTTATTCGAGGGGGGCTTATTTAAAAGTTTAGTATTTCCCCCAAAAGGTGGACATAAAAAAGACATTTCTAACAAATCTAACAAAGAGCTAACAAATATTATAATTCTTTATCATCACAAAAGTCACTTTTTTGCTTTTTGGTCTCCAGTCAAAGGAAGTAATACTGTATAGCTATTGTCCTGTAGGGCTTTCTCGAAATAAGATATTATTCTGCAATTATGCTTACCTCAAATAAGCGCCCATGGGGGCTTATTCGAAGGAGGGGCTTATTTGCAAAAATGATTCTTTAGGTGGGGGTTTATTCGGAGGGTGTAAGTAAGAATATCCGGTATATAACAACGAAAGAGCACCCGAATTCGAACTTCAATACTCCATTTCATATTCTCACGCATAACATAATATAACATAACATAACGAACCGGGCGCATGCCCAACATAACATAAATACGAGGCTAATAACGTCACAGAGGGGGGGGGGCTTATTCGAGCGTGGAGGCTTATTCGAGGATTTACGGTATTGCAAATTAGACTATATTGGTAACAGATATTTCTCATTGGTTTCATTAGTACTGCTGCTAGAAGAAAAAACAACTGATACGATTTTCCAACAAAATCCAACTAATGCTCAAACGAAAAATATTTGCTGCATCAAAATTCACCTCCCTTCAGAAAATTTTTCTGCAACGAAATCGTCTCTTTAGGGAACATGTTCCAAAAAGAAATATCGTTCTTAACAAAAAAGTCTCATTTGTATTTTTATCAACAGACAAGTGACACTGATTGGACAATTATCACAGTCATGTACTCGCATTTCTGATTGGCCTATTTCCATCATCAACTGGGTATATATTTTTCCGAGCTAAAGGTTTTCGAATTATATTCTGAGACGAGCGGGCACCAAAAACTTAAGAATGTTTGTTTTCTACGAAAGCCATTTGAAAAATCTATACCACCAAAAACCTGTTTTAGAAAGTCTACTTTTACACAGACACACTCTGCAACGGAACAAGCTGGGATCAACCTCTATGCAAAACAATGGATTAAACATTCTGACACAATATTTACAACATTATGATAACACGGTTTACCTGTAGTCCTTGCATCTTTTGTAGATCCCAGATCCTGAAAATCTGGAAAGAGTACGTGCAGAAAAAGTTGTGAACATTCTTCAGATACGAGGCACAAATCGACAAAAAACAGCTAAAAAATTTTTCAATCATCAACAGATGTGAACAAATGTAACGGTTAACAATTTGGAAATGAAAATTTTGTCTCTAGATATTTTAGTTATTTTAGTTTAGATGAAAGTTAGAGAGAGTGAGTTTTGGAACCAAAGGCTGGACATTCTTTTCATACATAATTTATGTCTAAATTGAATACATAATCACTCATCACTCCATAGTTTTGTAATGCATTTATGCGTGCATATAAAATGTATGCATTTGATGAGATGAATTTGAGTATGTATGCAATGTTATGCATATGTTTTGAATACGTAATAACTCTTAACTTCATTTTTTTCTGCTGAATCTTATCAAAAAGGAATTGAGTCTAGTGTCAAGGTGAAAGAAAATGATAGAAAAACTCTCCAACTTTTATAATAAACGAATTTATAATATGAGATAACATTAAAGATGTAATGAATGGTGGGATGTAGGGGGGTGTGAAACTCCCTAATTGAGTCGGTAAATCTTTAGTTGGTCCGTAAAATCGTCTATCGATAGTTGAGATAGCACCAGAATTTGTCTTCATCTTGTCCTTCGTCAGTAATTTTAACTATTGAGGACCCTCCACAGCCCCCCCCCCCTGTTTTAGTCTAGAAGGCCAAGCAACGCCACTAGATAATATAGATTCAAAGCAATTCAGAAGTCGATCATTGCATAAAAATAATGATTAATTTAGCAGGATAAATATTTACTCTAGCCGTTGACAAACTGATCAAATGCTGGTCCCTTTCATTGCATGCGATATCGGTAACAGTAAAAAGGTGACCAATGAGTTTGCCTGGAAACGAGGAAATGTTATTTTTTAGAGGAGCTTTAATCTTAAATATAATGCAGGAATGCAGAATTATTTAATGCATCTATTGGAGCAGGAAAAAAGAAGGGAGGAGCTGTAATCATAAATACAATGTAGGGATGCAGAATTATTTAATGCATCTATTGGAGCAGGAAAAAATAGAGAAGCACGGGTAGTAATATCAACATTAACAACGAGTCCAATAACCATGAATTGTTCTGCAAAGGCAACGCTTAGTCACGTGTTGCTAAAACTTGAACAAACTTGTGAGTCGTGCCTTTTCATTACAAAATTTCGTAAAATCAAATAGCATCATAAATTGATAACGATCTTCACAACTCGTGATGTCAACAATGGTTTAAACATGCAAAATATAGGAAGATATGACATACCTGTTGGCCTAGACATGATGATTGGATGCCAGATTCTCAAAATTTTATCTACACCTTTAGAGAAGAAGGAATATTTTAAATTAACTAGCATTTGTGGAGTTTTTGGCAACATTTCTATCATACATTCAACGATGTGAAATAAATTTATTTATGGTTCTGAGATAGTCCTACAAAAATAAGCTGAAGAGCAAAACTATTGATCACATACTTTTGGACTAGCCAGCCAGACTATTGGCAAAGCATGTACGGTTGATGCAAACGGCATTTGATCAAAATTGAGGTAATACAATTTATTTCAACATTCTCTTACCTCCTGTTACTATTGCATTTGCTCTAACGCAGTATACGAAGCAGTTTACACCCTTGTGCAACGACATTTCACGGACAGGCCTAAAATGGGAAAAAATCAAGCATGGCGGGTGTTGACTGTGTCACTACTTAGCGACCTGATGGGTCACTAAAAAATGCTACCTACAGTAATTTTTTCAAACAGATATCAAAGATTTACTTTGAAATATGTTCAGGTTACTGTTACTGGTTCTAAATTAAAGTGACAAAAATATACAACATTTTTGGAGAGCAAAAGTGACATCATGAATATCTAAGCCCGAAGGCTGCCATCGAGCAATTTTTTTTTTCTAAACTAGCACCTGCTGAAAAGTTGGTTAAATGATTTTGAAGTAAACTGCAACTCCAAAGCATTTATTGAATTTATCGTATAAAGAAAAATGCTACTTACCGGGTGTCCATTATATTGTCTAATCTTGAAAGAACAAATGAACATTCCTTGTCACTGGAACACGATCCAAACATTTGTAGTTGCGGAATATACTTCAACTGTAGAACGAAAGATCTTATTCTGAGCCAGTGAAAATTTAAACCGTTATCACTAGAAACGGGAAGTAAATTTATGATTCACTTAGGTTACAAGAAGACCACAATATTTTAGCATCTATCAAAATATAATGCGAAATATGTAATGGTAGAGGTTTAGAAGGTTCCTGGAAACTTCAATTTTACTTTATACAGGAAGTAGGTGCTATCAAAAGAAAGATGCCATCAAGGGAGGGTTCATTACAAGTAGTATTGGTAGCTGCATAATGTTTTAAAAGTGTTGAAAGATTTATCAAGAGTTTTACAAGTGACTAAAACCTACCTGCAAAATCCAATCATTGTGAAACTTTCTCCGCACAATTTCCCTGTAAAAGACAAGGTTTTTCAAGCTTTCCTTTTCCTTACAATTCTACAATTTTCAAATGGGATTTAGTCAAAATACTTTGAAACCTGACTTGGTCTTGATCCTTTACTGATTAAGCTACCCCCACCCACTTGCAAGTACATGCAACCCTAGGAAAAATTAGTATTACAAAATCTCAGTTACTGTTTGAAATTTCTCACCTTGTCAACTCAGTTGGATCGATAACATTGTTTGTATCCCCATGATCCTTTTCGACCTTGCCAACTTTTTGAAAGTCTTTGCAATTCAACGTCATCAAGCTAATGTGGCCTAAAGATGGAATCATAGATGCAAAGTGGCTGAATTCCAGTCCTTTCACAACTTTTGATATATATTGCATGAATTTGTATAAAGTTTAGGAAAGCACAAAACAGAAGTATCTAAGCTATGAGACAGCACACTAATTGAAAGCAGATTTGTTGCAGATTTTGCGATCATGTTTGTCAGAATTTCGAGATTGGCGGTAGAAATTTTACTATAGATACGAGAAATTATTGGAGATCCAAAGATTTGTTGCACGGAATTCAGTTACCTTGTTCATCTCCATAGATGAGATAATCTTCCGTCCCTGGGTTGTGCTTCCATGGGACTCTTGTAACACACTGAGGCGAGTCAATTGGCTTTATGTGAAAAACATTCTGCAATATTCATTAAGGAGTAAGATAAAACAGAATAGGAAAATAAAACAGAGGGTGGGGCGAGGGTGACAAGGAGGACAGTGCAAAGAAAAGAAAAAGGTACATCGTATTAAAACCAATGCAGGTGTATATTACGAATAACTCCTTCATAGATTTAAAACTGAAGCGAATAGTAAATAAAATATAGTCGGTAGCTTAAACACGTTAGCTTAATTCAATTACAACAGAAGTTTTAAACAAAAACAATTTCAGAGTGATTCCTCATTTGGAACTTACCCTTTCTTTTCCTTTGGCCCTGTAGTTCCATATCACAATCGATCTTTCTGTTGATATCTTTAGAAAAAGAAAGTTATCAGTTTATGAGTGTCACAATAAACTTTTGTTAAGAAGCAAAAACCAGAATTCTAAACAAAGGCAGTAGATGAGAATATTCATGGTGGAGGTATTTCCTCTTTAATGGAACATGTAACGCATCCCTACGCAGTTAGAGGTGATTTGAGCATTCGGAAAACTTGCTCTTCCTTGAACTAAACTTTCTGCTAATACTTGTGCGCCAATGCTGCACCCCACGTCATGTCTCATACCCACTGAATTAAAAGAAGCCCTTTGAAGTGCACTTATTAATCTAGATTTGTCTTGTTTCACCGTCATCAATGGATAGGGAGTCCCCCTTAAAGTATTACGTTAGTTAGCCTCCTCCCCTAGAATTTTACTTAGCTGCTTAATCTGTATGTACAAGAAATTGGCATACAAATCCTTAAAAACATTATCTGCACAAGATGAAAACTTTTCACAGGTGGAATGTGTATGACAGCCTCAGATCATACAGATCCGATGTTGCACAGGAAGAACTCACAATTAATTCAATTCAATTCCATTGACAATTCAATTCAATTCAATTCAATTCAGCTCACCGCTATTCTTCTTAGGTCTGGCAAAATGCAGCATCCAGTTACCCAAGAAGACTCCTGGTGAAAAAAAACAGAACAATATCGTTTCCGCTCGGGGTGAAAGCTTTCAATAGGATCTAACAACATCATCTAGAAAACCAACTGTAAAAACGATGGAAGAGGGAACGTGTTATAATTACAGAAGGATAGAAAGGATGAGAGCTGCCTGAACAACGAGAACAATGATACTAGAAAATTGATTTGTGATTGTAGATAAGAGACTTGAATGCATCGAAAGAGCTCTAGAAAAATAAGCAAAAAGTTTTGAAAGGAAGTGAAGTCATCCAACAGATTCTTAGGGTTGCGAATTCCAAAGTACTGCTTTTGTAACATAGATGTTGCCAGTGTGGAGGCTAGAGGAATTGAATTCCTCCTGGGAATTTTGGAAAAGAACTTTAGGGGCACTTTCTGATAATATTAGTCTTAAATCATTTCGGAAAATGAAAAGCCTGCTCCTATGTGCTACAATTCACAGAAATAGTTAGATTTTTTACAGGCTAACGAACAGTGAGGTTATAATTAATAGATGAAGAAGATTAAATATCAACACCTACCCCAATATCAATGGAAGATTTGAATCGAAACTGTAAACAAAGAAAATCAGAAAATCAGAAAATACAAGCCGTTTACGACCTTGTTTTTTTAAAAAAAAGTTTTGATATTATTTTCAAAAAATACAGAAAAATGTTTGAATTTCCCTAATCACAAATAATAACATGTTTGTGAGGAAGTGAAAAAAAATCAATTGTTCGATGTTGAGTAGACAAAGGCAGATATCTTCAAGTTAACAGAGACTCAAGGCATCGATAGTGTGTTTAACTGTCAGGATTTTACCGGCACAACTCGTAAAATACCGAGCAAAAAGATTCCCAGTGTATTTCAGGATTCAGCAAAATCCACGCAAACAAACTGCAAATTTCAATCTACAAAATCAAAACAATGATCATAAGTACTTTAGAATTCCAGTGACATGCAATTCCGTGCAACGTGACAGTGACAAAAATGTTCAGCTCAGTAGAGTATGTGATGCATTTGATATTTTCACGGCTTCTGCGATCACCTGTAATCACAAATCAAAACCACGTGAGACGATACTTTCAAGTAAAAATTTCTCTGCTTAAGGAGGCAACAACATTGAAGCACTGAAGTTGGTCAAAGATTAAAGATATAATGTAAGATACTGAATGTACATGTCTGAGATGAGTCAGCGTGGCCCTACGATTAACATTCAAAAATAAAAAAGGATAAAAATGATTTTGTGACAACATTCTCCTGTTTAAACCGAGTATAATGTTAATTTGAAATGAAGAAAAAATAACTTACAAAACACACGAAAATTTTGCCCTAGAATAAAAGAATTCACCGGAGAAGAAAGCAAAATTAGCTCCTTCATCAGTTTCATCTTTGGATGGACTAATTATTGTTCCTTAGTCAGACTAACTATTTCCGTTTTCATTTCTCTTCGTAAGAGGTCGTCGGAGAATAAATTATTATATAAAAGATGGAAGATGAAACTCACCTCCTGCTTGCCCAGCAATTATTTTTGAATCAAGTGTAAAAATGTCAAGAGTTTGATTTGGCTGTGCAATTTCATGGAGATCTTCTGTCACAGTTGTATTTATTCCAAACAACTGAAATCAGAACATTTAGCATCCAAGTTATTGATACACGATTTTTTTCGAGTTACAGGCTTGTAATCACTTAATCTTCACACGATTGACCAAATATAGTAACAGTATCTTCACATGCCCGACTAAACACCGTAAATCCTCGAATTGGCCCCCCTCGAAAAAGCCCCCCCCCTCGAACAAGCCCCCACCCTAGCACTACAAATTTTCAAATAACCCCCCCTTCAAATTAGCCCCCACTGCTACCGTGAATTCTCAAATGGGAGCCCTCAATTTGATGATTTTTGCCATCTGAGGTCGCCTATCGCGTTTTATTGAATTACCACAACAAATTCATACTTTTGGTAGTGATTAATTAAATGCTCATAAAGAAATTTCTACTAAACTAAAAGAGGTCTTTTAATAATGTTTTCTTAATGTTAAAAATGATTCTATAAGCCCCCCCTCGTATAAGCCCCCCTCTCGAATAAGCCCCCGTCTAAAAATATCAAAAATAAATAAGCCCCCAGGGGCTGATTTGAGGATTTACGGTATGGTAGACTGCAGATTGCAATTGGTGACTGGGTAATGTTTTTATGCCAGGTGGATAGTCGTGGAAAATATTCACAATTTTGTACTACATATCAAACATAATATGCATTACAAATAATGGTTGTTAGATTTTATTGGATTGCTGATATTTTTTTTATTTTGTTCTGAAGTATGTAGTAGGCGTTGGCATTAATTAGTTTTAGTGTTAAGCTATAATTTTGTAGCTGCCAGCTTAAAAGAAACTGATGAAAATAAGAATGAAGAACAATAATAGACTTGACCAATACATCCATTCGTTTAGCAACCTATCTTGGGTGCACAAAGTTGACCATTATATACAGGCCTGGTTTGGCTGTGACATCTGATAATAACAAAAGGATCTGCAAACGAGGCAACATTTTTCTGGTTTGTTGTTGCAGTTTTCAAGCAACGAAGACTATGCTTACCTCGCCCCAGTCTACCTCTGCATCAGGAGAAGTAGCGATTTTTCGAAATACCGCCTTGATATCTTGTGTCTGGACATCGTTTCCAAACAGAGTTCTTACCAGTTGCAGAAAGGGGGTGTATCCTTAAAAATAGGGAAGAACATAAATCCTGATACACAATACAGGTTAATGGTGCATAAATTTTGCAGTGTTTCATTATACAGTACCAGTTTTAATATATGGTACCGGATACTGGAAAACATTTATTTATCACGAGAAATGTTGGACAACTTTTAAAAAAACCTGGCTTCTAATAGATAACAAGCCGGCCTCTATTAGGCGACTTTTATCGCACGACAACACATGCGCAGTGGGGAAGGCATAGAATTTTGGCGAAAGATAGAATCGAGTCTATACTTCCATGCAACATCGAAATTCTAGGAGAAGATTTCGAAAAGTAAAAATCAGGGCCGTCACTAGCGGGGGGTGCGGGGGTGCGGCAGAAGCAGGGGGTGCTTATTTTCTAAAAGTAGAGTTTTGTCGGGTTTTGCTTTTAAAGTTCCCAAAGCAATAGCTTCAGCGAACAGTAGGGATAAGATGAGGATGTGAACTTAAATGTACTGCCCAAAAGCCCTCAGCAATTCAAAACAGGAAATTATAGCGCTATGGGTGTCACGGAGGGGCAAATGTCCCCCAAAAACTTCAAATGACTCCCTTTCGGCAGCATAAGTCTAGAATCTTATGTCCAATATCCAGGGAGACCTAATTTCTGCCTAAAGTTTGGGGTTTAGGGAAGGGTCAAAGTTTATTGAAAAACTCTGAACGTTGATCCTGGAGGTACTGGAAGCCACTGTAAGCAGGGAAAGGGGGCAAAGTGCCTCAGGGCCTTGAGGTCGAGGGGGCCTCAAGTAGTAATGAACTCCATTTTAAGAATGAAATCAATGAAACGTAGGTATGCCTAAAAATAGTTAAAAGTTTTAAACGATTGCAAGAAATGACTGCAAGAAATATTCTGAAATGCATTTTAAGACAATCTAAAGGGCGTGGTCGCAAAAATTTCCCGCTCGCAGGGGGACCTCGTTTTTCGGTTTTCTTTCAAGGCCTTCGAAACCTAAGTACCCACAGTCACTCGAAAATTGAAGCGATGATTGATTAACGAGAACATCCTCTTTGATAAACAAAATCAATTGCCTCAAAATGCCACACCCCTACATTGAAATAACTTAGGCCACGCCCTATTTCGTCGGCAAATTGGTGACTGGCAGCCCCGTAAGTGAAAATGCTTAGCGACGGCCCTGGTATAAATAGCCCACGGTGTTGAAGCTGGGTCTCATTCACGGATATAATCGACTCATCCTTTTCTGCCTTTAAGCGTTAGGGATCTTTGCAGGCTACCAATTTCAAATCCTGTTTAGCCCCTTAATCCAGATTGATACCTTAAAATAAAACAGTAAACAATTGCTATTTTGTTCTTCGTTGTACCATTTTGGGTAACTCCCTGCCCTATCTTATCATCTCTTCACTTCAACAGCCCCACAACACTTTATCGGCCCATCACTTTTCAGCTTGACTTTGATTGAAGCTGCTCCAAGTCTTGACTAAAAATCATGCTCTCCTCAAACGTATCATGCCGAAGAATCACAAGGGCACAGTCAAAGCCCCAAAACCATTTCTACAACACTGACAAGCCGGTAGAATTTTAAGGTCAGCCAAATCGCATCAATCGTCAATAGAATGGTGAATCTAACAAATATTTGGTTGAAAAATAAAAACTTTATGTCTTAATAATGAGCTACTTGTAACGTCAAGTCAGCAAATAACGTCCCACGCCCAGCAAAAGATATTTGCGTAGCAGCAGTTTTGCCTCAGCAATTTGCGTCAACTTCTTGTTCATGAAAATATTCTACCAATCTTTCAACTTCTGTAAAGCGTTAAATTCATCGTCCCTCCTTTTCAGCACTGTGGTAGTAAAAATTCAACCTAAACGAGGCACTTACTCCTTCTGAAAGGGCAGCAAAAACTTTAGGGGCAGGGAAACGGTAGTTCTTAGCCTCCCGGACCGAAAAGACACCGGAAGAGCTGCGAGGAAGGGGGCAAAGCGCCAAAAAAGGGCACAACGATAGCATAATAGAGAAAATTGTTTAATTTTGCGAGGGCAAGGGGGCAGCTGCCACCAAGCCCGGCGTCACTGTAGGTTCCTACAATCCTACCCTACGTTTTCTATAAAAGTTATGGAAGATTTAATACGTTTCAAAAACATATGACTATCCTCACCATTTGTGAAGCGAGATTGCAGCAGTTGCTGCCTTTCCTCTGGATTCAGCTCCTCATCAATGTATGTAAAATCGTTTATGAACTGATAAAACTTCCCAAGCTTTTCTTTAAATACTTCACTTGAATATTGCTTGAAAGTTGGTTCCCGTTGGAATGCTTTGAACATCACATATCGCTGTTACGCAGTCCTTTGAAGGGTTTTGGTATTTAATACTGAAATCTGAAACATCAAAGGTTGAAACACGTCGTTAAATCGACAGCATCCTAGCAACAGTCACAATGTTCTACACATAAAATTCAGATCTCGTCACCTTTATCGATAAATTCTCTAATTAAATGAAAATATCACTGTTATCGTCTTCAAAATGATTTTTTGGCGATCTTATCACAAACTTTTTTATAATTGTGGTTTGATCACTTGGTGGAGACAGCGGAGATAGACAAAGACAAAGGAGACAGAGTGTTTGGACTTCAGTCATCAACCGCACATCATCAACCGAATTAAAAAATGTTAGACAGGAAGATTGACTTTGAATTTATAAGTATATTATAGTCGTGTGGTTAAAGATACAAGTTGATTAAATTATGGGACCATTAAAAGCAGGAGCAATTAATCTCTGGATTTCAAACCATGCAGAAATCAAATTGGTTTAACAAGTAATGGTAAATGTTTTTAGCATAGTAACCAAATCCATTCAAAGGACTTGATCCAAAGAATGGGTGCCTTTTGGGGATTTAAATTGAAGTACAGGATAAAATTCAAAGCACAATCTGGGGCTTCAAACAAGAATGACATTGAAGGTAGCTTTTAAGAAAGAGAGTGTTAAGTTACAATCTATAATTGGTTTAAAACAATTTTGAGCTCCTTCTATGAAAAAAGGAATAGGATAGTCATATTTAGACAAATTACTCAGAATTGAAATTATAGCACTCAATGCTTCACAACCTATCTACAACTTCAGTATTAGTTCTTATAATAACCTTTTACTGCAAAATTGGATGCTTAACTGTAATATGGCAACATCCTAAACAAATATTGTGTGATGATGACTTAGTAGTTAGGTTGGAGAATATGGAGCTACCAACCCAAGAGTCTGGGGCTCAGTCCCTGGCACATTTAGAGAGAGGAGAATCATCAGCTCTCTGTATTTCCAGACATCAAAATAGAGAGAAGGGACAAAGACACTCCTGGATAAGCTGGCATCGCAGTGCATTGAAAACTATCTTTAGCTTCTAGGTAGTAGCAAATACAACTGAAAACATTAAAATGTTCGTATATCATTATGAATCAAAATGAACCAAACCACACAAAACTAAGCAGAGAATATCAAGATTGTAAGTTTTTCTAAATCACAAAAAAATCTAAGAGTTAGCAAAAGCTCTAGATCATAATAATTTTACTGTTGTTGGTAATTTAAACCCTGAACTATTTAGACAGATAATTCCCCCTCTGAAAATTTCCTGTCTTCAAAGAGAAGTGATGATCATGAAGAGGTCATCCGGACTAATAATCTAAATATTCAAGACCATCTAAAGGTTGGCCCAGGGGGTAGTGGGTCAGAGCATAAGGCCCATCCTAATAAAGAAACTATTAATTAGGGTCAGCTCCTAAGAATAGTTCCAAGGGTAAACAGGATTATTTTATTCATTTCCTTCGACTTGTTCATAGGAGCAATTCATTAAATTTCCAATTAGAACCCAAACATAAAAGCTGGGTACAACTGTGTAACAGCTAGAACTTTTCTCCAGCAAAACATGAGGACTTATTCCCGCGAATATCAAGCTATCAACTTGCAAAGGAATATTACTCAATCATTTATCGTTACCATAATACATTATCATTTTAATCAAATCATAAACGGTCATAATAAAGAATTATTTTTCTATCAAAAGATAAAGATCTAGAATTGCAATACTAATATATTAACTCTCAAAAAAATCTGGTAAAAAATTGTACCATTCTGTTTACATGCCGTGATTAAGGACGATTTTGAACGAAGTATAACGGCTATAGCCGTTTTATCGACTCTTTGAAAAAGTGTTCGTCGCCCTAATAGTAATACAGAGTGTAGGCCTAAAAGGAAAATTTTCCAGTGACAAAACAACGTTAAACAGCAAGCCATGCGTGGATCTGAATCCATGGTCGTGGTGGATAGTAAATATTTTGCCAATCAATAAACATGAAATATCGGAAATAAGTTTTGATAACCTTACCTTTAGCTGTGCTGTTGCATCCTTTTGTAAGTTAGAGTACTCTCGTGAGCTGATCTGTCGTTGTCGAGTCTACGACGGACATATGATCAACAGTACAAACCTCCTAGATTCTTGGAAATCCAATCAACCAATCAGAGGCGCAGATTCTCATCCTCGGTCAACATTGGCTGCTGAAAGGTAAATAGTGAAGCGCGCTACACTTTGTCGCTATGGCTACATTTGTCCACAACCTTTTGAGATTCATAAAAATCACTGTTGTTCATTCTATTTTCGTCTTCTTTCAATCAAAAGCAGCATTGTTAAATATTTGAATCGGAGTTTGTTTTTCGCCGATCACGTTGTTTGAAAAAGAGGGCAAACATATTTTTTTGATTGAAACGCACATTATTTAAAAAGAATCCCTTAATTTTTCTGCTTTGCCTCGGTATTTTTAAAAATCATTTTCAGGCGTCACAAGTGTAAGTTTGGTAAGAATCAAGAAAAATATCTTGATGAAATGTCTCTTTACATCAGAAAACAGTGGTGGCGCCAGGGGATGACTAAGGGGGGGGGGGGGTATAGCCCCTCCGTCAGAAGCATCTAGCCCCCTCCCCATCAGAGTTAATTTTAGGTTTTTGTCGGAGCAAATTTGACAAAATAACGTACGAAAAACTGCTTATTTTAGTCATTTTAGCACCCCTGTCGGAAGCTCCAACCCCTCTATCGTAAGATTTCTGGTGCCACCACTGTCATGAAAAAATTTTAGGAAAAAACTTACTAGCAGGGTCAGATACAGGCGGCAAGGATTGGGGGATGGGGGTATTATATAATGATTGGATTTTGGTGCCACACCCTTCAGGTAACTGGAAAATGATGGATACGCCAATTTTAAAAATTAAGCTTCTAACTTCAAGCTAAAGACGATAAGATAATAAATAAAGTAAATTTTTACAGTATTTTGTTACAACTGACCACCAAAAATGCTTTTTACCGAATTAAAACAAAATTTACCAAAGGGCACAGAAATATTGAGCGGTGGGGGTGAGACATACCCCTTACACTCTCTGGTAAATCCGCCCCTGCTCACAAGCACAACACAAGCTTGTTGAATACAATTCAAATTTTTTACATGTTCGCTCAAAACTCAGAAATTTAGGAATTCAAGCTGTTGATGAAAATCGAAATTCTAAATCTGGTCTTGAATTTATTAACCGCTTTGAGTCTCAAAACTATAATAAAATTTATCCTTTTAGGTGTCTACTCTTTAGCGTCAATAATTCCAAAAAAATTAGAAATGGATGGTGATTCAATCATAACCAGAAGCAATTGGTGGCCCTAAAGGACATCCCCGAAAAAATTGATTACTAACATCATCAGCTCTTTAGAAATTTTCAGCCCTTTTTTCTCAACTGTCTGCAAAACATAGCTCATTTCAAACTTATACAGTAAAATTTGATTTTCTAATAATCTTTAGCCCTAATGTTAACACCCCCCCCTCAGTGCACCCCTGAAGGAGCTATCAATAAACTTTTGAAATCTAGATTTCAGTCCAGTCAATAGTTTGCATCCCCCCAGTAAGGGCTGACATTAAACTTGAAAGTTTCTTAAAATTCAAGCTTATTCAATTATCAAATCTCATAACGAATTAATTTCAAATTTATCATTTTCAGGCCTTTGTAAAGTACACACTATTTTTCAAACTTTCCTAAAGATATGGATTTTATAACAAAAAGGAACTTTAAAGCTCTCCCTAATTCATACTTAGAGACAGGCCATGGTCAATAAGACAGGTTTATTAATAACTTTTTTATGTTAGTAAATTGATCAATCTGACTCTTACATGACCATAGGGTCAACTTAGCTACATTTTCATGAATTGTTTATAAAAGTAAGATTATCCAAGCACACACCTGTGTAATGCCAGGTTTTTTAATATGACATATATTCAGAAATTTCTGGATATAAAATTCCAACATGAAACATGGCTTTCTTTGCATGATTTATACAGTTTACTAAAGCACTGAATGAATGGAATTCGAATATTCTCCCTTATACTGTTCTGTAACTTCATTATACCAACAAATACAAACTAATTTAAAGTATAACAAATGGCTGAATAAAAATTCAGCCAAAAATAGTAAGTCTTTGTTATAAAAAACAGATAAATTATGTTAAATTTTCTTCAAGTTTTCAATAAATTTCTGGCACATCATATCCCAGAAAGTCTTGATTTTCGTTGAGAAGGCACATTGAAGAATCTTTTAAAAGGCCAAGCAGTTTTTGCAAATCTGCCTTTCGGAAAAGAGTATACAATTTCCTTTGTTCGCTTTGGATCACATCTGCAATTTGCAAGCACTCTTTATATTTTCCAGATGAATGGAGAACAGTATGAAGAAGAAAACTTAGAAACGGAATGCTTACTTCTTGAATATGTTTCATTTGCTTGTTTCGTGTTGAATTAGCATCTTCATCTGCATGAATGTCAACCATCCATCCTTCAGGAAACAATAGAACATTGTATACTTTCTCTGACACATGCATAACATGGGTATCTAGAGTCCTTTTCCACATTGCTTTACTCTCAGTGTATTCCTTTATGTTTGCTTCAAAAGTTACTTGCTCTTTGAAGGTCTTTATTTTCTGTTGTTTTGGTTTTACTGGCGCATTGTTATGAAAATGCTGGAACCAAGCATCAAAAGCACTATGGGCATCTAAATATGCCTTAATACAAAGATACTCCTTCTTTGCATTTTCATACTCCGGGGGAAGTGGGGAACTGCCAGCTTTTGCTTCCCATTCTTGCTGGATAATGTCGATTGAGTCTTTTGGTAGCTTTTTGAAAACTTCTTTTGCCGGCTCCAGTTTCTTTGCTGTAATAAATCCACGTATGATGGCATTGGCTTGCACAACTGCTTCAATGCGTTGTGTTGGCTCTAGAATAAGCCATTCAATGGATTCAATCTTCTTTTTATCACCAGCTGTCAAAGAGCTATCATCTTGCAATTCATCTGGGTTTCTTTCACGAATGTTCTCCACAACTCTTTTTGCAATTGCTTTCACATCAAGGCCCTCCTCCCTTGCCAGCTGTGCAAAGCGTTCTCTTTCACTTGGCACTTCCACTTGCTCTAAAAACTCAGCATAAGTATCAATCTGAATATCAGGTGGCAACTTTGCTGTATACAAAGCAACTTGATCCCACTGCTCCTTTGAGATCAGTGCAACAATATATCTTTGGAGTATTTTTACATACAGATCTTCATCAAGTTGCAAGCCAACAGTTTGGAAGAACAACACAATATGAGCTAAGAACCTCAACATATGTGTTGAAATTCTATCACTTTCATCCATGAGCATATCAACTTCTTTCAATAAATTTTGCTGCTCATCCAAAATCATATGTTTTTGAAAAAGATGGAAAAATTCTTTTCCCTCTGTTCTAACAACATCATCTGCATGTGTGTTCAATTCTTCAAAAATCTTTTGAGGTGTCAGATTTTCTGTTACTTCATAGTACTCTTTTGGCAATGTTGATTCATCTTCATTAATTACATGACGCAATTCCTGTTCCACCTTTCCATCAACCAGGACCTTGAAATATGCCCACAAACGGTCTTCCCAAGATCCACAGACACTTAAAAGCTGTCTCAAGTTTCCACTAAGTGCAGAGTATATAGCTTTCTCATAAGTACTCACTTCAGTGTCTTCAGAAAGCTTCCAGCAACAAGATTTCCAAATAAGTCCAAAAGGATTTCCTTCAGTGATTTCCATCTCCCCATTCTTTGTACTATCTTCAAAATTGGCATCATGCCATAATCTCCACCCATCAAGTGTTGCTGCTCTCCATGATTGCCCATATTTGATACATATATCTTTTGCTTCTTCTAGCTTTCCTGCTCTCAAAAACATAAAAACGTACTTCATGAGTCTATTTTCATCATCTTGATCTAAATCTGCCAATGGTCTTCTTTGGCGAATAGGTGCATCTGGATCCAATTCTGTTACAAATCTTGAACCTCCCTTTGAGGTTGATAGCATGTTTAGGGTGTGCAATGTGTGTTCCCAAGATACAGAGTCAGATGTAAACTGCAGGTTGTCTGTTGCAATAAAATCATTTATTTTATCTTCAGCATTCTTCTCCAGCCAGTCTACAATTAGCTGACAATATCTTGTAGATGGCTCTCTGTTAAACAACTTCTCAATGATACGCTTAAAACTTGGAAACTGATCTTGGATTAAACTTACATCCGCTTTTTCTTCATTCATTTCATCTATTTCTTGGTGTAGTTTGTCTTTTATCAAAGAGCCAATTAACCTCCATGTATAGCATTCCTGATAAAGGAAGTTTATCATCCTAGTGGTGCTTTGAAATCTACTTCTGGTTGGATCAACATGGCTTACAAAACCCAGGAGCTTTTGAATGTGGTCCCTACAAAGTTTTTCATAACAGGCAATGAGCTCAAACACTTGCCCTGCATGACAATATGTTTGAAGACTCTTTTTGAAGTTTTCGAATAGAACACCACTACCATACAACTCGGGGTCTTTTTCAACCATCATGCTCATGCTGCTTAAGTCGGCTGCAGACATCATTGTTGTCCGTTCTAGATCAAAAGTAGCAAACATACTTTGGTCCTGCCTTGGTTCAGCAACAATGTGCATCGAATCAGATGTGTAGTTGTATGGCTCAAATAAAGACGATTCTTTTTTGTGATAGGAAATTTCATTTGCAGATGCCATAAATTGACTTACGTCGTTACTTTTTGGAGAGCCGAATTGCAAACTGCCTAGGCCCATGCTTCCAAATTGCCTTCCTGAATGATAACCGGAGACAGGTTTCAACTTCCCTCCAGTAACTGGACTATTACTTAGTCTTTTTGGAGAACGGATTGTTTCATCTGCCAACTGTTTTCGCATTTGCTGAATATTCCATTTTCTAGCACCAGCGCGCCCATTTCTGTCTTCCATTTTGGCAGACTCACGCGCCTTTTTGAAACTGCCGGTTCTGAGACTGGGAACTACTCTAGCATGTCCATTAGAAAATGGGCTCTGATGCTACTTGGAAAGGGGGGCAAAAGCGGAAAATAAATATCAAAAGAGTTTGCACAAATTGATGGGCATAGTCATGGTAGAAATTTGACTGTAAAGCTATGCATTCTCCATGTTTCAAAAATATAATACCCTACCTGTAATTCGTGACATACAGCAACATTTGCTTATCAATTGATCTTAAATTTGAGGCTTCAAACTTCTAATCGAGTGTTATTCTGTTATTACCTATTCTGACGTTTTATGCTCTGAGGAGTGTCAGACGAAAAAGCTTTAAGTATGTTGTAAAATGTTTGCTTTTTTCAAAGCCATTTTCAAATTCTGTACCGCAAAAAAATTGTTCAAATCGAGTGTTACATATATACGTGTGAATTCACAACAATAATTTTATCTACAAACTATAAAAATTAAAAGGATTAAAATACAATTATGCAAATTAAAAAAAGATCAACAAGCCTAATTTCAGTGGCAGGGATAACATTAAAAGATCAAGTTAACCTTATTTCCACAATGGCCTCCTTAGTGGTGCTGGTTTACTATATTTTAGAAAGTTCTCTTTGATCTCATGCTTGAATTTGTTGTATTGTATAGATTACTTTATGCCAGTTTTTAAAATAGTGAACGTACATTAATTAAGAATAAAATAAAGCAATTTCAAGGATTTTATTGTTTATATTGGATGTGGATTTCAATACTGATGAAAGACTATTCCATATTTTAGGCCCTAGGTATGGTAGGCACGTTTGTCCAGTATTGCTTTTTCGAAATTGTAAGTCTAGTTTAAACTGTGATTTTTGCTTTATTCGGTCCTGGTTGACCTGGTAGACAGCAAGCAATGAACCCTTTGTGGATAAATTGTCTAGATCAATGTTTGCAAGATGGGATATCATAGGCAAACTGAGATTTATCTAATTAGCCTTGCAATTTGCAGGAGCGGCTTATGCATTCTAAAAAAGAGGTCAGCTTGAAAACAAATCTTTGTCTGTAATAGCATGCGATATGCCCTTACATTCAAGATTAGTGAGTGAAATTTATCAAAGACAAAGTTCACTGAATTTAATAAAACATCTACACCAAGGTTAACTAGCTCAGAGGCCCGGAGGTAATTCTTGATTACAAGGGTCTGTGCGCGTGACCGAGCTATAATTTAATGTTCCTGCTTGATTTGTCAGGAAGAATGAACCACCGGTCTGGTGTCAGGTCTTCGTGTTAGGCGGCTCTATTGAAATCAGCGACCTTGACCAGTTTGTTCACCGTGTCGTGATTTGCTTAGCATGCCACTGTTGCTAAGGTCATTACAACTAGGGTCCCAACTATAGTTTGCAGCTGGCTGGAAAGAACGTGTATTCATTTCGCTACTATTCTTGCAAAGTAAATCTCTACGAGATGTATTTCCTTTTCACTCGGACGCTTATGATTTGTTCATGAAAATGGTATGACTGCTTGACTCCATAATTTCTTTACAAAATAAATTGGTTTAGTTATTTTTGCAATTATGAAACCAGTCAAGGTCGAGTTCGTTAATCAAGACTATAATTGCTCCAGAAGGTCAAGTTGCTCGGTCATCTTGTCTTCGTTCTACTGGCTTCTGCTGTTTGCCTGCATACTGTCCAGCATCTTGTTGATATGTTTAAAGATTCTCCCCCAAGTGTTGGTTGGTAATGCAAAAAATACCGCATCAACAGAACTACTACCATCCGGCAAACATGAAGGAGATCTCAGCTGGAAAATGGAGCGTAAAAGTGTATTGATTCTCGGGCAAGGTCGCTCTGGCTCGTCATTTCTCGGAGAAATTTTCAATCAGCACCCAGAGGTTATGTATTTGTATGAACCACTGCACGCGTACAAGATTTTTTCAATGACAGGGATATTCCCTTCTGAAAACTATGGCGTGAATGCCCTGCAGGTCTTATTCGATATTTTCAACTGCCATTTTAGCAGTCTTCAAGACTACTTGACATTCATATCATTTCCCGAGCTTAGCAGCCCACATTTTCGCACGTCCAGCAAGCTCTTCTCTTCGCCACCCTTTTGTAAACACCACATGATGCCACACATGTACGACAACGACTCACCAGCTAAATTCCGCGAAATCTGCCCGCAGCTGCATTTCAAGAAAGTTTCTGCCGCATGCATGACAAAGAAAAGCATCGTTGTCAAAGATTTGGTGCATCGCATGCCATTTGAGAATTCTTCAAGCCTTGAGCGGCTAATAGAGCTTCAGCCGACATTGCATGTTGTTTATCTTGTGAGGGACCCAAGAGCGGTTATAACCTCAATGAAGAAAATGGGGTGGATTGGGGATGGGCCTGAAGCCAAATTTGAAGATGTCTCTTCAGCTGCCATTCATCTGTGTAAACAAACTCTGGATATGCTCTGGGGCATTGACCGTTGGTCTGCACGATTTGGCACGCGAGTCCAATTGGTACGGTACGAGGATTTGGCATCAGATGCCGTTCAAAAATCGGAAGAGCTCTTCAAAAATATTGGCATGTCGTTCCCCAGTGAAGTGCGTAATTGGATAAAATTAAACACGAATTCGAATCAGAAAAGTGAGTTAGATCCTTACAGGGTAGATCGTCGCAATGCTACTCTCTCCTTGCATGCATGGAGGTTCTCGATCTCTAACGATGACCTTGTAGAAGTACAGGATAAATGCTTGTCTGTTATGTCCATCATGCGATACAACACTTTTGAAGATGTCATCTACCTAAGAGACCTGATCTTACCCAGCTTTAGGAGTTTCTCTTAAAACGTTATTCGGAAAAAATACAACTGCTAGGGCAAGTGACCAGATACCCTGAGTGCCAAGGCCCAGGGTAATGACCAGATTACTCGGATCTTCTCACTTGTTAAGAGCAGCTCAATTAAGTAACTTTTCTTAAATAAATTCTGATAAATTCAACAAGAGTTGATGCCGACGATGATCACTTTAAGTTTTGAGTTGATGACGACGATTTTGAGTTGATCACTTTAAGATAGCATATGCGTTTGTCATATGTATCCCATTCGTACAACAATGGTCATCGACATTGGACAATCGGATATGACGTAACAGTTGACAACAGATCAGCGGATCTGGAAATATTCTTCGACGGGGGATTTTCCGAAATCGACAAATCAGACAGCAATCACTCGACGATGCATCAAAACTAAATTGATTTCAACTGTCCAAGAAAAAGATGCATAATATAAATTTGGATTTGCTTGTACTGGTCAATTTTCTGATTTTATTCAGTCTCAAACATATCACAGGAAACTAAAACCATATTTCTACTTTCAAAGCAGATCATACCTTTGATAATTTTTCTTTACTTTTCTAAATGCATATATGTATATTTATTATTCAGACACTTTAAGAACATAAAAGAGTTGTATAGTGACAATATTTAATTTGTTTTAGAAGAAAATTTTAATCCCAGATACTTAAAGTAAAACCTCTTTGACGACAGCAGGTTAATATCCTTACTACCATTAGCAAATAGGTGCTAAGTTCTTAAGTCTGTACATCAAACTATGAACGATTTTATATCTTGACAATTTCAGCTGATCAAAATGGCTATTTTTTTACAGAAAAACATTATATTTATTACCCAAACAGGGTGTCTATTAATTCTTACGTTTGTACAAACTATGAAAAATTTTATATCCTGACAATTTCAGCTGATTAAAATGGTTATTTTCTACAGAAAAAAACATTATATTTATTACCCAAATAGGGTATCTATTAATCATGAAAGTAAAAATAAGGCTCATTATAAACCCTCTAAATATATTGCCATTTCTTCACTCTGAGTCCATCAAAAATTGAAAATTTCTCTTGTTAAAGCTTTAAGAACCAACTAGAAAGAGACAAAACCCTTTACATGAGAAGCAAAACCCTTTTAACCAACTTTCGACGTAATCTAATTTTATAATTGTATTTAATATTACTATTGTATTGAACTCGTTAGTACTTAAAAAGACTTTAAGTATGACACTTTTATTGCTCAATGCGCGAACAGATGTAAATTCAATAATTGGATATGGATTCATACTATGTGACGTCAGCTATTGGAAACTGAACAAGCTAAGACTAAGCTAGAGAAATTCCAGCGTAACTTTTAAGATTTATAGCATAAGTCTGTTCTCACAGAGGTCAACTATCTGAGAACTTATGGCTATCTTCAAGGAGGTTTTCTTGAGGCCTATCAGTTCATCTGCCGGAGATAAATAGCTGAATAACCCACACAGATTTTTAAAGCGAGCCTCGCATACCATTTGACATAGATTTTAGATTGTATATTTTATTTCGACGAAGATGATGAAATTTAGAAGTAGCCTTGAATATGTTTTTTGTATTTTCCTGATCAGTGCAGAAAATGGGGTTTGGATGTTCAGTGTGCATACTGGTGTCTTATGAAAGCTTGGCTTTCACTCACGTGAAACAAACGAAGGCGAGATGTGAATAGTAACAGTGCTTAAAAATGGCATCTTGGTGTGCAGCAGAAAGTATTGTATGTTGCGTTAGGTTTGAGACGCAGTGGTGTTTTTTGGAAGTTACTTTTCTATTTCTTGGTGTGCAGCAGAAATAAGTTTATGTTGCATTAAGGTTAAGACGCAATGATTTTCGGGCAAGTAATGAAAGCCAACCATCATAATGTAGCAGTGTCACCAAATAGCTTGGTTTTGCGCTGAAAAGGGGTAGCCTTTCAGCCTTGAGATAGTGTAAGAATATTCCAATGTAAACATGCTTATCACACTGCACGCTGCAGAATCTTTAAAGTCGATGAAAAATATTATTTGGCTGGAGAGGCCCTTTAAGGTATTGCTGTGATAGGGGTTTAAAGCCCCGTTAAAAAGCTCTCAACATTTCACTGAGCATCGCTCAACATTTGTAGAGTGCAAATGCTAAGAGCGTTTACACCCTGTTCAGTGATGTTGAATGGTTGTTGAGCGGTGTTCAGCTATGTTGAGTGAAGTTGAGTGGATTCAAAAATGTTCAGCGGGTCGACTCAACATTTCTATTGTTCAAGGTGTTGTTGAGTGATGTTGAGAGCGTTTTAACACCCTATACAACAATGTTCTGTCGGCGCAAGCGCACTAGACTTGGATTTTGCGCGCCAAGAAAGGCTTCAGCGCGTCAACATTTCAGATCAGACCAAGAGGTTGAGAGAAGTTGAATTTTATAAATCGTAATGGCACACCATGAAAAACGCTTGGGAACAGCTGGCAGTGAAAGCAAATCGGATGAGATAGCAATTCAAAGCATGTTGCAAGACCAAAATCCTGACCTTAGGAAATCATCAGGCAGCTACTGTTAAAGCGAAAGAGTATCCGAAGTTCATCTTCCAAACAAACGATCTCTGAGAGTCCAAAGTTCATCGCTCAACGAATGTTGAGTCGAATTGCTGAGAGCGTTTTAACACCCCAATTCAACATCACTAAACATCATTAAACATCACTGTACAAATGTTGAGCGATGTTCAGTGAAATTTTGAGAGGGTTTTAACGGGGCTTTAAGTGACGACATCACAAAAATCTATTTTTAGAATTTTTGAAATATGATCCCATAACGTGAAAGAATATCAAGAAATGCCTCTAAATGTGCAAAATCAGTCAATTGGGGTTCAAATTAGCAGAGATATGGCCACATGTTTATTGGTTCTCTCCCCATCAAACCTCTGTATTTTGGTCTTTGTTCATAACTTCATGAACAGAGCCAAATTAACAGTGATTCGTTAGCAAACTGCAAATCTTTCATTGTCCATATCTCGACCGATTTTAGAAATATTTGGCCAATTTTGCAAATTTGAAAGTATTTCATTGTGATCTTTTATGTTATGTGGTTAAAATTCAAAAATTCTAAAAATAGAATTTTAATAATTTGGTGAACCGGTTTATTGAAATCGCAGTTTCAAAAAGCGTTACATCGAGCAAAGAGATAAAAATTTTACAGCTTGTGCGAATAGAAATAATAGTATGTCTATAGCTTTATTTTACAATTGACCATTGTCAAAAAATTTATAGATAGCCAATGGGTATTGTTAGCAAAAACAGTAAAGATGTAGATCACAATCTCAAAAACTCATAAGAGAATTTCCATCCTAGATTTTTTTCATATATTCACAATGCTTTGCTTTAAAAACAAGTTTTTATAAATCAAATACTACTTATATAGCATTACAATAGAAAAGTTTCTCCTCAAAACATCTTCGAACCAAAAATTATTCGGGACTTTAAAAAAGGAATGACTACTCCAGTCTACTTAATATATGATGTGTTGTTGAAGATAATTACACGGATAAATTCTGTTTCAACATTGCCATCTATATTTCAGCCTGAGATAGGCTTTTCTATCATTTGTTCCATATCTAAAAGGAAAGTGCAAAGGACTGTTAGGCATATAGTGCTTTCTTGAAAATGTTTTTAAATAGCAATGCATGCTTTTAAAACGATGAAAAAGATAAAAGAAGGACTCCAAAGAGTGTCATGGGGAATGGCAAATGATGAAGTAATATGGGCGAAAAACTTCGATTACAAGCAGTGTCGTCGTTGGAACGAAATTCATATTGGGAGCTGCCTATTGTATTGCTTTCCATTCAGAACACTAAAGGGAATATTGTACAATTTGGCTCTTACTAGGGGGCTCCAGCCCACCCCCAGCCCCCAGGCCCCAAGCTTTCGACGGCCTTGAAAAGTTTAAACAACAAGGTAGGTATCAATTGTAACAAGTTAAAAGGTAGAAAACGTTGGGCTGGAATTCTGAATAAAGTCGCCAACGTTAATTTACACATAAAGAAAAAGGCTCAACACAGTATTTTTGTATCAAGACTATTCGAGAAAATGAGTTTTTCTACATTTTTGAACATGAAAGCGAAAACAAAAATCATGGGGTATGTGGAAAGACAAATATTTAGAATTGCATCAATCTGTTGATAAGTAGCAAGAAGATAAATGCAAAAAAGGAAAGGGAGAAATCAAACAACGTTAAACGATTGAGGTACAGTTTAACAGTTTCAGTAAAAATGAGAAAGGAACATACCTCTAAGTTGCTTTTCCAGCAATCTGAGTCTATGAAAGATCAGCGCGGTTTCCTAATAACAGAAGGAAAAACATATATTTTAAATATAAGAATTCGTGGTAATAGAAGATCTAGTAGGCGTCATCGTTGTGGAAACAATTATTTATGGAGTAGAAAAATTTTCATGCTTATCACAAGAAAAAGTTTTCTAGCTTCATTACAAAATAATTTTTTTATTACATTTAATGACTTTTATCATCGTTGTGGAAACAATTATTCAAAGAGTAGAAAAGCTTTCTAGCTTTTCACAAGGAAAAGTTTTCTACCTTTATTGCAAGATGATTATTTTGAGCATGGTTTAATTCATCCAATTAAGCTAATTTTCACAACTTTTAGCTTGTATAAGAAATAGTAAAAAAATAATCATTTTAGTTGCTTACTCCTTTTGCTTGATTCATAGCTTCAGATGGAATCCTGGAAAGCTCATTTACAGTAGATGTTTTCTGTTTCCGCTGACTAGACCTGCAAAGAAGAAGACTGTTAATTGCTGCAAATTGTCCTGGTATTGGGTTAATGAATTGATGCCTAGTCATCTAATACGATTAACGTAACAAAATTAACATGGCAAAGGACATATTACAGATGGCGTAGGAATGGACATGATAAACATTAGCAAAAAAGATGAAGTGATTGTCTATTAAAAGATTTTTACTAATGCTTTTCCTGGATACAAGTACATTTGATAGCTGCCATCTTGAATAGCCGGTATCTCGAGCACTTGTTAATTCGAACGATTTTTCAATACCTCTTCGTTTTAGTAAAAGTCTGAATATAGAAAAACCGTTAGTTAAGATGTCTTCACGGCTCTTCAAATAAACTGATATTTCCTATCGGAGCTCGAGAAATGATATTTCCTATCGGAGAATGTCAACTGTAAAGACATTTTTTCAAAAGCAATCAAACCTGTCTTATCAAGTGTAAAGTCACTATGCTTGTAAAATTCTTAAAGCTTTTCAAAATAGCTTCAAGTAGCTAGGAGTACCTGATTGTGTTTACTATCCTTTCTGCAGATGCATTGAGATCACTAGTCAAATCTGCCAGAGACGTCAGAAGGAGCTGATCCATTATCTATAAAAAAGCAAGACAGCGGTTTCTGCAAGTGGCATTTCATTTTACTAGAACCTCTACTAACGCACAAAGATTTTACAGACCATTTTTGGCTTAAAGCTTGAAAAGGAACAAAAACATTTGTATAAGCTTGTATAAGGAAGAATAATTTTTCTCCAAGATAATTTCCTCTTTAAATTTCCAAAGCTTTTATCAAGTAACATGCACAAAAAAAAGCTATTCTACAAGCCCAGAAACTACGGTTTGCTAAGAAAAAAGGTATTCATTACTCTACCGTCCGTAGCCACTTCCAAGCAAAAATATGATAATTAACTAAAATATAAATAAATAATTAAAATGCATGTAAAGAAAGTCTAGCTACCACTCAAACATACACAAATAGGTTCGAGCCTCCATCGGTGCAACATTTGAATTAGAAATAAGGTTAATGAGAAAAAAGGCCAATGAACCTTGGAAGCAAAAAAAATTACATATACCATACAACTACTTCATAATTCTTTGACAAGACCTGTCGTATACAAAATAGTTGTGTCTCGAGATCTGCAACTAGAAACATTTAAGCAGTGACGTCTGTATTAACAATTTCTAATAATCGTGTATACGTGTAATTACCACCTGCACAAAAACGATATTTATAAATGAATAACAGTGTCAAATTTCTACATACTCCTTTGCTCTCATCCCAGTGTCTTCTAACATGGCATTCGATATGTTCGTCGAGATTACTTAATAAATATCCATCATCCTTTCCCTGCATTTCCTATGAAAATTTAAAAAAAATATGCCAATGGGTAATTTTAAGTAAATCAAGATGTACCAGCCAATGGCCACAAAAAATGAGAAGCAAATTTATATTTCTTCAAAGGTCTGTGAACAGAATCAAATGATGAACGTAAGGTTTTCTTTCTGTTCTCTAGCGACCACAATCTACTTTTTAAAATTTGTGTGCAACGAAAGACTTACCAAAGTTTCAGGTTCATGCTTTGCATTTTCAATTTCGACTGCGATACTGCCACTTGAAGCATCGTTGGTAAGGCCTTTTACAACTGTTTCCTTGTTATCTATAAATATCAACAATAGTGTTACACACTTACTTTAAAGCGGTGCATCATGCTGAAGTCAACAATAAATTATATTTGATAACATCTCTACATTGAGCAGCTGTAAGTCAGGCCACCTGACAGCAAAGATCTCCCTCAGGATCTATATAAACACACATGATGAAATTATTCTGGTGTAAGCATATTTTAGCCAGATCATACGTAATATGTAGAAGCGCAACTATTGGGGGAGGGGGGGTTGGGGTTGTGTGTCACCCCAAATCCCCGGGCAAAACTGCGATTCGTCGGGCAAAAGCCTAAACTGGTCTTGTCATTCGTTGGGTAAGAACTAACTAATAATAAAGCAATAATGCAATTTTCTTGAAAATTAAAAACATTTGTTGCTACATGTTAGGAGTGGTTTTCAATTTGGCAAAGAAAAACATTTAAAGACATTTTTATTGAGAAAATTTATGAAAATTGAGACATTAATAGAAAGCTGGAAATATGTTGTTACTTTACGATAATCATTTTCTATATTGGGTATTTGCACCCTTTTTTAAATGACTTCAGCGTCAAATCTTTAAATGTTAAGCTTTATTTATGTATATAATTAACTATAAAGATCTGCTTTTACATTGCACCAAGTACAAATGCTATTGATATTTTTGGGCTCATTTGTAATCATATGTCACTGCTGACCTCTCACCCAATGCCTGCCAACTCAAATCATAACTTGAATCAGTGCCTAATATAAGCCTTTTTTCCAAGACCACTGATTTTGTTAAATGGAAAGAAGGGGCCCTTATTGAATTTTTGCTCATCATCAGCATTCATCAGCATCAATCAAGCTTGAATTTTACTGTAGCGAAAACGAATTCAGCACATTAGGGGACAGACTGTCTCCAAGTGGACATTTTCTCCTCCCCCCCTTCCTCATTTTGTATAAGCTTTCGATGAACATATAGAAGGTGGAGGATTGTATATGTGATAACTTTCAGAGCTCTGTTGAACTTTTGCAGAGTAGAGAATCTCTTTCTCAACGTCTACAAATACTTCAGTCAGTAGTTCGCTCCCCTTTCACTAAAAAACTAGGCATTATCCAATTATGTATCAACTTCTTACCTGGTCCTGACAATTTGGTGTCTGGAGCATCATCCTCTTCATCTAACGAAAACGTCCTATTAGCAGGAGAAGCTCGCCCTACATCAGAAAGAAATATCGGACTTGTCTTCTCCAAACTTTTTGTCTGAACTGACAAGGATGAACTACCATCCGAAGTTACTTTATCCAATGTTAGGTTAAGTATGCTCCGATCAGACGTCGAAGGAGACTTCTCACGACCACCGTTCCCCGAATCCAAGCTTATCTTTAACATGTTAGATGGTTGACATTCGTCGATTTTTTCTAAATCTTCTGACGACGAGGAATAGCTTTCCATTTTTGCTGTTGGCAAGATATAGCAATCAAGATCAATGGTTTTCTCCTTCAGCTGATGAAAGAATCCAGATTTCTTCTTAATAGGGCTAGAACTGTCCCTACCTAAACTTTCCGATCTCCTTATACAATTATCTACGTTGTTTGACAATTTTCGTCTCATTTCTGATGAGTCAACAATATCAAAAGAATCGAACGAATTTTTCAATCTACGTTCAAAAGGGTCTTTCTTTGGGTCGACGAAAGATGAAGAAGGCTCGTGTATATTCGAGCCATCTTTTTCCCTAAAAAGATCGTAATGAGCAGACGATTCTTTCACAACTCCAGCCTTGCTGACTGAAGATTCCAAGACTTTTGATTCATCATTTGAATTAAACTCTTGATCGGCTGATTTTTGGAAATCATTTTTCTCCATCTGAGGGATTCTACTTGGGCTGCTTGTTAGCTTATCTTTATTAAAAAAACATTCTGGTGATTCTTCCTTGTTACTGAACAGTCCTGGTTCACTTGAAGCTAAATCAGAATTACTTTGAAGGGCCAAGTTCTTGTTCATTTGTTCACATGCAAAACTCTGTATTGCTGGACCGGTTTGTTTTTCGTGTTGAAAATCAATTGAGCTCTCTTCTTCTTTAGTAGAATCAACAATTTCCCATTCCAAAATACTACTTGTGTCCAAATAATCAAGCGTGCTAGCGTTATCTGTTGGCCATTGTTTGATACTATCGTTATGTTTCTCTTCCAGTGAAAAATTAACAACATCAGGTATCTCACGAGAATCTTTACACACAACATAGCCAGAATCATTGCTAACCGAAAGCTCATTTTTTTCTTTGGCAGGACTCTTCAAAGTAAAAACTTCTTTTTCGTCTGAATCAAGTGAAACACTGTCAATGTTGGATTTCCCCGCAACAGGTGAATTTTTCTCCTTACGTTCTAATGTTGCAGGGGTCAACCCTTTGCCACATCTGCTTAATTCATCATTTTCAACAGAAGACCTAGGTATAACGTCCGACTCGTTACCTTTGCCGATGTCTCCAGAAAAATTCTTCTTTCGTCCATTAGCATCGGCATTGCCAACCTTAGTGCAATCTAAATCAGACTTGTCTTTCGAAGTTCGTGTTTTCCATGCTGATACATTACCCGTTACTTTCTTCGTGACTTTTCTGTCAGCACCAACTGGCAAAAAACTTTTCTTTGACGTGGAAAGGCTTCCTTTCTCTTTCATCTTAATACCACTGTTACGCTGTTTTGTTTGTGTAACTTTACTTGGGCATGCGCGGATAACTTTCTGGCACAGAACAGGCATTCCAGATTTTGCTAGATCTTTTTTACCTGCTTTCAACATCCCAGCAGTAGTTGCAGCATTTTTCTTTGCCTTAAAATAAAACGAGGAAGATTAAAAAAAACCATGGCTGAATGAAATATAAAATAGAAATGTGACATGAAGTAGCAAACGTCATTTTGATAACTATCTACATTGTTAGAAAGATGGGCGTGTGAAGCTTCGTGAATTATTTTTGACAACAAACTAAACATGTAACAGACAATTCACTACAGAACCCACAGCTTGCGTTGACTGTTCTGAATATAGCAACAAAGCAATGTGAAAATATAATAATATAATAAAAAATACCCTTAAAGTTGTTGATCGGTTGGTTTTTGGCAGTAATGTCTTTCCCTTAGGCTGGTCAGTTACTTTGGCTGTAAGGAAACGAAAGAGCACTGATTAAAACATAAATCTGAAATGAAGAAAATCTTTTTAAGATTGTTAAAAGTAGAATACTGACAAGAAGGTCCAAATTGATAGGATGATGTCATTGAAACAATATAAGCGATAAAGATACCTATCGCCAAGAGCAAACCAACGATTCACACATCACAGCTTATTCTTCATGCGTTATTTGGTATCGATTTGGAATAATTGTTGCTTGAACTCTATTATTCATTTTGAAATTATTTCTACTTTATCTTACACTCCTTTTACGTGATGATGCATGTAAACTTAAGTGTGGTGATATGTTTTCTGTGTTTTAGGTTGTAAGTACTGCATCTCAAACCATGAAAATGAAATAAAAGCAAATTAAATTTTTTTTAGGTTAAGCCTTTAATGATAAATTATTTAGTAATACAATAACAATTCTCAGCCAGAATCTGCTAATAGAAGGTAAAATCGAGGTAAATCAGTTTAAAATCAATTATATATCAACAGAATACATCAATAAGAACAAACTGCAAAATCAACAACAAACATACTTTTCGCATTAGTTGGAGTTTTGCCTGCCACGCTGGTCCGCTCACTTTTGACTTCATTCTTCTAAAAGAGATAATTTGAACATGTTCGTATGTTCAGCCAGAAAAGAACCAGAATAATTTAACAGTGAGTCGCATTTCAAATGAAAAACGATGGATGTTTGGCAATTTCATAGTAAGGTCAATATTAAAACATAAGATCATACAAAATACGTATGGCTCTAAAGAAAGTTCAGCAATGTAACAAGATTAATAGCACTTTCGTGATTAAAAAATGGCTTTATCATATGATTTTAAAGAAGAAACATTTTCTGAGAAAACAAGGAAGAAAAACCAAACAGTAACTCCTATTTTGAAATACTGTAGCTAAAAACCCATACCACAATCTAGAAAAAAATTCAAATTAGCACACCATAGTACCAATAGAATACTGATCTAATCAAACTTGATCACGAACCTGATTTTCAACCTTATTTAGCGGAAGCTCATCTTTCTGAGCAATTCCAACTTTGCGTTGATCCTTTTCAGTCCAACCGTCAACTGTCTCATCTGGTTTACTTCTGGGATCTTTTGCACCCCCAGTGTCATCACCTTGGACAGTAGTTTTGCCTTCCTCGACTACAGGACAATCATTACCCCAGATTGTTAAAATTTGTTTTCTTGTGTCTGAAGATTGGGCTTTGGTATCTTTGCTCTCGCTTTGTGAGGCAAGTTTACTCTGTTGTGACCAGGTTGTGTACTGCTCAAGTTCTTTGTGTGAGTGTTTTCTTGCTAGCTCCTCTCTTAAACTCGACAGTGTGGATGGCGACAACTTGTGCTCGCTGAAAAGCTTGTTTAGGTAGTTCGATTCGAATGGCTTATCAAACGTTGAGTTGATGAAGTTGTAAATGCTGTCTTCATCTTGCTTTTGCTGCTCTTGCCTGAAAGAAAGTATGAAAAAGAAGTTTAGGGGTGCAGGGAAAAGAGGCAAGCAAAGCCAAATGAATATAAACATATGCGGAGGTAAGAGTATAGAAACGTAAATTATAAAATAAATATAAATTACAGAAAAAAATGAACGAGTTTCAAATCAACTATGAAATGCCACAAACAAGAAAGAGAGAGGGGTACAATAATTCAAGTATATTCGACCATACATTAAACCTATAAAAGTGAGTTCAGATGCACAATAAATAAAAACATAAATTCTAAGCTTATTCTCTTCCCTTCTCTTGTAGTAGGACTAACTAATAATTTTTACTAATTATGTTAATTATTCATCAGCTATAAGTAACAATATAATCAGTCAGTTCTCTATATCTCAACGACTTTAATTTCAACTTTTGCTATTGAGTGGTTATAAATAGAAGGCACTCTTACCCGGGTGTACACTTCGAGCACATGGCATTGGAACGTTCTTTCTTAGTAGATATGGCCTTGAAGAGCTTTCTTAATAGAGCATGGATGTTTCAAATAGGCCGTTATCTGAAGGGTAGGCGGCGCAATATGCCGTAACTCACCTGTGAAGTGTATCCAATGGTGATAATACATCAGTATCTCTTTCAGCTTTGCACTTGCTTTCTTCATAACGCTTCTGCCACAGAAACATATCTTAAAGTAAGACTGGGTCTTCATTTAAAATAACGTTCATATTGTTGACACATTACACGACGGAGATTGAGAATATGCTTACCATAAAAGCCTTTAAAAACGTATTAGTTAAAAATGATTTATAGGAAAAAGATTGTTAATCGTTGAGTTAGCTTAGATAATAATAGCATACCCAAGAAACTAATGAAGGCTTGATACTTTTTACTTCGGTTAAAACCTCTAAAGTCAAGCAAAAGCTTGGTTTGGCAATCTTTTGTAAATTGTCTTGTGTACTAAAACATGTAATTTATAAAATAAGAATTTAAGAGTTTCATTCTAACTAAAGTATGTAAATAAATACTGTTAAATATCTAAATCATAAAAGACTGCAGGGTTTATGAAGTTGGGAAAGAAATATTGGTTGTGGGGAAAAACATGTAAGTGTGAAAGGATAATAAAAATTTGAGAAAGGTAACCCGTCCGATATGGAGGAAAGATTCACAATATATCTATGCAGTAGAAATAAATATAAAATAAGGGCAATTATTCAGTTTCTACCAAAGCTTGATGAATCTAGTGAAAATGAAGCAATATTCAATCAAATTCAACGTACCTGAGAAGGCAGAACACTTGACTTTAGTAGAAACTTGACATAAATACTCCCACATTCACGAAGCATGGATACTTGATTAACAACTTGGACGAGAGCCGCTTCAGTAAAGCTAGGTTCTTTCGAAACAACAACCTGGACTTGATATCCAAGTGCCTGGGTTCCACTGACCTCAACGAGAGCATCAATTAATGTTTTCGAGTCCTCGATCTTGATCCAATCAGGGCCCGACAGCAAATGCTCGCCTGCTTGAACGCTAACACAAAGAGTCGTCTTCTCATCCATTTTCCACTGAATTTTCGTGTATCAAACGCCTTTTTCCGGACAACCTTTATCAGTGCTCAATTACAATTCCAGAGAAAAATCTAAACATTCTGCTAATTTCGTGTTTGTGCCCTCATTTATTACTCTAGCTGGTCAGCGATTACAACAAATTACTGAGCAACAACCGATTGAAATCCTCTAACTAAGGATCCGTCACATTGCAATCAATTATGAAAAAGAAATTCCGAGATGAAAGTTGAAATGTAAAATCCCACAAAATTCAACCAACAGAATTGAAGACAGACAATGAACAAGACAGGCAAAACTTCCAGCCGCCAACAGCTAAAAATCCACTCCGTGAAGATGTAGCTTTGTTTACAATTTGCTTATGACCGCAACTGGAACGTATTTATACAATTTGCTTATGAAGCAACAAGAACTTAATCACATACACTTAACAGCATATATAGCTTTCTATGCACATTTTACTCCAGTACTAAAAAAGCTTGATCAAGCGACTGTCCTAGAATCGTATTGTTTTCAATCTGGTTTTCAAGCTATTCATGTCGTGGATAATTCAAGTACCAGCTAAGGATCAATTCAAGGTCAAAAGTTGATGCCAGTTAATGGAAAGCATTTAGACAAAACTACAACCTGTGTTTTTTTATGTATCGAGATTCCGTGAAACTACAAAAGGTGCATAACTTCAAGCCGGACAAACTTACAAGCGCCCAAGTGCAATAGCACCCAGCTAACATTATAGTTAAGTGAATCTATCGATGGTATAACCGATGGTATAGCCCAAAGAATTAATAGAGTCCAGCTGATTTGGCGATAAGGTTTCACACTGTAGCCCTTAAACCTCGTGCTCTCGTGTTTTTGCTTCCTGTATCAGCAAAGGAAAACGTTAAAATTACTATAGAGTGGCCCACAAATACATTGAGCCGTATCAGATTGGCCTTAGTTAAAAGATACAAAAGCTGCTGGTATAAGGGCAGTAAGGGAGGATCCGTTTTTCATCTCATTTCGGAGAAGGGCAATACAACTTTACAGACTTTGCGGACTAATGATAAATTTTAGCCAGTCATTGCTAAATGCTATATGCCTGAACATAGTCGAACAAAGTAGGAATAGAAATCAATTTTTAGGGGTTGCGGGGGGGGGGGGGTTATGTTGCTGAATAACACAAGGAGATAACACAATTTTTTTGCAAGAATTGCAAAGATACAAAATTTGATAATTCCTGCAGAAAATTAATATTTCATATGCAGAGACTGATGTTCTCCTTGCCTACACCTTACTTTTATTACAATCTCCTTTCCTTTTAAATGACAATTAAATTTCGATGCAATTCCACTACACAGAGGGTTCTAAACAAGAGATATTTTTTCCACAGGAGACATTTTTTGCATAATATAGGCATTGAAAATTTTTTTGCTTGAAAAAAACGCATTTTTCACAAAACCAAAGTATGATCCATGCTTCTTCTAAAAAAATTCCTTGATTCTAAAAAAATTTAACTTCAATAGTCAAATCAAAGTTGATGGGTTGTAAGGTCAAAGTGGTCTGTTCTTGAAAACAGTGATACTGCAATCTCCATGCTAACAAGTATTGCAATATTGTAATAACTTGTTTGGAAGCTTACTGAATTAAGAGTCAAGAGCAGAATTTGTCACCATGAACAAGTCACTTTTATAGGATTCTATAACCTGTGAAAACATTTAAATCATACTTATTTTGAAATCTCTGACAAACTAGGCAATAAAGTAGCCAATCTGTAACAACATAGTATCTGATTAACTCCAATTGTGTGGTGTTAAAATTCATGTGGATCCTATTTGCTAGAATTGGCAAAAGAAGGATTGACCAGCCACATTGTTGGCAAATGGTACCTGGAAATCCCCCTAGGGCACAATAGCTAGCGATGACCCAGGTTTATCTAGGGCAGTTGTGGCAAACCAGTTTTACCAGTGTCCACTTTGGACATGACAATAAGCTGTTCTCTTTTGAAGTATTGCTAGATCACAGTAGTTTGAATAATATGATAGAAAAAAGAGAAGGCAAAAACTCCTTTGTTAACAGACTGTTAGTAGCCAACTCTTCCAATGGCCAGCCATGTAGGTCGAAGAGCCAACTATTTTGGATAGAAAGAAAGCTACTTGTATGTCATCCAGTAGTGTCATTTAAAGCTGAGCCAAAAAACATGCAAAAACAAGCGAGGAATGTAGAAATCTCATTAGAAAAGTTAACTGCAATTCATCATCATTATCATCAGTATCTTTAGATCAGACAATAAATTTACCTACAAAACTCTATGAAAATTGGCTGTTAAGACTTATTTGATGCATTAAAGATAAAATAAGATATCAAATAAATCAAGGTCAAAGACCAAAACTTCTGATTAAGGTGGAAATATATTCTTGCATACTTTGCATCTTTGATGACCAAGCAATGATTTGTTGAACCTTCTTTTTACAATGTTTTAGATCCCAAAAAGAGATAAATATTTCTTATTAAGACCAATTATTGCAAAAACAAGAAACATCATTTTTTCTTCTGTTCATTCATACATTTTCTGAACCTCTTCATCTCTTCTTTACATAGTCGCCAATCTTTCTTTTCAAAGTAGCAATCCTATATAGAAAGAAATTGAATTAGCAAGTAACAAAATACCTATTATAAGTTGAATTTCCTAAGCACCTCCTTGCTTCAAGTATATATAACAATCCTGTCAACCAAGACTTCATAAGGCTTAAAGAAATGATGATAGTATAAATTTGGAACAACAGAACAGACCATGCAAACAATTCTCAAAATTAAGAATGCTCAAGGGAAGCTGCAGATTGCTCTCTTAAACTGTTAAAAAAACAGATTGTTCTCCTTGAAATAAAATGTTCCTTTATTTCTAGTTTCTACATCTATGAATAGCTTACTAGGGAGTTAAAAGGTGAGATGTATACTTCTCCCCTGCTAAACGTCGTATGGCCAGGCCTGGTCAAGGTTTAAAACAAGTTTTTGACACTTTTCAGGGCAGGAGTCTTGGGTAAGATGTTAACACAAATTTTGCCCCTATCTCTAACCAGAAGAACAACTGGGTACCAGGTCTGTTGTTATCAATGTCTTTTTCAACTTCTTATTATTCTCCTGCATAGCAACCAGGGGGTATTGCATGAGGCTGGTAGTGTAGAGCAGCTTTTGACCAGGGTTGGTATATTGGCTTTTTTTAAGCCAAATTCTTAAAATTTGGCTTTTTTTCAACTTGTTTGGCTTCCGAAATTTTTTTTGGCTTAGACCTATTATTTGGCTTAATTTTGGCTTTTTTCTCAAAAATGTTGATATTTCTATTGTTTCGATAGTTTTATTGTTTCGCTATTTGCCGACATCCCATTGCGATATTGTCTTACAAGTCAACCTGTTAATGCAATTATTTTGCACCTGACACTTACAGTCTTTCAACACTTGATACAACAACTGGGATTTTTCCACTTAATCAAATTGTCACCCGGTTGCTCCTACGAGTATTTTCTTTGTGTTCATACTGTGGAAGCAGTGTTCTCTTTGAAATAGAGACAAGTGGTCATTGTTTTAACTAAAAAAACACGTGTCAGTTACATAATTTAAAATTACAGTTATCATTATTAGAGATTCGATTCGATCGGCAGATATTCAGAATAACGTGTTCAACCAGCTCCTTAATAATGCCTAAGTGGAAAAATTCGTACGAAAGTGGAAGGCGGTATCTAAAGTCGTGGGAAGAAAAATACGTATGGGTGAAGCAATCCATGGATGGAAAACAAAATGCATTTTGCAAAATATGTCACCAGTCCATTACACCGAAAGCGTCAAACCTTGCCAATCATGAGAAGTCAGACAAGCATATAAAAAATATAAATGCCGCTAACTCTACAAAATCTTTGCCTTTTGCAAATCTTCCAAAGAAAACCAAAGAGCCAAGCGAAGATGTAAAAAGGTTTGAAATAGAGTTGTCAGTTGGGATATCCTGTCACACTGCTATCAACTCTATCGATCATTTAGGACAGATAATGAAGAGGAATGGAGAAGGTAGCATTGTTGGAAACATTAGACTCCACCGAAGAAAATGCACGAAAATATTGACTAACGTTGTTGCTCCTGCACTTAAGGAAGAACTGAAAGAAAGCTTAATAAACAAAAAGTTTTCTGTAGTTGTCGACGAATCAACCGACGTTGCTGCTAATAAGCATATGGCCATTCTTTTACGCTACTTCGACGATGTTTCAAGTGAAATTTGCACTGCATTTGCCGGCCTTGTTCCTGTTATAAGTACAAGGGGTGAAAGTTTATTTGAGGCGTTGAAGGATTGCCTTGCTGGTCTTGGTTTGGATTTGGCCAATTGTATTGGTTATGGATCAGATGGTGCCTCCAATATGATTGGTGAGCGCAACTCTCTGTGGTCCCGGATTTTGCAAGAGGCACCCAATTGCATTCAGGTAAAATGCATCTGCCATTCATTGAGCCTCTGTATTCAGCATGCTTTTGAAAAATTACCGTCTAGCCTTGGATTCCTTTTAAAAGAAGTGCCCAAATGGTTTTCGAAAAGCACCATAAGGAGGGAGGGATTCAAAGAACTCTTCAATACTATAAATCCAGACAATGAGCGTGCCGGAATCCCATTGCCGTTTGCCAAATTTTGTGCGACCCGTTGGTTGGTACGAGGAAAGCTTCTCTACAACCTTTTAGTGAACTGGGAAGAACTGAAGGCGTACTTCATTGTTGCTGAATCTCAATGCGATCAAAATGCACGATTCAAGGCCAGAATGATTCAAGAGATGTTAGCAGATCCTGCGAACTATTTGTATATTCAATTTGTTACACCAGTTGTATCTGAATTCGAGAAGGTCAATTCATTCTTTCAAGCAACCAACGCAGATCCTGAAAAGATGGAACAAGAGCTTGACATGCACTACCGAAGTTTAAAACTCAGAGTTCTTGACAACGTGGGTAATTGCCTGCCCATTGAACAAATAGATTTCGGTGCCAAATTTTTGATGGAGGCTAACACGTTTGTCTCCAAAAGCAGTCATACAGTAAAGGCAAAGGATGTTGTTATGGCAGTCAAGGAAAGATGCTTACAGTTTCTGAAGGCAGCTCTTCATGAAGTGGAAAGCAGACTTCCTTCTACTAAAAATGCTTTCAGGGGGATAAGCCACCTACATCCAGGGAAAGTTCTGAGCCAAACTGATCGACTCCCTTTCAACAACCTGCCGTTTCCTCATTTACGAGCAGTGAAATCAGATGTCCTAGAAGAACAATACAGGAAGGTTCTTCTCATCAACTGGGTTGATGAAAATGTGTTTAAAGGAGAGATTCCCGGTTCAACTGTTGCGTTCTGGCTTGGTGTGTTGCAGTACCAGAATTTTTTAGGAAGCAAGCCATTCAAAGAGCTCGCAGAGTATGCACTGTCGTGTTTATCGCTACCAGTCAGCAATGCCATTGTGGAGAGAGTATTCTCGTATGTTACAGCCATCAAGACAAAACAGCGCAACAGGATGTCGTCGAAAGTCTTGGATACAATTGTCAGGATCCGCACACACTTGCATTTTACCGGAAGGTGTTGCAAAGATTTTAAGGCAACAGATAAAATGCTTGAGCTTTTTAATTCAAAAGACATGTATGATGAGAGCAATATTGACTTAAAAGACCTTGAGGAAGATGAAATAGTTTACCCTTTTGTATGATAATTATGTTTTTTACTACACTGCAAATCGTTATGAAATAATGTTTTGATCAGTATCCTCTCGATGTTTACTTCTAGCCTCGTTCACAACATGAAATTTTCTATTGTTTTGCTGCCTCGTTTACAATTTGGCTTAATTTGGCTTTTTTCCAACATTGATTTGGCTTTAAGCCCCAAAAGAATCTACCAACCCTGCTTTTGACTTATGTCAGACTACAGATCTTGCAGTGTAGACTACAGACCATCCAGACTGCAGATTACAGCAATTTCCAATGAGATCTCAGTTGTGCAAGAGCAAAATTTTGAGTGTGCACATTGGTGTACTTAAGTGAGCACCTCGACTGTGCACAAAAGTATGCTCAACTATGCCAGATCCCAATGATATTTAAAGGAAGTGAATTTGAATATAAAAAAAAAATAAGAAGTGGATATGAAACTGAATGTAAGAAAATATATGATTGATAGTTATTGTGTTATCAGGGCAATGCAAGATTATGTCAATCTTGAAATAACGTAACTCATAATTAAATGACACAATTCATGGCAGCACGCCCATGTATTCCAGACTGGAAACTTTGCTGCGCGCCCGCAATATATTGCCCGCGCACACCTCTGCGCGCTTTTGCATATTGGCCGCGCAAAATCCCCTAGATCCCTTGACAATAGGATTTAACATTATTAACAATAAAAATAACTAAGAGTGCATGATTTCAGGCGCGCAGTCTCAAATTTTCAAAATAAACTTGCCCGCGCAAGAAGCAAAGTTTCCAGTCTGGCAGTGTATTGATTAAGGGAGGGGGGCCTCTAGACCAAAATTGCAAACTTTTTATGGTAAGCTCTTCCCCCATTATTCCTTTTGATGCCAACTACTTGAACATCATAATTCATTTAAAAAAATAAGGAGTATATGCCCTCACCTGCAACCCCCCAAATCCCCCCCCCCCCCCCCCCCCCCCCCCGGCGGGTCCAGGTCTGAGTGAGATAAAACCACCACTACTTTTCATTTGAAGCGCAAAATCAATTTTGATAATGAAATGAAAGTGCAAATCAGACTTTAATACCTGAAGAGCATAATGATATTTTGAGCATCCAGAACCCCCAATCCTCGTTTCAAACGGATCCTCTTCGTCTTCATTATCCTCTATGGAGCTTGCTTCACTCTTTTTACCATCTTCGCGCTCCATTTCCCAATGTCAAAAATGAAAACGAGGCTTCTCCCTTGAAGCACAGAATCGAGATTGTAGGTTTATTGACAAATGACACATGAAACGATAATGACAAAGCAGTCATCCATCCCACGTTAAGAACACTTTTTCACTGATAAGGTATGCACTTCATCATACTAAAAAGAGCATAACAGGTACTTTGAGTTAAATAAGAGCATCTTCAGTTTATGTCAATATAAAAATTATAAATTTTTCAAATTAGATATATATATAGGCTCACACCACCGGTTGCCAACTTTTTGAAGTATGTTAATAATAATGATAAAAAAACATATTTAAAGTGGGTAATCTAAAATATTTAACAATTTTTAAGTTAATTTTTTACGGCAGGGCCCACTGAAAAATAAAAGTAGTTTAAGATTTACACAACTTGAGTCGTTTCCCCAGGGGTTTACTCCCATTAAGGCCTGACAAGGGGGTCCAATCGATTTGAAGGCCTTACCAAATGGCTACCAAATTTCCATAATAACCCCCAAAACTTAAGTTGGCTGTTACAACATCAACAACATTAGACTTGTCAGACCCCTCCCGCCCCAAAATTAATTTTGATTGATTGACCAAATTATTTTTCGAACAATATGACGCTTTTGATATGTTTTAGAAGATTTTCAGCTACTTAATGGCTAGTTCTTAGGGTGTTCATGGGGTGTTCAGCCTATTATTGGACATTGTTCAGTCTTTTAGAAATGACACATTCCAAACTTTTGTTCCTCTTACCTCTTGCCCTTTGCATGCTCTACATGAATCATGTTTGCTGCTGCTGACCTTTTGTTCTTCTGGTGAACTTGTGCTGAACACATTGTTACTAAGTCCCACGGATCTGCTGTGAGACTCACAGATTTCAAAGTCATCTCACGTTCTCACAGATGCTGTGAGAAATCATATTACTCCACCTTGACACCCCCTTGATTAAATAACTGGTTGTGTTAAGCGGTCTTGGCGTAACTACTTTATGACACCGTTGTTAAATCTCGTATGGGAGTAGTTTTACAACACCTTGGAAAGCGACAGAACTGCTTTTGATTTTGACTTACCGCTGCTTTAGACATCTTCCAAACATAAGCGATGTTTAATGGCAAATTCTTTGTTTTGCGTGTGCAATCATTTGCAGGCCTTGGACAATTTGGGCGTGTGTGGAGGTGATCGCATGCCTCATATTACAAAGACTGAGGTCATACCACTATGCATGCAAACCCCAGGTGACAAGGGTCTCCGTATTACAAGTTTGAAATAGCTTAAACTTATCAGTAGTCGTAAACATTTAGGGGCGATGGTGATGGTATGCAACTCAGAATGAGGGTCTAGGAAACTCACACAAATCATTTTCCTGTGAACATGTTTGGCATCAAATACCCTAATAGAGGAGCTGGTGTGTATAATTTCTCTGTTTAATCAAGTATGCAGCAAGTTTACAGGAGGCAACATGCCGGTCCTCCCTTCTCCTTCCCAAATGGGGACACATTGAATGCATAATGGGAAGGTGCAAAATTGTACCCAGAAGTCTTATTGTAAACAGCTGTTGAATTGCAACTTTAACTTTCACACCTACTTTGATTTCAGACAACTGTTCTGAAAAGCAATAAGATTGAAAAGCTTTATATATTTATATTGTCATCTTTTTTAGGTGGTCTCATCTTTAATAGAATAGCAAAAACTGTCAATGGCAACAAAACTCATCAATGTTGTTGTGGTAGGAGGTGGAATAGCAGGCCTTACTGCTGCTGCAGAGTTAGCTGCATTACAAAATGTCAATGTCACTCTTGTGGAGGCTGCAGACTACCTAGGTAACAATATATTGAGTTTTCAGTGTACTAGATTAAAATATGTTTTCTTTGGAGTATCATGCATATTTTAGTTTTGGTATAGTAGACTTGGGTTATAATCATACCAAATGCTGCTTGAAAATTTGTGACTGTCAAGATAATGTGGTTTTAAATGAAGAGAAATTGAAGAGTTTTGCAAATCTGGGTCTAAAATTTATGCAATGAATTTAAGTAAGTCAACTGTAGCATGTTTTTTCAAATATTTAAGGCGGAAGGGTCAAACAAGTGAAGCCATTTAAAGGATGCAACTGGATGGACCTTGGTGGTGAATTTATTCATGGAGAGAAAACATCTATTATGAAAAATGCTACTGAGTTAGGGTGGGAGTATGAGGTTTGCTAATTGTAACACATTTTGATTTTATTGTTGATTGAATATATAGAAGGTCTTTGGGTATATGAAGTTCCTGGATAAGATTTGTCACTACAGTCAGGTTTTTTAGACGCATTCGGGTGCAAACCCTTGGGGAGAACTCTTATATGTAGCTTGAAGTCTTCAAAATCCCTAAATATGGGTCTCAAAAATACATTGATTCCCATAGATATGTGTTTGCTCAACTGTTGCAAAAACTTAGTTTTGGGTTCACACAAAATCCTTCCTGACCAAAGTGATGTTTGCCACGTCATTCATTATGTCAGTTGTAGTCCGTTGTTTTCCAGTCTCTTCCCTGCTGTTTGCAGTATTTTATAAACGTTAAAACTGGGTATTTTTTTCTCCAAATCCGTAAAAGTGGGTCAATCAAGTAGTCTTGCAGTATTGTCTTTATGACTCTTCAATGTCTGATAAAAGGCATGTGGGGAACAGACAAGGTCAGGAAACATCAGCATGTGTCATAGCTTTGAGTCAAGAACAGAACATATTAACATATGATTGGTATTAATGCTGTTATGTTACAAAACTCAGGATGTTTGGTGATAAGGCACTCATTGAAGACCATGCTTATGTGTTTGTCTCAGCAAGTCTAACACATATTTTCAAAATTATGTCCCGCTAGAAAGGGAAAAACGTGTCTTTTGCCAGTGCTTCTAAATCGTTTGAACGGCCAGTTATAGGCTTTCTTGTAACCCTGTTGAAACAAAGCCCCCGGCTTAGCAAAGCAATAATTTTGCAGTATTTTTATTACCCCAACTTTTCATAATATCATTTAGAGGTACTTTTTCTGAAAAGTGTGGAATTATCAGTATCAGTTTTTGGAATATGTGCAGAAGTATGGGTACCATTTGAAGAAACATGCAGAATTATGGGTACAATTTTTCAGACATGTGCAGAATTATAGGTCACATTTTTTAAACAAAATGCCACATCCCCGTTCGAATTAGGCTTAGTTACCCCTCCAAACTCCAGTACATACACACCCATCTTTCCTAAAGATCGGGATCCGTTACTGTAGAAATGTGCTTAGTGAAAACATAATCTTGATCCTCATTCCAAAAAAATTGCCCACACTTCAAAGGTGGCGATTGCTTCACATAAAAACTGGCCTTGTAATCTGTTAAATATTTTCATTGGAAATGGTATCTGTATCATTGAATCTGTATCATATATCTTTCTTCTTTTAGGATTTGGGTTTGCATGAAAATTCCCCCAGTCAGTGTTATGTATTTTGTAAAGATAGTCTTGTTACGCTGGATAAATCTAACTCTATGGCAATGGAGGCAAGATATCATATGGAAATGTTTGAAGAAAAAGGAAGAAAAATCAGAAAGAGCTTTTCCCAAGTAATGTTAAAATGTGAACCGTTGTTCACAAAAATATCTCCTCGTTCTGATGAAGAGTCTCAAGAACAAACTGCATCTAAATTAGAGTCTGTAAGGTCTGTTTTTATACTATAAAGTGTATTTGTTTTTCCGAGAAGGTATTTCCAAAGGTATGTAAGGACGCTACGTAGCTAAGCTTATTGAGCAGTGTCCTGGTCCTTGCTCTCCATCTGACCGCAAACTGTGATTACTATGCCTGGAATCACAGGAAACTGGGAACTCTCTTCAGACTTTGTAAAAGTCTGGTCAAGGCTAGAACTCTAAACCCAGGCCCTTGGATCCGTCGACTGTCACCCAATACACTGGACCACCTTGTGTAGGCTTTTTCAAACCGATTCTATCTTAGAAACGTAAAATGGATGCTAAACAATTCGTGTTGGGCCATAGGCTAGGGTCTAAAGGAGGCGTCAATATCGCCGAAAAATCAGCTTAAGCTTGACCAACGGTTTTGCTTTAGAAATAGACTTATAGAGTGACGACTCTAGATGAGGTTTCAATACTTGTGTTTATAAAGGCATCGATCAAAATCATCTAAGAAATGAGGGAAGGCTTGCCTGACAGCAGACAAAATTCAGCTTATCTGGCACTGAAAAGCTTCCAAATTTTTTTTCCATATTCAGGGGGTAATTCAAAGATTTCAGTGATATTGATGACTAAAAGCCTGCAAATCTTTTGATACAACGTTGGAAAAACTACGTAAAAAACTGAACTTTCCAGCATTTGGTTGGGATGGCACGCCTTTTTTCTCAAATTTTAAGAAATTATTTACAAATGGTTAATTAGTATATTTTGATCTAAGGAAGCTATTTCATGATCAATGAATATCCCTTTTTGCACCTACCCCTCTTGTGTCCCCTACATTTTTTTGAAGGTATCAGAGGAATAATTTTTCAGTCCAAGCAGTCTTTGTTGTACTAGATATTTTCAGGCAAATCTTTCTAAGCAGTTGCACTTCTTGCTTTCTAGACAAAAAGATGTTTCATTAGAAGATTATTTAGGCCAACTTCGTAATTTGAGTGAAGAATGCAAGTCCTTAATCGATGTGCTATACTGTCAAACAGAAGGAAACGACCTCAGTAGAATTGGAATGCTAGAGTTTAGTAGAATGTCAGAAACTTGGCCCTATGGCTCGAAGAATTTCAGGTGCTTGTTTTTGGTTGTCTTGAAAACAGAAGCATTGTCGTTTACTTAAAGATAGTCTGCAGATTTTAAATGTGCATTTACCAAGAACAATTTTTGTATGACATACAATTTTTATCGTTTTTAATTGACTTTTTATGTTTCACATGATATACCTCTAGCTGAATACAATCATAGGGAAACGTACAGTATCATATATAAACTTATGCACAACCTGAAGACTCTAAACTCTAGTTTGGTAGGTAAAGAGCTTCGCAGAACTGTGTATATATTTTGAGGGATTCACATTATGTATTGAGACGGTGACACTTTCAAATGTTGTTTTTTCATATTGAGAAGAATACAAAATCAATCCAACTGACAAATTCCCTTTCGTTTTTAGGCTGAAGCAGTCATATAAAGTTTTGCTTGATCATATGATCAGCAAGTGTTCGTCTGTTAACATCAAACTCAATTGGCAAGTAAAAGAGGTCAACTGGGAAGAAGCGAAACAACGTGTAATTAGCAAATCAAATGATATTTTACTTTGCGACTATGTCATAATTGCAGTACCTCTAACAGTTTTAAAAGATGGCGATATCAGATTTAGGCCGGGATTTAGTAACAGCAAGTTGCAAGCTTTAGAGAATATGGAAATGAGAAATGGGTGCAAGATGTTTTGTAGCTTCTCACAAAGATTCTTGTTATCAGAAAATGCTGACGTGTACTACACTAGCTACGGACCTTTTAAGCAAATCTGGAACGAGTCTTCGTACAAAGTGGATGGGCAACAAATACATGTGTTGTGTGGATTTTCAACAGGATCAGCGGCTGATGATGCGGCCAACTGTGATTCTGAGCTGCTCAAAGATCAGTTCTTGGTTGAACTAGATACATTGTTTAGGTAAGTGACCAGGTAAACAGAGCCCATTAAGCATGGCAGTCACGCGTTAAACGACTGCGAGAAAGGATCGAAAAACTAAAGAAATTGCAGTGCCATACCCAAACCCCATCTTGATTTCCTTTTTTCTCTATAGAAGGTTTTGAAAGTCGAATAGATTAATACTTTTGTGGACTTTGCAGTCAAACTCTTTTATACCTTAGGAGAAGCTTTAATATTAAGAAATATTCTCTTCCTTTTTTATGTTACCTGGGATAGCTTCAATAAGAGTAATGTGCCACAGTATTACACGTTTCTCACTCTTGGTGTATTTCTGCAGTCAAACCCCAATCATAGATGTGTACACAGGCTGCCCAGAGCTCATTCCACTCTTCATTGATAAACAGACAAATTTTTCTAGCCTACAAGGTATCACGAGGCACAAAATCCATCCAACCATAGAAGTGATTCAATGTTTTAGCAACATTGGCATCATGACTCTAACGATAATCGTGGCCGATCACAATCAATTAGAAAGGTTGCATGCTATTTTTAAAGATTGATTAGAGGAATACCAGCTCTGAGAAGCAATCAATCTTCTGCAATCAGTCAAGGAAAATCAACATTTAATCGAAGATAATTAATCCAGTAGAAAATTTGCGAAACTCTCTGCGAAACCTATTTGAACCAGTTATAAGTTGGGAATCCTTGGCAGTTTTTGCAATTATTTCCGATTCGAATATTGAAATTGCTTTGAGCCATGTCGCTTCAGGAATAAATTATTCCTTTATCAAGACTTTTGATACATGCATATCTTTTTTAGAACTCCAGAGAGACAAAATCCCGCTACTGAAAGTTTTGTGGACTATTTCTTTTATGACTGGGGATCAAACCCATACATTCGTGGATGTTACTCGTCACCAGTTTTGAAATCCTATGGCCTAGCAGAGAAACTTGCGGAACCTATAGGGGAAAAGCTATTCTTTGCCGGAGAGGCTACGAACGCTCAAGGAGCATCGTCTGTCGAATCTGCAATCGATTCTGGAAAGCGAGTGGCTAAAGAGATACTCCAGGTATGCGGCTGGTAAAGAAATTGAGTATGCATCTACCATTCCCAAGACCATGAATATTGTGGGTGACTGACCAGATATTACCGTATTTAGAAGAGAGACATTATTATTTCGTGTTTGGGACACTTTAAACAAAGAATGGAATGCTCGAGATTTATTAGCCTGTGTTCCAGACCCAACACAGTGTGCACACCCCTGTGTTACAAGCCTGCAGAAAGCTGTCTCCGGTGAAAAATTTCCTGACCGGGAGCCCTCTTTTGAATAACCGGATGACCCGAGCATTTATAGATTTTCCAACTTGCCCTGCAAGCTAAGATTTTTTTTTCTCCTTTCTGTCTTATGCTCTCACTTTGGTATAAGCACACTTACCTAATTGACCCTCAATTAACTGTTTGATCCGAGAACTGCCAACATTATTGCAACTTTTATCTTCCAAGAAGAATTGTGTTGCCCCCTGTCATATTTACCCGCTTTTCCCTATTAACAACAGGTTCATCTGGCTTGTTACAGAGGGGTGTATGCGCTGGGGCGCAGTGGCTGGGGGGCAGGGGGGGGCAGCCGCCCCCCCTGGCAAAAATTTTGTCGGATTGTCGGAAAATCCAACGTTTGTCGGAAAATTTGAAATATTAGACAAAATGTAAGGTTTTCATCGATCCTGTCCAAAAGGTCGCATATTTTTTTAAACCTGTTGTAAAATAGGGCATGCTCAACCCTTCTTACTTATTTTCATTAGAGTATTTATCGGAATCATCGCATTGCTGAAATTTGTAAAGGAAATTAACGCTCTGGTCTCAGTTATTTTATAAACTTCCATTTCCGACAGTTAAAATTCAAGTCAGTTCATTTCGAAATGAATTCGCTGGTGTTGTAGAAGACGCAAAAAGTTATTATTTTTGCCATGACTTAGAAGAGGAAAATTTTGTCGAGCGACGAATACGCAGAAAGAAAAAGATGCCAGGGGAAAATTGCATAGATGAATTAGAGGGAAATAGGGAATCCGTATATCATTGTGATAGTAGATACAGCTATCAGCTCAATGAATACAAGATTCACGTCTCAGGCGATTTTGACAGATTTTGCCTTGCTCAACCCTGAATGTTCTCAAAAAACAATTGAAAGGCAGTTGTGTGCAGTGTAATTCAAAAAGGTTGCGAAGAATTACGGCCTTGATGACGAAAAGTTAAGAGATGAGTACAACTCTTTCGTCAATGATTACCGTAAACTTTGGAAAGTTAGAGAAAAGAGCAGCCCTCTCCCGGCTGCAGGAGAAAGAGAAAACTTTTCAGTTCCATTCAGTTCTTCAGTTGATGATAAGTATAACCTGCAAAGTGCCTTTCCACAGCTGGTCCTTCTTTACAAGGTTCTCGTCACTTTGCCAATAGGTTCAACAAAGTATGAAAGAGCTTTTTAAAGCTGAGGATTGTAAAAAAATCGGCTACGGTCAACGGTCAACGATGGGACAAGACCGCCTTTCCTCTCTGATAACAATCAACGTCGAAATGATATTTTACATTTGATAGACAATGGTGACATCATCGATTAGTATGCTGCCACACCTCTTTTGAGAAAGATGCTGCTTGAGTAGCAGTTTATATAAATTTCAGTTAAAAGAAAACTATTCTTTTGGACGCGTTATATCTATTTAAGGTGTAGCATAAATAAATGCAAAGTAATTATGATGCGATTTAAAATTTGCCAAAAAACTTTTTGCTATAAACAGCTATAAACATTAACCTGACAGTTTATTGTCTAGTATAGCGAGAAGACTTTTAGGGTGTAAATTTATAACTAGTTGCAGTTTTGTTTATAGCGATTTATATTTGGTAAGTTTTGTTAGAATAAAGGCTATTGTTGAACTTGAAGGTGTATAACGAACGATCCATTCGTTAACGATTTACAGATCCATTCGTGATGCAAGTGTTGCAGTATATGCAGCAAGGGTAATCTTTAAGGAATGTATTGGGAAAAAATTTGTCGGAAAAATCATAGTTTTATCGGAAAATTTTCAGCTTTGCCCCCCCCAAAAGTTAACTCCCACTGCGCCACTGTGTATGCGCCAAACTAGCATGCATCTTCAGAATTGGGTCTGCGATGCAGGCTAGTGCCGAACACGCATGCAATTTGATAATCAGTGTAGTTCAGCGTGTTGCGAAAATTAACTTTGATGAATAATGAGCAAAAATTAATAAAATTAAAAAACGACTTTGTGCATTAAAAAGAAAGATAAGTACGACGTTTCGAGCATAACTCTTCAAGGCATTAAATGTGTTGGTAAAGGAATCAGCTGTTGTACAGAATAATAATTGACACATTATATTCTGTGGCGGTTATGTTTTGCTTTGTATGAACCAAGTAAACGGGATTTTTCAAATCTAAACAATCTAGTTTTAATGAATGAAATGTTTAGTGACAAAATATTTGTTTGAAATAGAAAACTGTACGAGTACACAATATTCTGATTACCTACAGTATTTGAGACATCAAATACTTCTTTGTAAATGAGTTTCGCTGAACCTGGGATTCCGTTAGCAGGGGTCGCCAAAAAACGTCAAAACAGTAGCTTGAGGATTGAATTTCCCCACGGATTATTAGACAGGGAATTTTTAACAACAATCGAGCAAAGTGCCTAACCTTAGTTTTTGCTCTTGATTTGGGTACTTTCAGCCTTGCTGAATATTTTAAGCCTTGGATACATTTTTGTAACACAATAGAAATCACGTGATCGATGACGTCATTTCCCCGGGTCATTAAAATTTTTAATTCTTTTTTTTGAAAAATCGCTCCAACCATCTTGTTTGGCATTGTAATAGGAGCAAAAAGTTCTAAAGAATAAACTCTATCAGACCTGCAGATAACGAGTTATTGCTATTTAAAGTTTGCATGACGTCATCAAAATGGCGGTTTTGTAGTTTTCAAGCACGTGGAATTCAAAGGCTCATGGTCATAATTTAGGTTGCTTTACCTCGATTTTGAAGTTTTTTGACCTTTGTGTTATTCGGCAACTCAATAATGTCATTTGAGCTGATATATTTGCACGCCTGGGAAACTAAGTATTGAACAAAATGCATGCAAAAGGAAAATATTCTAATAAAAATTTTTCTTCAAAAAAGATATACTGAAGAGGAGCTTTCGTCAGCAATGAAAGACCGTCGATTCGTCAGCATTGTCGCTCGGCAATGAACTCCAACTTTTACAGCTTTTACAGATGCAAACTTTAAATAGCAATAACTCGTTATCTGCAGGTCTGATAGAGTTTATTCTTTAGAACTTTTTGCTCCTATTACAATGCCAAACAAGATGGTTGGAGCGATTTTTTAAAAAAAGAATTGAAAATTTTAATGACCGGGGAAAATGACGTCATCGATCACGTGATTTCTATTGTGTTACAAAAATGTATCCAAGGCTTAAAATATTCAGCAAGGCTGAAAGTACCCAAATCAAGAGCAAAAACTAAGGTTAGGCACTTTGCTCGATTGTTGTTAAAAATTCCCTGTCTATATATTATCAAAAATTATCTTAATTTGATTTGAATTGCTTATGAAAGATGAAGCTGGAGTTGGGTATCGCATTTCAGGTATCACACGTCAAATGAGAAAGAATGTTGCAGACTTATTCAATTTATGCCTTTTCCAGATTGTTAAAGAAAATTCATGACAAATTGGCTTTTTGCCAGAACTGTGCTGGTCAATCGGACCAGCCAGATTCTTAATGTTTCATATTTTTAACAGCAAAAATTTTAGAGACTTGACCAAAAATCTAAATATCAGAATTTGCTTTTGCTAAATATCGACATCCCATCTCATAGATCATACTTTCTCTAATCTCATAGATCACTTTATAGCAATCCAACCTTGTTTCAAGGGGGTGAGGGGTTGCTGAAGTCGTCATTGAAACTGACTTAGATAATTTTGGCAGGGGCCATAGACTCGAAAACTGTTGGAAGCCCTGGCAAATTATGCAACACGAGTCCAGAGAGATTAAAAGCTTGATAAAAGACACAGGAAAATGACAAATTCAGGATATCTGTCGCATCTCATTTAAATAAATCTACTCAATTGAAACGAGAAAACTATTCATAACAAAAGTAGTGTCTAGGTTCACGTAGTAACAGCAATGACCAGGACCATCAACCTGAAGATCCCTGCGAAACATCAGCTGTTAATCGTGCTTCTTATCGCATGCTGCTAACCTACAAATCAATAAAGAACCATATAGTATTTGCATTACACATTATACTACAAGCCATATACAAGTTAGATATTTGTAAATTACTCTGAGATCTGTACCGTATCATCATCAGGTACCATCTTCTATCAGAAGGTTGGCTACCATGACCCTCCAACTATCCCAAAATCTGAGTTTTGGTTTGTTGTCATGGTCATAGATAAAACAGTTGGTTTTTTTATCTGTACCGTATGGTTGGATTGTTAAAAGTGTGAAAATAAGCTATTGTAGTTCATGAACATTTAACAGCTTTAAATTTTTATCTTAATTTGAATAAAACTTTGGCGTAAATTCGAATGCTGATTTCATCAATTGAAGGTAACTGCCAAAATTAGGAACACATACATATAATACCAGACACATGCCTATGGCTAGAGGGGACAACGATGCACTTTGTATAACGATTAATTGCATCAACACTGTCTAAAAATTAACGTGAACAGATTCCCTATTTGATAAGAAGACGACAAATGCCGACTAAGGGAATGTGCCTGAATAATTGTAACGAAGGTTCACGGGTACTTACAATGTCATCAATTTTCAGTATACTTCGGACGGTTTCAGCTGCAAGGTTGATCGCGCTTGTTGAAACAAGAAGAGGTTGAAGAACGTTTTCTTCCAGAATGTTGGTTACAGCTCCCTGTCAAATTAAAAAAAATGCATTGTAGATAACCTCAACTCCAGAAACCCTCCTGAAAACAATATGAGCCATAGAAACACGATTCGTATTATTGAACCGAAAAGAAATCTGGATTAAGAAACACGGAGGTTTTAAATAATGTAAATATAGACAGAGGGGCTAAGTGATCTGACCTAGATGAAGCTTCCCATTAAAAAATCAGCAAGTGACCAAAATGCCTGTTTTAAGAGAGCAAAGCTTTGGAATAGCCTGTTACTTGGGCTACAACTGGGTGCTCATTGTAATTGTTTTAGTTTAGGTTTTTTGAATATATGAATTGTCTGTTTTTACTCAGGGCTCCTTAAAAAACAACTGGTGCTGAAGGGGAACCCTCCCTAAAGAATTGAAATGAAAGATCGAATTGGACTTGTGTTGCCTTAACTCATGTGCTGAATCGCCCAAATCTTAAAAGATGTGCTATGAGTTTAAAGAAACCGAATATTCCCCGAGATGACAATCAGGGAAGGAAAGGATAATTTGAAGTGCGTTAGCGTGCACAGTCATATACGGGCTCTCTGAAACAAGCTGATATTCAGCAGTGAACTTAACCAGGCTAGCGCGTATAAAAAACTTGTCTAATGTCGCTGAATTACCTTGCGGACATTGATACCATAATTCTTCTCTCCTTTCGCATGTTTGTTCCTTAGTTCAGTGACGACGGCGATGGGGCTCAGCCCAGCATTCTCCGCCAGAGTGTACGGAATGATCTCCAGCGCCTGGGCGAACTCTTTGAAACAGTAAGCCTCTTTTCCGGTCAGTTCCTTTGCATAGTTCATTAACCTGACACTAGCCTCGATTTCAGGAGCACCACCTCCAGCAATTAAAGCTCTAAAATGGTGAATATCAACTTCGTACTTTTCTAGCGATTAAGAAAAATGAAATTTTTCAAATGATTCATTGGTGCAGCGAAGATTTAACTAGTTAATAAGCAATTTTGTAAAGTGTGTTGTACTTCGTTGAATGAGACTAGATGTATATAGAGCGTAAACAGCGGCTTGTTCAAGCATTTATTTTCAAGCATAATTCTCCATTAGATGATGCCTTTTCTTAGTAACAAATAGCTTTTTTACGTTTACGGCCGTTATCTGGCACTATCTCCGGTCGTAGAGCATTTTAGAAAAAAGAAAATCTTTTGAATGCATCAAATTGAGCTTCCATTGATACAAAAGAAATACAGAAGAATACTGAAGAAAAAAATTGAAATATATATTAAAAGAAATTCGGCTCGAAACTCACTTTTTCTTAACGAGGCATCGGATGACGCACAATGCATCGTGGATTGATCTTTCAGCCTCATCAAGTACAAGCTTATTTGATCCTCTTACTAGAATACTGACTGTTCGACCTGGGTTTTGAATTCCTGTAACCTGTTTGTAAGAATACTCAAGCATTAGATATAATAAGAACGGCCCAGTGGTTAGGGTAACCGTTTACAGATTCAAGGACTATGTTTGCTCTCCAATACTTAACATTGAAAAATACATTGAATAAGGTTTATTTATCCTAATTATCAATGAACAAACAGGGCATAACAACATCATTTAAAACAAAGATGTCTTGGCATTAAGACCCTAGTGAGATTTTACCAGGACAAAGGTTGTAAAGACGCGACCATGTTTTAGCTTCAATCAACAACCTGATTGTATTTCATTTTCGCAATGATGCAGGATTCGTAAGACATACTTTATAAGCTAAAACAGACCTTAGAGAAAACACACTTCACTTGAAAATTATAATAATAAACAGCTCTCGCGAACCCGGTATTCTTTGTGCTGGCTGTTTCTTTTACGGGAGGAGAAGTTGGCTGTATTTTGTATTATCATGCGGTATGACATAAGGCTGGTTTTGAAAATATAGTCGCAAAGCACACCGGTTGCGCAAGAGCCCTTTAATAATTTCTTGAAACATTTGCAAAACCAGTCTTAATGAAAAAATCGCAAGTTTGAAAATTTCTTGCAAAAAATTATTGCATCAATGATAAACACCTATGTATGTGAAATCTGATCGAAAATCGAAAATTGCTTTGAATGCAATAGTGAATGCAATTAAACCACTACTAGGTGTCATTATACCTTGACAACTTTCTCTACGCCTGTGGAGCACTCTTCGACTAAGTCTGCAGACGCCAGCATTTCAGGTGTAAAGTGATCTAAACTTGCGATTGGTCGACATCCGATTGTCTGTAAAATTATGAAAGAAAATTGTGAGTATATATAGAGCAGAAATGACATAAACTTAACAGATCATGCTGGCCAGGAAAGTATGTTTTTGTCGATAAAAATGGCTATGTATCAAAGTGCATGAACTCTCAAGTTAAGAGAGCATTGTTTTCGGATATTCCTGACACTCTAAAAACTGGGAGAGGCCTGTTTATGTCTTCCGTTATGGAACTTCAAAGATACATGTTGAATAAATGTGATTTCTTGTAAAAAACTTGTTTCAATTGATAATTCTTGCTGATTAGCTGCTTCGTTTGAGTATGTGAAACCTAGCCATCTGTAATAAGGTCTGAGGGGGTAGAAGGGGCAATTGTGAAGCAAGATCTAAGGAAAAATAGAAAATATAAGCGTCGACTCTAAAAATAGAATCAAAGGCAGAGATGAGGTAACCCTCAAATTTCTAGAAACCTGGGCCATGTTTGGTTTTCATAGCATGAATGTCTATTACGAAATCTTAAAAACCATACAGCACTTGACTACCCTTTTGTGACAAATTTTTATTTGGCAGCATCAGGATAATCAAGAATCAACCTTGGTGTGTTTTGGTTATGGTTGGACTGAATGATGAACAAAGGTAAGCATCCCTAGCTGTTCTAGAGTATCAAGAATGCATTAATTGATATTAAAACATTGAAACTGCAAATCTGTTTTAAATGACCAAATGTACATTCAATTACAGAAATACCTTGCAAATAAACTCTACTTCATCTCGTTCTACGTCACGAACAACCATTATTTTCATCTTAGCCAGGAAATGAAGTCCCATATCAGTAATGGCATCCCTGTAATTATAAAATTTTGTTTAAATGCAACTTACAATTGTTTAATGATATTAAAATTTACTGGGCGAAATAAAAGAACATTTTCTTTTAGACAGTTTATTACCATTTAAGTTAACAGGTTTTAATTCAATGAAAACCATGGTTATTTGTGTTTGTATCAGAATCAATTTTTGTTGCTAAAAACTGTGCAGATAAGACATACCATCAAATCTGTAATGATAAAAGAGGTGCAAAGCATGAATATGTTTAACTCTTTCTACGACAATGGACCATCACAGCTCCATCATCACAAAAAATTTCACCATTGAAAGATGATTGTGCATAATTATAACTGAATTTATTTGGTCCCAGGAGAAAGAAAGAGAATAGAGTTCTTAAGAAGGTTACAATAGTGTTGTGTTGCAAGTGTGATAGTGATTTCAAGTTGTTTTACACGTGAAGTTGTGTCAGTATAAAAGGTCTGTACTGAAATTTTAAGTTCACACGCCGATAGCTATTTTGCGGACAAGTATTCCTTCCCACCCCTCCCCTAAGGATATCAGAGCATCTGTACTGTAGTGGTGATTTTTCATTTTACTTGATGCCAAACTTAAGTCTAGGTTTTCATTTTCTAGCTAGAGTTACTAGCTTTAGCAATCTTGTGTTAAGTTGATGATATTTTTTCTTTTCATACTCTTTGTAAATCAATGTTTATGTTTATTCGCAAAATGTTAACTGACTAGTACTACTGTTCGAAAGACTCTTATAAGTAATTTTAATTAGCTACTAAATGAATGTTGTTATTTTCGGTTGAATGAAATGAATTAGAAAAATTCTGTGATTTATCAAATCAACAACATACCTGAGAATTGACTTTTGTATTAAAAGAACATTACATCCTGCTTTTTTTATTTTCTTGCAGATATCTAAAATGTATTGCCTCTCCTCTCTCAAGACTCTGTCCATTTGTGTGTAATCGCTGACAATGACATTGTTCTCCATCTTCAGAAAGAGAACACAACAAGGGTATGAGAAATAATTCTATACCGTAGTGGTTGGCTTGGACAATTCAAAAGGCAAACTTCAAGAGAGATTCATAGCAACAACCAACACATTGCAATATTATTAGGAGATGCAAAACAATAAAGGAAATCAACTTACATCAGTTTTTGGTGGTGAAATACAGAATTGTATCAAACCAATCTTTGCCTTTTCTACTCGATTTACTCCACCTGCAAGATGTGAAATCTTCTGACTCAAAACCAAGCCATTTACCAATTCTGTGTCTTCAATGGTACCTCTATAAGCAAAATAATGTAAAAACATCAAGTCCTCCTTATTACAGAATTTTTGTTGTTGGTTAGTTAAATTGCAACTTAAATCCAAAAACATGGGTTATGTTTAGGTTGAAATTAAAGAAGGCTAAACAACTTATGTATAAAACAGGTGCTTTTGAGAAACGTACCCAAGTTTTGTGACAACATTGATATCACGAAGATCAACATTTGAGTCTTTTGTTGGATCAATAACTTTTAACACAGCATCAACACTCATAGGAGCAAGAAGACTTGAGTATTGTGAAACAACCTGAAATTAAAAATGAAACAAAGTTGGTGTGTCCTTCATTACTGGATGCTTGCTATCGCACTTATCGTATCAGTAATTTTCAATCAATACGCAAAACAATTGGATTCTTGCAGTTAACAAGAGCACTAAAACATATAGCCATAAGTTACGATGTTAAATATTGTTAGCATTTTGTGTTTAGGAGGACAAAATTTATGTTTTTCCTTGAATAAAAATTAGAGAAAAGTGAAACACAATCTGAATGCTATATATATTATCTTGTTTTGGTTTAAAAAGTATGTACAATATTTATTTGATTATATATAACCAGCAGCTTATAATTATCTTTTGGTACATTTTGCTGTGGTTTAAAATCAAGGGTGGCTTAAAAATGAGGGCAGCTTATATTATTTTATCCAGATCCTTATAAGCATTCCTGCTACCTTAAAGCTGAGAGTAATAATAAAGAAAATAAAGAAAAACACTTCTAGATGCCATTGATGATCCCATGCTGGGCAATATTGTTCTTGGTTGAAATTCTAATGTCTATTTTTTTATTTAAGTACACCATCAAGTTATTATCAGTCTGTAATTTCAAACCAATTATCTCTGCATGGTTTTGTGGTGCAGCTCACAACCAAGGGCCACTTATTCTCTTTATAAACCCAATTTTATGCAGCTTATGACTGAAGGCAGCTTATAATCGAATCAATATGGCAACATTTCTGTTGTTTGTTTCTGTTATGTTTTCAATTACATCTTCTTTTCTTGGTTTGTGTATATTACAGTATCATTAAAGTGTAATCACTCTACAACTGTAGTAAATGAATAAAACTGAACTGAATTGAATTAAATTCAGTAAAAGTTTTTAGCTGTTTAAAAAGACAAAAGCAGCTTTTGAAATATTTACCTTAGAATTGAGTGAAGTGGTAGCACTTTTAAGAAGAGAATCTCTGTCTGAAAGATCAACTGGTGTTGAAATTTCAGTAATGAACTCCATGGCTTTTCCTGCTGCCTTTTGAAAAGATTCTGAGATGATTGTTGGGTGAATCCCTGGCGACAAATGTACAAAAAGTTAAATTTTTCAATCTGCTTTTGTAATATTGAGGCAACATAAGCAGCATATGAAGCAGACCTTGCAAAATGAAGGTGCTCTAAGCAAAATGAAGGTGCTCCATAAAAAGAGCCCCTTATAAACTCTAGGCGCTCTATTTCGAACCTTTAAATATAATATCCTTGAGAGCATCCTTCAAGAGCTTTGGAAGATCGAGAGCTTCATATCGAAAACTTTGGACGAGTGTTAAAAAAAGAAATTCAATGCTGATACCAAAAAGCACCATAATACTAAATAACAAAACATGCAGCAAACATTATGTTAATACAAATATAGAAATATAGGAAAACGCATGGGTTTAAGTCAAACATTAACTTTATTCCCCTTTTTATGCTATCCATTCTATAAGAGACACTAGAACATCTACTACTCGCGAAAGCAAATGAAAACTGAAAAGCAATGCGGTAATTTGGAAGGAAATGTGATCTCTGATTTGCAAAGGTGATTCTAAGTTATTAAGAAAAAACAGAAAATAATACTTCAACAGAAGATTAACGCTTGCTCGAAAATCAAATAAATCTGCCGGAGAATACGCTTGATGACCTGTGTCTTTGGTGGTTATTAGAGGGGTTATTAGATTAAAAATGGTATCGAAAACCTAACGTTGAATTTGCTGAATTTTTTTCTCTTTTTTCTTGCTGAATTTCAGGGGTAATCTGACGCAAATCATAATATTGCGGTCTATTGGGAAGATTGTTTATGCTTGATCAAGTTTATTAGACAAAGGCCAAGAAATTATTTTGCTCCGTGGTAATATTGTTTTTACGTTTTGAGGGGCTCTATAAATCGCTCTCCAAGGCTTCTTTTGGGTGCGCTCTAGGCGCGCGCGCTCGATCGAGCGCCGTTCCGGGCAAGGCCTGATGAAGCCAGACTAATTAAAATGGCTAAAGTCCTTAATAGTTATAATTTCTTCTAATGGTGTTATAGGGCTCGAGTAGCTGAAAACTAACTAGCTAATACATTTTATGAATTTAATATGTCTATCATAATCAAAATCAATGAATTTGAACCCAATCAAACATATAAAATACATCATCAATTACCTTTATCTAAGAGTCTTGAGGCAGCATTAAGTAAACTTCCTGCTATAACTACAACTGATGTTGTTCCATCACCAGCTTCAACATCTTGGGCCTTGGAGAGCTCGACCAACTGGTGAAAAAAGAATATTGAAAAATATTATTTAAGTAATATATACATTTTACAGTTATTCCTAAGTCATGAACTGCTTTTTCTGTTATTAAAATTTTATCAAATGAACATTAAATTTATAAACTTTTCAAAATAGTAAAGCTTAATGGAGAAAAAAAATTATACCATTTTAGCAACAGGGTGTAGAACTTGCATTTTCTTCAAGATAGTAGCTCCATCATTTGTTATTGTAACATTGCCATCACCTCCTTTAATCTATAACAAAGACATCCAAATGAAATTACACAAATGCAAAATTCTCTCTATCAAAAATCTCCAGTGTTAAATTAATCATTCTTTGTTTTTAGGTTACGTAATGCTTGCAGGTAAGAAACTCAGAGTTCCAACTTAGATCTGTCCTGCTTTATAGGACCATTTTTAGGTCTTACAGTCTTATTTAGCTTTAAAAACCTGATAACCATTAGCTATTTTATACTGATATTCACATACAGGTTTCACAAAGTAACAATGCAATTCAACATACCATTTTGTCCATGCCTTTGGGACCAAGACTTGTTCTAATTGCATCAGCAACAGCTAGAGATCAAATCAAAATGCTCAATATACTGGAAAATGATTTACATCAACCGTTTGGAAAACAAAACAGGGGAGGCTGTATGACATTGTCATGCAAATTTATATCCTATAGAGTAACAAAAAAAAATTATAGACAACTTCAAAACTTAATTCATTGACACATTTTCAGGCCTTTTCGCTTGATGCGATTGAACACTCATGATCACATCAGCACTCACACAAACCCAACCAGGTGAGCATTTGATCGCTCACCAAAAACAGTAAATTGTAAGGAATAAATGTTTAATCAATCAACACACTTCCAGTCATTTTTTGTGGCCTAAGTAAGTGACATAGACAAGGCAAAGTCAGTATATCAAAACACAGGAAACTTATGTAAGCTGATTTAACCACATCTCAACAGAAATATGCAATCGAATATCAAATCTACCAAGAATGTTTTTGAATACTGTAGGTACTTATTACTATAGAAAAATTTACTTAAGTATTTTATAGAATGTTTCTATACTATAGAATGTCTTAGAACATATACTATATATAGTATTTGAACTATATACATTAGCCCTTGGAACATCGTCTGGGCAATTAAAGCATTTCTAAAAAAGGCTTGGAGCAACCTTTTGCAATCATCTGGCAACGGTGTCTATATAACCTTTATGATGTTCATAAAATTTATAAAGGAAGCACATTTATATTGGGTAATAAATCTTTCTTGGAGTGCATTAAAGGTCATCATAACCATCATGTTTTAGTACAGCTTCCAGCCATTTCCCTTCTCCAACTTTTGTGTTTTGTATGCCCTTTCCAAAGGCAGTGACATTTTGATCTAATTTTTAACTATTGTTCAAACCCAAAAATGGGTTCTATCGTCAAGCACAGCTGGGGACAATTAAACTTGATTTCAAAAATCTTAAACAGATCAAATCTTCCAGGCAATATATTGCGGGCATCCAACCAAGTTTCTAGTCTGGACCCATGCAATATGTGCCACACCCAAAATAAGCCTCTAAAAATTGTCTACACACAAAATATGTTGTCCAGCGTGTGTACCACTTTCTGCAGATTTGTCAAATTCGACAATTTTTCTGAAAATTGAATGAACTTTGAATTAGCTGCCTGCATTTAGACTTGATGCTGTGCCAAGAAGAAAGGTGCTGAATTGGCTTGAATATTATTGTAAAAGTACATCCTTTTAAAATTCAATTGGAAGCTTTGTTAAAAAACAAAACGCAAGCGAATTTCTACTTCAGACACAAAATGCCGTTTCCTATGCTGAATAAATTCCAATATGGAAGCTGTGACTACAAAAAAGCCATTTCCATTTCCATCCAAAACTTTTTGAAAAAGTGCTGACTATTTCCCTTTGAAAAAAGCCATGGGTTTATCTGCACATTCTGTACCAGCATTATCTAAAAACACTTTCAAAAAATTGTTTCACGCCCAAAAACAGTAGACGCTCATATGTGCATACAAACCTTTTGCAGCTGTGATATTACTCTCTCTAACCATAACTGGCTTTTCTTTGTCTTTAAAAGCAACATTTCTGTTCCCCTTTGCTGATCCTGGTGCTGCTGGCATTTTATCGAAGTGTTTAAGTCGAAATATATATCCTTTAGAGCTTGAAGGCTACAATCAATCCTTCGATTCAAGCAGATATTGAGGTAGTGTTGCCCTCCGCAGCTGGTTCCTTGTTTGTAGTATTTTAGGCTAGGCCCGCTTGAGGACCGAGAATGTTCTTTGAGAATGAATACGAGGCACGGTTTAAACATCTCTCCCGCCAAATATGTTCATTACGATCAAGAAGAATTCGTGAAAATTTCAACAAGCATTTGCCATACACATTTCCAATGAAAAAAGACGAAGAAAAAACTACTGTCAAAAGTGAGGTAACTTTTGCAGTATGTTCTTGTATAAATTCTATAATTAAACAACCCCTGTTCAAGGTCAAGTCCTGATCTATTAAGAAAAACAACTCAAAGCAAGCCCTAATAGCAACACCTCCAGATTGGAGAACAATACTATTGTTGGGTTCTACACTATGTTACATATTGTGGCTCTAGCCCCCCTCCCCCCCAAACAATTTTTTCTTGCCTCGGGCTTGATTGTTCATCAGATCACAGATTTACTTATAGGCTAGGTTAACAACTGTCCTTCCTGCCCTTCCCTCATGGAAATAATTTTTTTATGAGACATTTTTACAGGGCCTGCGTCACCGACTCTTAACTTGGAGAGCAGCAATGTTAAAAAATTATCATCATTGTGGCAAAAATTTTGCTGACATTGTTTTACCGGCAGATTTTGGTTTTAAACAAGTCTAAAAATTAACCATGAGCAATCCGATTCTGTAAATTGAAATTTTGAATCTTTAGAATACTTTTTTCAATTTTGGCATGACCTTTCAAAATCCTACCCAAAAAGGAAAGAAGAATCCTAGAATCCAGTGACCCAGTCAGCCAAAATAAAGATGGACACAAAATTTAGTGTCCTTTGAAAAGGTTACATTTCAGAAATAAAGAGCCATCAGTAGGCAAGCTATCCTGTGCTTATTTTCAAAGCATCCAGGATAGCTTGCCTACTTTCTCAGTAATTGGGACTGAACACTTTGGCCCTGGTTTCCAGTTTGCAGAGTATGACCGATTTTGACAAGATCTTATATGCACCAAAGAACCCACGCCACAAGTGCAGGTGGGCAAAAACAACCCAAAAATACCAGGTGCACCAGAACTATCTATATATTTACAAATTGAAACTGAAAATATATCTAGGCGCACTCCCAACAATGCCATGTCTCCATCACCATCATGTTTGCATCTCTAGTGCGCCAATGCCATGCACTACATACTGGCCTGGTTTCACCCTAATAATTTAAGAATGAATTAAGTGCAAGACCAGCCTAATTGTTTTGAAAAAATTAAGAACAGGCAGCCTAAATCAGCCTTAACCTAAAATCTAAACCTCAATCTAATGGATCTTATAAAAATAGCATATACCTACACATTAAAGTCTATATGAAGATTTTGGCTAATTCAAATCTTTCATTTAATACAAACTTGTTCTGTGGAAATGCAGAGCATTATATTCCTTTGCATAGACTTACCATTTTCACCACACTATGTTCCTACAATCTTAGAGATGAAATTAGTACTTTTTGAAGACAGAAAATGGCTTCTTTCGTTTTTTTATGAAGGCTGATTCTACAAGGAGATACAAAAATAATGACTGTTTAAGCTGTCGAATCATTGGAACTTCAGCTCTACTGATAGCAAGTGCATATGTGTACTATCATGGCAAAAGAGGGACGTCAACACATAGCAGACTCTTTTCAATGGCTACAGCTTTGGGTAATCTCTTTTACTTGATTTCATTCAGTAGCAATACTGAGTTCAACAGTTGCTTTTCAAAACTGTTAATGACAAGACTCTTTATTCTTCTTGTTCCTGTCAAAATTGGTTGTATGTGTGATATTATGCAACCAGGGCAGGACTTGAACCTGCCACCAGCAAAAAACGAGCAATGATTATACTTTATAGAAAATTTTTATAGCAAAATTCCAGTACACAAAGAAACTTAGAAGAATTTCAAATCAAATGATTTCCTATACCATGTCATAGTTTTGAATGAAAACTTCTGCTAATGGTTAGAGAATAATCAAATTTGTTTGAGCAAAGATTTACCAACAAGCCATCATGTGTGCAAAACAAAATAAAAAAGTTTAAGCTTTTGAGAAAGTTTTGTCTTCTTTATATTATTTTAGGGCTTTTTTCCCTTGGGGTTCTAAGAGCCATCAAGTGAAGAAACATAACTTATTGGCAAGTATATGATCAACTGTCATGCATCAATCAAACTTCACAAGTGACACATAACCAAGAAGGCCAAAGGAATCAAGAAAAAGCAGCAGTATAATTAGCTGCTTTGAAAATAACCGACAATACTTGAGTATGAATAAAATAAAAATAAAAACTTGAAAATAAACTATAAGTTGCAGTTTATTTTATCTCCTTTTTGTTATTTTAAAGTTTTTGTTAGCAAGATGTAATGCATTAATAATGTCAAGTTTTTGAATGCAAATGTTCCAAAGAACTTGGAAAGAAACCTCCAACTCCTTTCCCGCCCTCTTAATATTTTTGACAAATCCTTTTTTCCAGCCAGTAGACAGTGAACATTTCATTTTTTAGATAAAAAGGAAATATGACTTAACTGTGACCACACATAAATTTGTATTTTTATGGCAATCTTTCAAAAGGCCTCTTAACTTCCAAGTAAAGAGCATATTTTGAAAACAATGATAACTTCTTTTTGTGTGGCCAACTTTACAACTGCAATACATTGTTTAGGATTTGTTTGGAATCTAATTTGTTAAATATGCATATTTATACACAATTTTTTAGTATAAAAACCATTCTAATCGTAGTTATGCTTGTATTTTTATGTCTTTGTTTATTTTCTGTATAAAATTACCCAAAATTTTATCATTTAATTTCTTATAATATTCAATCTTGCTACTACTTTTTGGATCAAGATCAATTAGCTTTATCTTATATGCATAGTTGCATCCAGTAGATAAATCTTTAATCATTCTCTGAGGTTTTTCTTCCCTTGTCGTTGCTTCTTTAAATGTTATCATGATTGAGCAGTCTCTAAATGTTGCAGCTACAAGAAATTTTTGAAGTTCAAATATAAGCTCTTCAGTGGTTGCTTCTACCAAATCTTTTTTCAAAATTTGTTCATCAAATTTCATTTTTGTTGTAAAAGTTTCCCATGATGATGAGGAAAAGTCACCAAGATTATTCAGAATTTCCTCTTGATTTGTTGTCTTGATAACTTTCTGATATATGGAATCTATTTCATCCATGGAACTGTCACTAATTTGCTGCACTTTCAAAAGCTTTTGAAGTACACCATTCAAAGCCAATGGTGTGCATTGACTGTCATCGATGACTTCACTTTCGTTTAACCTACAGGAAGGTGATGTTTTGGCCTTGCACCTTTTTGTTTCTTGTACAAGAGACAAACTTTTTTGCCAAGAATCTGCAACAAGAATGCTTGATAAAATGTTTACTAGACTATTGACATCCAATATTTTTTCTTTTCCAGGAACTAGGATATTGTTAAAATCATGACACAACGTTGATAGGCTACTTTTTCCATCTTTCACAAAAAGCCCAGAATAAATGAGCTGTCCATTATGAAAAACTCTTAAATTGTTTTGTGGCTCTTGAAATAGTGAATGAAGGGCCCTTTTTAGTCTACAGGTACAGTGGGAAAATAAGTCAAGTGGGCAATATAAGCTGTGAGACTTTATTTTTCCTTCAACCAGTTTTAACTCTTGATGCATGCAGAAACGACATGCTAGACTACTTGCTGCACAATCTGATTGATGTTGAGGGGATAACTTTGGAACAAAGCCCCATTTTGGTTTGATTTCTATAGAGTAGGAGCTTCCATCTATAGTCCCTCCTTCTTTACATAAATCTGTGTCATTTTCATAAAAACCTAGATGTGGCATCAAAACTGCCAAATTTCCTGCAGTGAGGCTTTTACACTTCCTCTCTTCGGGCCTTGTTGGACAAGAGACAGCAATTTTTATCAGCCTATCTTTGAAATCATCTAACAATTCAATAACTTGTGCATCAATGAAATATCTATTGTCGTCAAACAAAGGCTTCAAAATTTTCTCTGTGTAAAGCTGTCCCTGACTTGGAGAGAATTGTGGAGATCGGTTCATGTGGCTTCCTTCATCACTCGAAAATTTATTGAGTCTTAGAACCCAACGAATTTCACAACAGGAGAAAACAATGCTTGAATTACCCTCTGCTAGGTATTCCCAGCTATGATTTTCAATGCCATTCGTAAACATCTTTTTATGTCTTTGTTACCTGCTTACTATCTACTATCCTTCCATCACACTAGTGACGGCCTCGTTTTGATAATTTCAAAAAATTGATATAATTTGAATACCGAAAAGTTAGTATTTTCCTCAAAGGTCAACATAAAAACGACATAATTTTCTCAATGAAATAAATTGAATAAATTGAAATAAGATATTATTCTGCAATTATGCTTCCTTCAAATAAGCCTCCATGGGGGCTTATTTGAGGGGAGGGGGCTTATTTTCAAAAATGATTTTTTAGGTGGGGGCTTATTCGAGGGGGGCTTATTCGAGCATAGGGGCTTATTCGAAGATTAATGGTATCAAGTTTTATGTTGATGGTGTCTGATATTATGCATTTTTTATAATTAAAGTTTTAATTCGGATCGAAGGACAATTCATTCGGGAGTCATTCTGAAGATTCATTTCGAATCTTGCTTTGAAAAGGGGGCGCAGGGCGTCAACCGCTCTTGTTGCCTTTTGATAGGAGGGGCAAGGAGGCCAAAGTGCCCTTTTCACAGAAGTTCCCTTGACATCGGTCGTTTGTCATTATCAAAAGATTCATATGAAATTCTAACATTACTTCCTCATTCGTGACGACATTTATCAAAACTTGTAAAAAAATTGCCAAAGTGATCTAGAGATACCTACGATTTTCAAGATACCTACAGAAGATCAAACCAAAATGGCAGTTACGAAAATATTGTTAGTAGCTGGGATTTATTTTTCAAATGCCCTTTCACTAAAGCTTGCCCCCCCCCCCCCCTTGCCCCTTGGTCGTTCCGGCGTCCCTGCCCTTATATAATAAACATAATAAAACATTGAAATGTGAAAATTTGTTTTCCATAGCTACAAGTTGTCGAGTAAAAGACAATAGTTTAAGTACAAAACTTAATAGCAAAGATATTTTTAAAGAACCGAAGTGGAAACGTATTTTGCATCATCAAGCTCAGCTAATTTCTTTCAGCCATTTTTTAATCTCACTTTTCAATCTTTTGTTGTATGACATCGTTAGTATGTCGTGTTTTTACTGCATGAATACAAAACTTCAATGTTGTATGCCGATTGTACGGTGCTACAAACACTTATTACAAATATTCTTTTTTTCATTTCCTTTGAATTCTTTAAGGAGGGTTGCCTTCAACACAAACTGTTTTTCAAAGGAGCCCTCCATTAGAAACAAACAATTTATAAATGAAAAATAACCATATTAAAAAGTTTTCTTAATGGAAATAACCCGCCATTGACATTGACTTATTCGAGGATTCACAATACATTTGCTTTTTGGTTTTGTTTAGAAAGAACGACATCCTGGCATAAGATTTAACTACCTCCAAAAAAGCAAATGTATCCTGTGTAATACTCATATGATTGATTAGGAGTTAACTAATTGTGAAAGACGAATTTTATCTTAGCAAGTCAAAACAGTGGCGTACCCAGCGTTGTAGTAGTGGGGGGGGGAGGGTTCTGGAGAAATTTTTTTGGACCACGCCCTTCAAACACTCGCAAATGTGGGGAAACGCCCTTTTTGCAAAATTTTCCCCCATCGTTTGATGCATTTTAGCTACGGTAAATAGCAAAATATTTTACAATTGTTATTGACACAAGCATACAGTATACTATCCCCCCCCATGAGTTTTACATCGTTTTTGGACAAATCTCGAGAACCGTCCTTTAGAAAAGTGGGGGGCCGGACCCCCCTATTCCCCCCCTTGGGTACGCCACTGAGTCAAAAGACAATAATTTTCCATCGAAGAAACTTTTCTGTTATTCCTAGATTGTCTTTTGTTGAAACTATGAAAGCAGCAAACAGAACCCAGCAATGTGGTTAAAATAACAATGACAGCAGGCAATCTGACTCTTCCTTGGACGCTTTGCTGTTTGCCAATTGCCTTTGCCATTACCCAAGAGTCAAGCTTATTTGATAACAAACATTTTTAAAGCTAAGAACTAAAAAGGTACCAGTAAGTAAATGTTCACAGCAGCCCACACGTTTGTATATTGTACTAGTTTCATTCATTTTCTATGAAAGCGTCCTTGACATCTTTTCCTGTCCTACACATCAGCGATGAAGGAAACATTTTTTGACTTGGGAGCGCACGAATTTTACAAGAGCTCTTATCCTGGTCACCAGTTACCAAGCAGTCATGGCAAAAAGGACACTTTAGAAGTAAAAATCAACCCAAAAGGAACACTTGCTTCGCTGGAAATTTTATTATACAAAACTTAGAGAAGAAGAGACGATGCTCTTGGTGCCCCCAACCCCTACTTCTCTGTTGAAAATTTACCTTGCAAATCGATTATTCAAAAAATATATATTAACTTTGTACTACAGTGCCTTTTTCAAGAGAAATCATAATTCTTTGATGGTGAAATTAAAAAGCATATTAAACACTATTATATATTTATTTAATTGTATAATAGAGTACTAAATGCACGATTGGGGTGTCAGCCACTGAAGACAAAATTAAAAACTAAGCCACGCCCTTTTTACAGTTACAAGAAAAAGGAGCCACCCATGACCATCTTTTGACACTATAACATAAATACGGTTTGTAAACACTATAACATAAATATTTTGCGTTGTTAAATTTGGCTATTGTTGATATATTTAGTTGTTTTTAATTAGCTTTAGTATAGCTAGTAGTGTACGCTTACCAACTCAAAAGAAAGTCAAGAAAACAAATCAGTCAAGGTTAGTTTTTTGCTAATGTCCCTTCTTAATTATTCAAAGTAACTTGCAATGAAGATCCTGCCTCTAAACTGTAAGAGTTTCTAAAATATTTTTTCGGGAAGCTGAAAGTTTCCCAAAAGTGTTGTTTACTTCAAGTGGCTACAATTTCGTTTGGCAAGGAAGAAAATTTTTGAAGTTCTTTTTGCTGTTCGCAGCTATTTACGAGCAAAAGTTAGGTAAAAACAAAAGACAGTGAAAGTTTTGGAACCCGCTGACAGGACTCTTTGGATAAATGAAATTATGTGATGACACTGAAAGTATAAATATTTCTTAGATCGGTGACAACGAATGCCACGCCCTTCTTTACTCTCAGTTTGTTCTAAAACGAGGCTCCAAGGGGCTCATAAACATTCATAAATTGTTTCAGCGGCAACAACATTCTCAGAAAAGTCATCAGGAAAGAACACGAACACCAGACTGGAAACTTTGCTGCGCGCCCGCAATATATTGCCCGCGCACACCTCTGCGCGCTTTTGCATATTGGCCGCGCAAAATCCCCTAGATCCCTTGACAATAGGATTTAATGAGAATTAATCAGTTAATTCGAGTTAATACCCGCGGGGAAGGCACACATCCTCTCTCAATGGGCATGTCAGTATGCACGTTCATCCTTTCAAGGCTGTCAATTACAGTTAGCAACCTATTATGATGCAAATTACATCATGGTGCCATTGCAAGGCAGTGCCCTAGCATATCCAGTTGCAGGCCATTACACAGCACGTGGCTCACGCCACGTTGTATGCGTTGTTTCCTCTGGTTCATGGTTCCTGGACAAAAGTATACTCTTCTGCGAAACAGGAACTTCGTTTGATTCTTCGCAACGATGAAAAACTGCGTTCAAAGGACATTGTTTCGCCGTCAAATGGCCGGTCGTTGTCTTGTGAGGTGAAAGGTGAAAGTTCATGATCTTGACCCTGGCTCTTAACCCTCTCCATTGGCAACGCATGGCATGAAATCTTGGCTATTGGCCTCTTCGACATGGCAGAGTCATCCTATTCCAAGCCACCTTATTGCAGTTCCGTTCTAGCGCTGCCGTGGCTGCTGTCAACTGTTCTACAGAGCCCCTTCTATCCTGCAGCTCGTGTCTACCACGCCCTCCAGGGAAAAGGTTGTGGCTACCTTTATTTTCTACACTGGCTGTAGCATGGTTTGTAGGTTTTTTGCTTTTATCTGTCGATCCACTATTTTTCTGCCGATTGCTATCAAATCCTGGCGCCTTTGTATCTCAAAGTTTTTCGATGCAAAAAAGGGAAACTCGGCAAAGTGGCATGCCTGCTCGCTCTAACATGATAGCATTCCTCCCGAGTACACGTTTATGCATATACCATGTGAATTTTTATAACCACAGTAAACTGTAATGTAAATTTGAATAACCACAGCAAGCAACTTTGCATTTACCAAGTAGCCTTTCATAATTGCAGCAAACAATTTTGCATGTACCATGTTGATTTGAATAACATGGCAACTGATGTTGTTTTTATCAAATAAGTTTACATAACAAAAGCAAACATCGTGAATTTGCATAAACACTGCCAAACATTTTGCTTTTATAAAGGAAGATTGCATAAAGTCAGCGAATTACTTTTTGCATATACCCTGGAACATTTGCATAACTGAGGCAAATCACCTGCGTTTATCAAATAAGTTGGCACAACAACCATGGCGAACACCTTTTGAGTATACCCCCATACAGTTGCATAACCACCGCAAATTACCTGCATCTATCAAATAAATCTGCATGGCCACAGCAAGCTACTTCAGAGCGCACCATGTAAATTTGCATAACCAACGCAAGTCACTTGTTCGCTAACTCAAAGCGAACTATTCCGCACCAAGCAGGCGAACAAGTTCGCCTAACTAACGCGAACTGTTTTGCACATGCCAAAACGCTTGTAGGTGAATTTGCATAACACAGCAACTAATGTTGCATTTTCTTAAATGAGTTTGCATAATCACAGCATAAACTACCCTGACTTACCAAGTGGGACTGCATAACCACAGCAAACTATCTTGCACTTACCATGCGGATTTGTAAATTAAACCACAGCAAACCATTTTGTATTTAACAAGTAAATTTGCCACACATTAGCAAATTGCATTATATCTTAAACATATTGATACAGCAAACCGATTCTGCATTGATTTAGCACGTTTGGATAAAACAATACAACACATTTCTGTTTTAAACACAATTCATACTGGACAGCAGCACCAAAGGTTGTTGAGAATCTAAATTTCAGTTGGGCATTGCAGCCTTAATTGGTCATGTTGTACAACTGTAATTGGTGCCAATTTCCAAATTGAAAGATATGATAATCGAGCTTTGCTCACAAAATGCAAAAGGTGATATCTGGGTAAAGTTGTCTTATGCGATAGCTTTCTGTTGGATCAGTATTTGAGCGAAAAGATCGCTAGGAATGTTCCTCTACCTAGAGAACTAGCCATAATCATTTGCTTTAATTATGCAATGTTGCTTCATAACTGCAAGATGATCGGCAGGGTTTATGCAATCTTCCAACCTAAATGCAAAATGGTTGGCGGTATATATGCAAATTCACCTTGTTTATGCAAAATGATTTGAGTTAATTATGCAAACTTCTTCGAAACATGGATGCAATTTACTGTTTCTAGTTTGCAGTGGTTATGCAAACTTCTTTGATAAATGCAAGTGATTTGCCATGGTTATGCAGATCTACATGGTATATGCAACATGATTTGCTTTAATTATGCACTCTAACTTTTTAAATGCAAAATGATTGGCAGTGTTGATGCAAATGCACCTGGTTTATGCAACACGATTTGCTTGAATTATGCAAACTGACTTAATAAGGGCAAGTGATTTGCTGTGGTTATGCAAATTCTCATTTGGTATGCAAAGTAGTTTGCTGTGGTTATTCATACTGGTTTGATAATGCACGTTATTTGCTGTGGCTATGTTATTCACATGGTATATATATAGGACAGGATCCAGAATTTAGCAACTGTAGCTTGAGCTATAGTTGGATTTGTCAAACTTCAAGTTTCCTTGCAGTCCCTAAAAATGTGTTTATCCCTGCAAGTGTTTATTCTTTCTTTGCTATCAAGCCTATTCATTTCTGAAAATATTGTACCCTGTCAACAAATGCAATTTACAACCACCAAACGCTGGCAATGTTTCATAACAATGTCTCATAACAATGAAATATTTCAAATGATGCTCAGATTAAGATATAGCTAAAACACTAAACACAGAATGGTCTAATGTTAAAAATTTTGATGAATCAAAAGTTCTTTTCTATGTTGATGGTAACCAATCAGAATTGAGCTGTAGTGGCTATCTGGAGCTATAGTCGGTCTAGAGAACTTGCTCTGGTAAAGGCATCAAAGACAATGTAACCTTTACTACAATTTTGGCGCAAGCTATAGTGTAGCCAAAGTCAGGCTTGAGAATGCCCGTTTAACCGATAGAATATGAGAACCTACCGTATTTTATCACTCTGTCCCTTATAAAGCAGCATTGGACTATATACTGTTTTTTTTCACAATCTATGCCCTCTGTAATGTACCTTCAAAGGCTAAGATCTACTAGGAAATAGGAAAAAGAAGTTTGGTGGAATATTTATGGATTTAAAGCCACTATGAACAAATGTAGTTGCAGCATTTGCCCATATAGCGGGCATGTACCCCAAATGAAAAAGTGGTGGCCCCAACCCCAAAGTTTTGGGCTAAAGTTATAAAAAAAAAAAAAAAAAAATTTTTCTTGGCTCTGCCCAGGAATATGCAAAGTAGTTTTGCTGTGGCTATGCAAACTTACTTAATAATGGCAAGTGATTTTCTGGGGCAATGCAAATTCATTAGGTATATGCAAAATAGTTTACTGTGGTTATGCAAACTTACTTAATAATGGCAAGTGACTTGCTGTGGTTACGCAAATTCACAAGGTATATGCAAAGAAGTTTACTGTGGTTATGCAAACTTACTTAATAATGGCAAGTGATTTTCTGGGGCAATGCAAATTCATTAGGTATATGCAAAGTAGTTTACTGTGGTTATGCAAACTTACTTAATAATGGCAAGTGATTTGCTGGGGCAATGCAAATTCACAAGGTATATGCACAGTAGTTTACTGTGGTTATGCAAACTTACTTAATAATGGCAAGTGATTTTCTGGGGCAATGCAAATTCACAAGGTATATGCACAGTAGTTTACTGTGGTTATGCATACTTACTTAATAATGGCAAGTGATTTGCTGTGGCAATGCAAATTCACAAGGTATATGCAAAGTGGTTTGCTGTGGTTATGCAAACTTATTTAATAATGGCAAGTAACTTACTGTGGTTGTGCAAATTCACAAAGTATATGCACAGTAGTTTACTGTGGTTAGGCAAACTTACTTAATAATGGCAAGTGACTTGCTGTGGTTATGCAAATTCACAAGGTATATGCAAAGAAGTTTACTGTGGTTATGCAAACTTACTTAATAATGGCAAGCGATTTGCTGTGGCAATGCAAATTCACAAGGTATATGCAAAGTAGTTTGCTGTGGCTATGCAAACTTACTTAATAATGGCAAGTGATTTGTTGTGGCAATGCAAATCCACAAGGTATATGCAAAGTAGTTTGCTGTTGCTATGCAAACTTACTTAATAATGGCAAGTGACTTGCTGTGGTTACGCAAATTCACAAGGTATATGCAAGGTAGTTTACTGTGGTTAGGCAAACTTACTTAATAATGGCAAGTGACTTGCTGTGGTTACGCAAATTCACAAGGTATATGCAAAGTAGTTTGCTGTTGCTATGCAAACTTACTTAATAATGGCAAGTGACTTGCTGTGGTTACGCAAATTCACAAGGTATATGCAAGGTAGTTTACTGTGGTTAGGCAAACTTACTTAATAATGGCAAGTGACTTGCTGTGGTTACGCAAATTCACAAGGTATATGCAAAGTAGTTTGCTGTGGCTATGCAAACTTACTTAATAATGGCAAGTGATTTGCTGTGCAATGCAAATTCACAAGGTATATGCAAAGTAGTTTACTGTTGCTATGCAAACTTACTTAATAATGGCAAGTGATTTGCTGTGGCAATGCAAATTCACAAGGTATATGCAAAGTAGTTTGCTGTTGCTATGCAAACTTACTTAATAATGGCAAGTGATTTGCTGTGGCTATGCAAATTCACATGGTATAACAGCAACCTTCTACCTTAACCTTCTCTTTTGTCTCACTCTTTGCTTTCCCCTCCCTTTTTAACTAGGGAAGAGTCTAGTTTTTCTAAGATTTTTATCATTCAAGGGGTTCTTAGGTCTGTGTTTGATGGGTAAACATTATCATGTTTTGTGGCGGGTTAAAAAACTGAGATAGTTTTTTCCCTGAAATCAAACACCGACCATAAATTACGTCATTGCTCAGGCAATACAAGGGCTGATGCACCGAAAGCCCAAATTGTTTTTCCTGAGATAGGGATTTAGTTTTAGAATTAATAAGGGGCCCCGCGAAGGAATTAAATGGGAATTAATCAGTTAATTCGAGTTAATACCCGCGGGGAAGGCACACATCCTCTCTCAATGGGCATGTCAGTATGCACGTTCATCCTGTCAAGGCTGTCAATTACAGTTAGCAACCTATTATGATGCAAATTACATCATGGTGCCATTGCAAGGCAGTGCCCTAGCATATCCAGTTGCAGGCCATTACACAGCACGTGGCTCACGCCACGTTGTATGCGTTGTTTCCCCCTCCCAGTCCCACCCCTCTCTTTAGTTTTTTCTCTACCTGCCCCTATTACACTTCCTTCTCCCTCTCTTCCAGCTAGTTCTCACACAGTATTCACTGCGTGACAGGTGTATCAGTCTGATTGGCGGGTTAAAAAACTGAGATAGTTTTTTCCCTGAAATCAAACACCGACCATAAATTACGTCATTGCTCAGGCAATACAAGGGCTGATGCACCGAAAGCCCAAATTGTTTTTCCTGAGATAGGGATTTAGTTTTAGAATTAATAAGGGGCCCCGCGAAGGAATTAAACATTATTAACAATAAAAATAACTAAGAGTGCATGATTTCAGGCGCGCAGTCTCAAATTTTCAAAATAAACTTGCCCGCGCAAGAAGCAAAGTTTCCAGTCTGGCACGAACACAGCGTGGAGGTCCGACGTTGCTAAAACGAGGAACAAGCGGAACAACCTAGTAACAAGCGGAACAACCCAGTAACAACCCAGGAACAAGCGGAACAACCCAGTAACAACCCAGGAACAAGCAGAACAACCCAGTAACAAGCGGAAATGTGAAGTTATTGTTTTGTAAATAACACATGGGGGCGTTTATAAGCCAACTCTCTAAAGTTCGTGTGGGTTAGCACGTGCACTATCAAGAGGCCGTCAAACACTTCCGTTATGTAATTTTTTGGCAGTTCGCGGCCATTTTCCCTCCTTTTCACACAACCGTACATAGTTTGATGGATCAGAAAACCTGTCGTTGTGGTTTTTCACTCGAATCAAACACCGACATAGCAAGGCAAGGGCTGGTACACAAAAAGCCCAAATTGAGGGGTCGAAAATTGAGGTGGGGGATAATATTTAGAATATATTAATGGCAACCGAAGGGGCAAAAGGACCGGGGGGTGTGAGGGTGTCACACCTCCCCGATAGTATCTCATAGAGAAATTTCAGGTAAAATCTCAATAAACTAACAACAAATGTTGCCAAGTTTGTACGAGAAATAATCAGACAAGGCAAAAAATTGGAAATTCTTCTGTGAACTGAATCAAAACTCCATTTCTAGGCATAGATTTTTACTCATTACTTTTGATTGTACACTATTAATTGTCGCATTTTTTATGTTCAAAATACAGTCACACAAAAATGAAAAAAATAGAATGATATCTATAAACCTACATTTTCAGTAGAGATTCTTCCGAGTTTCTTGTGAGTTAATAACAATCTTAAAAAGTACGTTTATTGGGATGAAGATAGATTTTCAAAAATTAATAAACGAGGAAGAGGGCCTCTTCAGTTTTCAACTTCAGTGTAAGCCTTTATTTGATTTGCATTTAAACATCTCTATACGGCAATCTGGCACTAGACCCCTCTCCCCCCTTAGAAATTTTTTCTATGCCTGATTAATGCCTTCACGGAGGCCCTTAGACATAGGGGGTAAATTTATTGAAAATAGCAAAAGTATGCAAAAAAGACGATTGCAAGAAATGACTGGAAGAAATGTTCTAAAACGCATTTTGAGCTACCATAAAAGCTCTATTAAGCCCCCCTCTCTATTAAGTCCCCCCTTATCAAGCAAAACCTTACCCTCTCTATTAAGCCCCCCCTCTCTAGCCTTTGATGTCAAACACAGAAAACATACGCATTTAACCATTGTATTTTTCATGAAACTGAGTTTGATATTAACGTTTGAAAAGTTGTTGTAGCAGTAACTACATTAACTTTTCTTGTTATATTAATGTTGTAATTACGTTAGAGGCCATCTTGGCCTAGATACCTTTTTAATAAAAAAAGCAAGTAACCTGTTTACTCCATTGTTGTTAATTTCAAATATTTATTGTTAATTTCTCTTACAACTTATAATTTGGATAAAAGAAGAAGTCAACTTTCCGCCTCAGTAAAATTATTTCTGGGCAAACCATCAGTTTCTCGTAGGCACATCAATGTCATTTTCTCCCCAGGCGATTGAATGGCGCAGTATCGTGAACTAATGATGGCAAGGTGACAAACACGCAACCAATGTTTGGCGTTTTCATCATCATCATAAAAAATTAATTTATCTAAATACACTTAGTTGAAGAGCCATTCTTACATCAGCTATTTACGTTAATCGAGTGCTTCTTCTTACAAACATAATAAGCAACAATTTGCAGCAGATTAAACAACAGTAGCAACATAAAAAATGCGACAATTAATAGTGTACAATCAAAAGTAATGAGTAACAATCTATGCCTAGAAATTGAGTTTTGATTCAGTTCACAGGAGAATTTCCAATTTTTTGCCTTGTCTGATTATTTCTCGTACAAACTTGGCAACATTTGTTGTTAGTTTATTGAGATTTTACCTGAAATTTCTCATTGAGATACTATCGGGGAGGTGTGACACCCCCACACCCCCGGTCCTTTTGCCCCTTCGGTTGCCATTAATATATTCTAAATATTATCCCCCACCTCAATTTTCGACCCCTCAATTTGGGCTTTTTGTGTACCAGCCCTTGCCTTGCTATGTCGGTGTTTGATTCGAGTGAAGAACCACAACGACAGGTTTTCTGATCCATCAAACTATGTACGGTTGTGTGAAAAGGAGGGAAAATGGCCGCGAACTGCCAAAAAATTACATAACGGAAGTGTTTGACGGCCTCTTGATAGTGCACGTGCTAGCCCACACGAACTTTAGAGAGTTGGCTTATAAACGCCCCCATGTGTTATTTACAAAACAATAACTTCACATCTCCGCTTGTTACTGGGTTGTTCTGCTTGTTCCTGGGTTGTTACTGGGTTGTTCCGCTTGTTCCTGGGTTGTTACTGGGTTGTTCCGCTTGTTACTAGGTTGTTCCGCTTGTTCCTCGTTTTAGCAACGTCG